AAAATCTATTGGGTATTATGACAGTTTCTTGCAGCTGATTTTGAAGATAATCTATTGTATTTGTACAAATGACACAAATTATAGTTATACAACTTAAATACTAGATTTTTCCGTTAAACTTATATTCTCGGGTATAAATTTTCCGTACGCTCTGACCTAATTCAGTTCTTTGCGCCTCGGGGATAAATTAATCCATGAACCCTCTCAGGAAATATAGAAAGCATTAAGAAAACAAAATCCTCAATGTTCCATGAGATACTGAAGTCTATTGTTGACTTTTCTCACTTCCGATCTACTACACTGTTTCAAAAAACAATTTTTCCCCACTTAATTTCCTTCACTTCCCATATTTATTGATGCCTCTAACTCGCTATGGGAAGAGGGATTTTTTGTAAATTCTATTTATGTGATCTACTTATGTGTTTTACAACTGTTCCATCCCTTTTGTGACTCGGGGGAATTCCAAAGGCGGAAGTCGCATCGAGAGGTATACGATGTATGGGTCGATGGATTGGAAGAATGTCGTGAAAGGAGGAAAAATTACATGCTCCTTCCGCAGTGAATTTTTCAGAAATGGGAGACCAAAAAGTGGGCGAAAGCACATCAAATTTAATTTGCTGCCATTCCTGCCATACTTTTGGCACAAATTCCTTCTTCAATTGACCGTGAAGGGGGAATAAAGGCCACTTTCATGTGAAACACACGATATGCTGTTTGTATTCTAAAGTTATAACTAAAGGACGGGTTGTGCTGAAAAAATTGATCGATGCTATCCCAAAAGATTCCCTGATGCGTTGTGTTTCAAGGTTATAGGCTACAGTTCAATATTGAATTTTTTGGTTGATCGACCCCAGAATTTCACTTTAACCCTATTTCAAGTATTTTGTGTGTATATATTTTCTTCAGTAAATGATAAATGGGTTTTTGATTACTGCTTTTAACGCGGAACCTAACAATTAATTATCATAAATAAATCATTCTGTGTCATCTCATTGTCAAATGGTTGTTTAGCATACTTAAGTTTATTTGTGTGACTTTGAGTGAAATACTTTTGGTGAAATATTAAAGATCTATGCCATCAAATTCTTCTCAGTCTAAATTAATTAATCTGTCCACAGAGTGTAGCAAATGCAAGCCAAACACTCCTCATTGTCGAAAGAGCACAAAAGACGGCAAAAATAATGTGTGTTGTGAAGCAGCACGTCATTAACAACTTTTGTGACGCCCTCAAATATCCACAAACATCGCCCGAAATTACTGCCGCTTTTCGCGAGAAAATGAACTTTGGCAAATTGAATCAAATGACAATGAAATTTCCACGAAGGTCCATCGTTGTCCAAATTGACAAAGTGTATTTCTGAGGGCGAAAAATTGGATTAAAGAGTGGTTCAGGAATTTCCATTTGAATAAAATGTATTGCAAATTCCCGGAAAATGAAGTCAGAATTCAAAAAAATTACACTTTCTCTTATATTTTTTCCGGTGACAGAGTAACACCTCTTTTCAGATGCTTCGCATTCTTGATATATGTTGCCATGCAAAATTGCCAAAAGTTCAAAGAGAAGATGTTGTGTAGATAAAAAGAGAGTTACTAATTTAATTATATTCTCCTCACTCAATAATTTGGTGATTTATGGCTTTTGAAACTCCCAATGATGAGTAAACTTATGGAAAGTTTATTCTCAAAAACTTTATTCCCTGTTGATTCTGTGAGCGGAACTTTATGATGTTTGAATGAAGATTCCAGCACAGAATTGGGTAATTGAAGTGCGACAAGACAAGCAGAAGTTCACTGTCCCCAATTGATTCTGAATGAATTTCATAATTGCTATGTTAATTATGTTCCGCAAGAAAAAAAGTATAAGATCAGAGAAAATCCACTTTGCAGTGAAACATCAACTTCTACACGAACTCTCATTCTCTTAGTTCGAGCGTTTCTCCTTGACAGAAGCCCTCATTAAAAGAACACGAGTCTTAATATTGACGAAGATCTCTCTTCAGATATTCTTTCAATTACTCAAGGTTGAAGTACTTGTGACTTTTCCACGTGACGCGTTCAATTGAATTTTCACTCAGGCTGCCGTGAAAATCTCGGTTGGTTTCTGCGTGACACCAGGTGAAAGCTCGACTTCCAAAAGCGCCCCAAGCTAGGGAGTGCGGAGCAAATGAAGGCACAAAAGACTGTGTCTCATAGTCGTTCAGGCAGGAAAAATGAAGGAGTGGTTGGGAAATTCCGTGGGCGTTGGCAAATAGAATAAATAACAATGCGAAGGGTGAGTTACAAACTAACTGGCTGAAGGCATCAGTGCAGTTGAAAAGCCACAAAGAATAAACTCATTACTGTGACTTAAATATATATACCATACTGTGACGGTTCTGTGGTTCCATTTCAATTCAACGCCACATGCTATTGATTCACTTTTCAATTTCTATTGTCATTCCGCGTCTTCCACGTCAATCAGCCATATATTCACTGCCCTGCGCCACATATGCGGCTATTCAGGGGTGTGGTATCAAAATGATATAATCATCCCCACAAAAGAGATAATCGAGACGTATATCCGACTTAATGAGCTCGCATTCGCTACAGCAAATCTATAAGTTTTTTTTCCTGACTGACCATTGCCCACTTAAGACCATAAGCTCAAGTGTCAACAACTTTATCCCCAGAAATTGTGGTGATTTTCTTCTATAAGATTATCCGCCCTTTTTCATTCGCTTCTTATTGAATTATTCGGCAGATTGGGCAAAAGAGCCGAACCAGCTCTTAGGCTATGAAGACTAAAATCGCATGATGTGTTTGTAATTTTATTATATTATAGAAAAATTACATCCCATTTTTGTCGAAAAGTATCAGCAAAATTTACAGATGCAACTTGAGAATCTTAGTCGGATTAGCATTTTTCTTTTCAATTAAAATGCTTCGAAGTAATTTCTAAACGCTTGCAATGTTAAAGAATTAATTACTTGTGATCAATTGTTGTGTAGCTTCTTTGACTCAGTTGTTATAATTTCGACAAAGAAGTCACACGGGAATTGTAAATAATGTAAGGGATTAATGAAATTTTCACAACCCTTTCATTGTGCTTTCCTCTCGTAGGAACACATAAGTTTCATTCAATGTGAGTTGTCATGACTTTGAGTGCTGCCTAAAGTTTCTCCAACTTTGTCCCAGTTCACTCCATCCCAAAACTCTGTCACACATTTTCCTAGTCTCTCTATTGAGAAAATGGCACAGCGCGCGTATTCACAGTGTTCATTTTGGCGTGAAAAGGTGACAATAAAAATCTTGTAAATGCCGACACAAGACGATTATGGCTTGTAGAACATGAGCCCTTCTCACCTCCTCTACTTTCCATGACATCACGAGTGAATTCCTCTTGTCGGTCTACATGATAATTTAGGGTGTTATTTGGGGAATTTGGGGTATTCAGAGGATTTTTCTAATATCTTTCTCAATCACTCAATTTATCCTCCGATACTTGGTATTCGTTTGCTTTGCGAGCAATGTTGCTTCCCTAAACTTGAATTTGATTTCTCATCTGGATGGGGAGTAAAGAATTGATGTAGTGATGTAAGTTTGTATGGGGAATAAGGTGTCTGGCAATAAACAGATAATTAATTGTGGCATTTATACTAGGCTTATGGGGTAAAGTTGAGGAAGAGAGGCGACTTGATGTACATTTGAGGTGTTCGTGGCACACCGAATTTATTATGGAGACGTGACAAATGCAGAGAAGAGGCTATAAATTGCCATTATTTTGTCTTTTATTTCTTCTGTAATTTCATTTCTTCCCATTTCGGTGGCGCTGCAAGAAAATTGGAAAAAATTTCCTCTCGCGTTTTTGTCACACCCACAAAAAGAATATCTCCACGGTTTTTCTTGTCATTTTTTTCCTCCTCGAAGAACAACGTGTCCAGAAAATGCCCCATGAGAGAGAAAGCTTTCGTCTATTGGGAGAAAAGTTTCTTCGGATGCAATTTATTGCCAATTATAGCTTTCATGCGAAACACATTCTCGATTGAGTTCACTTTGAGGGGCGGCGACCTTCTGTCACAAGATTCTAGGCAAAAATGCCATAGCGAGGAACGCACATTTCCATTTCATTTATTTTTCAACTATTTTTGGGTCAGCTTTTTTTCACTTTGACGGCCTATGCAGATATTAATAGAATGGTGGTTTCCGATAAATTTCCAATTGAAATCACAATGAAATTATCAGACATGGCAGATAGTAGAAAAGCACCAGAGAAGCTATTTGGGGATGAAAATTGGCTCCATTGTGTGCTGAAAGGGATGGAAACTGTGGGAAGCAAAAGTGAATTAATTGAATCTCGCCCTCGATCTCAGCGGAATTGTTTGTTTCACCTCTTCCAATGTGCTAAAAAAGTAAAGTCTGATAAGAATTGGAAGTGTATGAAGACAGACTTTAGGTTCACAGCGGAAGTGCAATATGGCAGCACATTTTCTTCAAAAGATGTTTTTCAGCCCTTCGGAGCTTCTTCAGCAAGACTCAAAAGTAACTTTTTAAAGAAATTACACTGCGCCATTCATCTTAGGTTGTCCCTTTGTTTCATGAGTCTCTTAATGAAAGACAACATATCAGATCTCGGTGAAGAGGTGAATCTTATAAATGATTACTTTTAATGAAAATGACTTGTTTTTCATCTTCATCTCGTGCGGAAATTTGTCAAAGAGAAAATGAGGATGAAAGTAGGGAAGAAAAATCGTGTTTCCGAATAATGAACATTTCCCCTTCCCGCCCTTCTATACAACCATTGAGTAATGGTAAGGACAAATGATGTAAATATCGTGGTTGTTTGCACAGGAATTTGCTGAAGAAATTTATTTCAATTTAACGCTAAAGATACTATTAATAAATGATGATTTCATTATCGAACGCTTTCGTTTTTGGGCTCTTCACTCCATTTGACCTTCCCAGAGGGGATCGAAGGTTTCTTCTGAGGCGAGTCACTGTGTAATTTATGAAATTTCTTTCAGGGAATCAGCTTTACAACAAATTTCCATATATTTATCAACGGAAAAATCGATCGGACCAACCTTTTTGATAACAATTTATATTTTATATAACATTTCCAATAACAAGTGTGTGACACCTTTAGAGAGCAAATCTTTGGCTTTAATCACCCAAACATTTTTAAATTATTCACTCCTTTTGAAAACAAACCTACAAAACGTGTGACAGAACCCACTAGAAAATGCGTGAATTTCGACCAAGGGAACCCCAGAGCTTATGAATTGTTCATTAACCTACTGAAGAAGGAGAATATAGTGGGTGAATTGAGGATCAAAAAAGTAGATAAAAAAACTGTAGAGGAAATTTGTGAGAGTCTGTGAAAATAAAAGTCAATTAAATATTCCACAAATGCCAAGTGAGTGTGATGTTTTTTAGTGTGAAGAGTGGTTAGGAAATATTTATTTAAATACGCGAATATATACGGATCATTATATTAACTGACCTGGGTAGAAAAATATACAATAATTAACTCGCCTCGTGCAAAATATAGTAAAAAGGGTGTCAGTAAGTGCTAAATTGACTGTTTGAGAGATTGGAATATATTGTGTTAAAACGTGCACACAATACAGTGAATAATCGTGCGCAGTCAACACAAAAAGCTCTGGAAAATTCGATCATCGAGATATTCTGTTCCGGTGTGGAAAACGGAAAAAAGTGGGCGAAGGAAGAGTTCATTCATCTAATTCAATAAAACACCCTAAAGGTATATGTGTGACTAATTTCTCCACAGTTCCATAGCACGTTTTTTACCCTTACGTGAAAACATGAAAAGTCAACTACATATTGAATTGGGACCAAGGAGGAAATATCCAGTTAAAATTGTATCCTTAGAAGTTTGTTATAAACGCTATAAAATTGAATTAAAACTGTGTCCATTCCGAATAATGCCGACTTCATAATACAATATGGAATTTGGAAAAAAAAGCAATTAATTTTATACCATAAACAATTGGCAGAAATCTGGATTTTGAAATGTACACATCTTTATTTTGTGTCGGAAAATAATACTAAAGAGCGGGAAATATTTCCTTCTTGGCCTAAAGTTAAGGGTTATGTGCAGGCGTTGGAGATGAAAAAAATTTACAACCCAGTTTTCAACATAGAGTTTACAATTGAATCATGGGAAAATTGCAAGACTTGTCGTGTGGATGCAGATTTTGCGCTTCAGAAGTGAAATTTGTCACTTTTGCACAGCATGTTTTCCGCAATGCAAATTTATTTTCATTTTCCTGGCTTACATAGTTTTTAATTAAAATTTCAGGTATATTTTTGCAGTTTTATGCAAATACAACTTGTATGTGGACAATTAAAATTTTAGCTTTTCAATTGTGTCCACACAGCAGAATTGTGTCAGCAAATAATTGATTTTTTTGGAATAGGAAATATGCAATATTGAGAGTTGTCTCAAATGCTGTGTGTATGAATTTCTCTCCTTCACTGCGTTCTTTGATTAATTAAAGGTTGAATTTTGCGGTTTTCTCAATCGTGGGATAGGGAATTAAATCAAAACCCTACGAGTTTTCTCACGTTTCTCTCCGTGGTGTAGGAAAAAATTGTCACTCAATGTTGACTTTTCTTCCTGCCAACTTCCTCACCCGGGAAATTTCCTTTTACACGCGGCGTTTTATTTCCGAAGACCTTTTTTCTTACTCCCCCGCAGTAACACCTTTTGAGCTTTCATGGGGAAAATTACACCATTTCGCGCTACTTGACTCGTGGTGACGATTAGTGAGTTAATTGAGAGAAATCCCTCCTGTTCAAACACTTCAGTGCTGTTGCTTTACGTGCCACTTTTTCCATTAAGATTCTATTTCTTTTGATACATTGAGTTTATCGTAGAATAATTTGTTTCTCCATGCATGATATTTATCGGAAATTCAACTCAAAGACTTTCACAAAGGTGGTAAATAATTTAATTACAGGATTAACTATCGGGAGTGTAATGTAATGTAAACTGAGAGGGTGATGAATTTATTCACTATTAATAGCTCCTCGCATCGAGTGGCTCATTGCGCAGTGATTAATCAGAGTTCTACTCTTTTAATAGTGATTTATGATGAACTTTGCAAGACCCTCTTGGGAGAGCTTTACTGTCTCCAACTTTTCCTCTGTCGTTTCTTCTTCGCCTCAAAGGCGGAGCGCAAAAATAACCCCTGTCTGCTATTGACCTTTCCTAATAGCCCGATTCTGCTAATGTATAGCAGTTTAGTTAGATGAAATGAGGGTTAATTTGGCATGAAATATTGTGATTGAAACTTGAATAGAGACCACAAAGTTGTGTCAAATTCGATTCTAATGCGTGAATGCGTCTCATAGGCGAAAACAGATTTCAGGCGCACTCATGATGATAATTCTGCCAATTTTCCACATCAATTGTATAGTGCTGAAATTTACGTTAAACTCTGTGTGCATTTTGAGGTAACAATGACGTGGAATTAATAAAAATAATTCAACCAAAATTGTGAATGAATATTCAATCCTTATGATTGAAAAGGTAAATATTTCATTTAGATTAGAGGCTTTTCCATGAATTGAAAGAATCCACAAATCAAACATTTTGATGAATTCTCATCATAAAGACAATACCTGTGAATCCTTGATAGATAATCTCAGCCTGAAAATGTTAAGGGTGAACTTCCTTTCCATGGTCAGCGCATGGGTCTCTGGTGGATGGGACACACGATTAATTTACTTAATTCACATCGCGTTTGCTCGTGTTTGATGGGTTCTCTTGTCATGAATCGATAAATGAAACGAAATACCTCATCTTGGGTGGGGTTTTTAGATGTGTGTGCTCTCCTCCAACCCCGCCAAATCCCGCTGGGCACAGCACAAGGGCCACACCGAGGCCCAGGTAGTGTCCTACAAGGACTCATGCCCCCACTTTCCGCCACATTCCGTGTCCCATATCATAATTCATGATTCTCCATCGAATCCAACCAGATAATTGGCATCGAAATGGAGGGTGTATAATGAGGCTAGCCGTTGGCTCATCCAACTCAGGAGCTTAGCAGTGATGTGGGAATTCAATAACACCGCATTTAAAATTAGAAGCCCGTGTGCGTCCTCCGGCAAGGTTTTTTTTTCTTCAGCTCAGTGCGTGTATGTTTCATGTCACTTATGACATCATTAATTCCTCATCATTTCCCACCCTCGGTGAAAAGTGATCCTTCGTGCGAGACGAGGCATTTAATGAAGTCAATTTAATAGATGTGTAGAGCGCCCAGTGTGATGGATTTCCTCAGCAACCACCTGGACATATTTACGCAAGCAAGGAGACACACAAGTCCAAAATTTCACCCACATAAATCACCTTCCCGCGTGGTTGATCCTCAAACCGGCTCAATTGACGCACACAACTTTGAGCTCGCACTGAGATAAATCTCATTGGCTCTTGAGTTCAACTACTTCCTCTTTGTAGGGGCAGAAAACGGGGCAATAACTCTTTATGTTCCACAAAGATTGAGAGATATTTCAACCCAGAAGCATTTACTGTCTCTTTAGGAGAATAAATCTTACCAGGAAGCACAAAGTGTAAGAAGAGGACAAATTTGTAAGAGTATAACAAAGATATTTTTTACAATTTTTTTTTAAGAATTGTAATCTGCAATATAATACTGGGTTCATCCTATATCCAGGCTCAGAAAAATCAATACGATGTGCACATGAAAGCATACTCTTATCCTCAAGAGAGTTGTGTGTGCTTTTGATGTATGGAGAAAAATCAAGGGGGAGATAATATGACTTATAAAATTTGTATAAAAAAACTCTTGAAGCCACGCAATGTTCAATAATTTCATAGACCCTGAAGAGTAAGAAAATTATTTGTGCTTGGTTGCTGATCTTTTAACTTACTTCTTTTTTTGAGAACCTGTTAATCGACATTGAATGGATCATGACTGACGATTTGCAATATTTTCCCCTCGATGAAAACTTTTTCATATACAATATCTCTCTCGTGGAGCAATATTATATTCATTTAGTGATATTTTATTACATTTATAGTCCTTTCGTCAAAGTTAAATGAGGAAATATTGCAGCGAAATTGATAAATTTTCACTAAAAAGCATCAACGCAGAAGCTCCTTTATTTTCTAGCCAAAAGCGCGGCTTGTGGCTAAAACAATTTCCTTAGCCATCACGACAGAACTGAAACACTCACAGGAATGAGTCCCGTGGCAATTTGCTGGTAAAACGACAAATCGCTTCGAGGGCAAAAGTGCCATAAAAAAGCTCTGCACATTGAATGACTTTAATGGGCATCACTCTCTGTGGGATTTCAGTCCATCTGAGATTTTTTTTACTCCTCATCCTGATGAAGACACACACTTTTATGTATTCCTCCATTCACAGCAGGAGAGTTGAGTTCATTTGGCGTATAAAAGCAAACAAAAGGACTCACATGAAGAGACACGGCGAAGTGGAAATTCCCTGTCACGATAATCAAGTGAAGTTATTGCAAATTTGTCCTCATTCCTCAACATTTCCATGCAGTGTAAACAAGAAACTGTCGCTGGCTTGAAGAGTTACAAGAGATTTCTCTCAGTTCTTCCTCATTCATCCGCATTCATGACATTTTCCTAAGCCATATGACATCAAAGCCATTATGAACTGATTAACAGAACACATAAAGAGTGGAAGGCACAAAAAAGCTTATGTTTTACTTTTCTCCCTTTTCTTCTAACCAAACATTTATTCCAAGTCCATGACACGACACGACAATAAAATTGTGCGGAATGGTGAGTGAGAATCAGACAGAAAAAAGGGAGGATGATGTAAAATGTATTAAACATAAAATTGACAAAGATCTTCCCACAGAGAGTTTTATCTGCTGATAGTTCATTCAACAATCTCTCAATTTTGCAACCCACATTTATGGCTGATGTGTGAGCAGAAAATATCCACCCTGTCATTGATCCTCGATGAGGACAAATCCCCTCAGTCAAGTGTGAGGAAACTTCCTCAAGAGGGCCAAAAACCACATTTCAAAGGGAATTTGATATATTTGCCGAGGGATCGATTGAATTGAATGGATTCTGAAAAGGGATAAATGTAAAAATTGAGAGGAATCAGAACAAAAATAGGTTGTACAGATCAATATTGTCAGTATATCGAGCTGCCTAATTTCAACCATGGGGTTGAGCATTCAAATTTAATTTAAACACGCTGCTTATAAGCAGTAAAACCCTGATGAAAACACTCTATAAAGTATTAATTTAACCCATTACATCACAGTGAAATTTTAAATTTTAAAAGTTAATCCGTATGAGCCAATTTATTAAAAATGAGAGACAGAGGCTTGATAAATTGAGTAAAAATTCTGATTCACTCACCATAATATCGATACTTTACAGAAATAAATAATTTTAAAACTGAATTCTACTGCAATTGCGCAGAGTTTTTCAGCGGAGCGTAAAAAGCTCACCTTTTTCTATCAACTTCTGGGTGGCAGCACATGATGGTAGAATAAACTACATATATAACCAAAGCTCAACGATTTTTCCCACCCCGAAGCATATACTTTCCAAATGACACGCGAATCGTCTCTCAATTCTTCTGATTTCACATCAATTTTCACTTTACAGCAGATGCAAGTGAAGCGCTGGAAAAGGATTTGGGGTGTGAAAACTTCATGTGATTTTCTATAAATGTCTCTGTTTCAGTTTGAGATGCAGTAATTAATCATGTAGCATTAGAAATCTACAGCGATAATTGAGACAGAGGAGCATTTCGAGGAGTCCTCCATTAGGGAATTAATGTTTAAACATAGACGTGATGCCCTGTGAGTAGAAATATACTGAGAGAGATTGCGATAGTCATGGAAAAGTGTGCGGCTGGGGTGGTCATTTGTGAGGCAAAGCATTGTCTACACAGCGGCTTTTGCGGTTGCACTCCTACCACCTTCATTTTCCACATATCCACTGTCATCCTGAATTCAATTATTCTGCATTTCAGAACAGGAATCATATCGCAGAATAGAATTTCATAGAAGAATTAAATGCATATCTCCTCCATTCATCTATTCAATAGCCGAGAAATTTCGCGCAGTGAAGTTCTCAAAGAAATGAAAATGTCATGCTCGTGTCCTATTCTCAGAGATTTCATATATGCAAATTCAATTTGTCTGATTCTACGTCATTGTCTAGTATTCTTCTGATAAATTCAATGTGAAAGACTGGATGTACTAAAAATAAAAATTGAAAGCGTAATTTCCATCAAATTAGTGGTATAATTTAAGCAAAACTCATCAACTAAATTAATAGGTAATAAATGCATCTCTAATCGATTACTCAACTGAATTAAAATTACCCTCCAAGCTTTCAGTCCAGACTTGTTGTATGAAACTATGGATGGAACATTTAATCCCAAATTGCATTTATTAATTGCGGATATGATGTGGATTATTTTAATGTATGAAAATGCAAAACTTTCACACGTTGCGCATTTTTCCCTCAGTTTATTTTCACACTGTATTTTCACTATGGCAGAGAAACTTTCCTACAGCCTCAAGCACTCAAATTCAACTATCTACTGGGAATTATTGTTGCGGAAAGTGGTAATATGTACTAGCGCAGGTAACTTTTCCGCTAGTAAAAAGTTCTACGCTGACAATGTGCTTACCATTTTTCACTGTCTCACTGATTTTTTTTTGTATGCCGTGGGCCAAGCATGTATGTGATAAATGTCACGTCTGGTATAATTTGGCCAAAAGTGAGTGTAAGTAAACAGGACTATTTGCCTCTGAAGCGCAATAATCTGCATATTTTACCGTAACATCTGTTCAGTTCAATTGTTCTCAACCAAATACGTTCATTCACTATTTTTGGACGGTTAACAATAATATGTCATGTTGGCCAGGATGTCGATGTTCTTTTTTCGACTGCACAATCTTCGGCGTGAAGAGGAGGCCAAGAAGAAACGCAAGGCCGCCCAGCGCCAGAGACAGCGTCGCGGGGCGAAAGTCTTCCGTGGTGTCAATAACATGGATGGACACCTCACGTTGGCTCCGTCGCGACTCTTCGAGAGAACGCCCATGAGTCCATCAGATAGTCTCGATGAGATCGCCCTGCAAATTCCCAGGTACACTTTAGCTCTGGAGAATCCTCACTAAACAGGGAGATGGTAAACTTAAGTGTAAGACTGTGTGATTGCATTGAGTATTGACTTGACTTGACTTGATAAAATCTAGCTGGAATTGAAAGACCTCAGAAGATTTTTGATGATATTGTGTGATTTTTTTTTATATCATTATGTTGTGTGTCCAAGTTTGATTTTTGCCAAATGGATTGAAAGGAGTTGTCATCCTACTTAAAAAAAACTACCCAAATATTACATATCTCTGAGGATTTTAATGCCACTGTAGGTCAAAGTTACTACGGTCTTAGGATTGAAATGTGCAAAATTTGTATCATTAACACTATAGTACTATGCTGATTATTATTATTTTATTTGGTAATATGTACCATTCGACCGCATACGAGGTTTAAAGCTCATGCGTCGAATTCCCCAAAAGCATGTCCTGAATACGTTAATTCCATCAATAATATAACAGTGTGACAAACATTACAAGAGGCACTCGAGCCAAATTATGAATTAATTAAATAATACCATCGAGGAACTTCTGTCCATAATTGAGGGGATATCCTAAGAGATAATTCCAGCCCCATCTCAAGACGGTTCTTACAAGATCTAATATGATTGTGTCCTGAAGAGGATATTATTGATTTACCTTTCCCTTTCCTTCTCATTAGGTATGTCTGAACACACTTAAGTTGGGCAAAACATTATTCTTTTATTTGTTGCACAGAGAAAAATGGCATTACGTGGGAACAAGAAAGAGTTCCCACGGAGAGATTCGTAGTAACGTTATTTTCCATTTCCATTTCCATAGATATTTACAGGCAATCATTTTCTGAACATTTATTTCTATTCTTGCACAAATGCGAACGATAAATTAATTATCGTACTAAATTAAACGTTGGCATTGCCATTCATTTGCAACACACATCCTGTGCCAATCGGTGGGAGATTTTTCACGATTTTCCCGTTGAAAAATTGATAACTATTCGGTGAAAAAGAGCGCTTCAGAAATATTGTGAAATTGTAGAGAAAGAGTTATTTCAAGTGTGAAAATTCATTTTACTCTACTCTTGTTGTATTTTCATCTGTACATCGCGCACAAATAGGCAATTTTTTTAGTGAGGAAAAACATTCAAATAATGATAGTTTTTCAATTGGCAAGTTGGTTCGGAAACAATAATGTACAAATTTTCAGTCTTCTCATTCGGTGAAAGCCTGATGAAATTGTATTGTTCTACAGTTTTGACCTCTCTTTGTTTCTGTTATTTTATTTCATCCATTCCCAGTGTAAAAATGTTTTACAAATGAACAAGGAAAACTTAAAACTACAGTGAATGTTTAGTTAGTGTATAAATATTTATTTTCCAACATAAAAGATATTTTGTAATATGAAAATGTACTTCGCCCTTATTGAATGTGAGGAGAAAAGAGTGATAAGGGAAAAAGGTATAGGGTTCATTGCGAATCTCTTTGTAGATTTCCTCTGAGATCTACATATCAAAGGGGTTCCAGTAGTGATGGAAAATATTTCGAAGAATATATGTACTTAACTGCAATATGAATTATTTTGAGAATTTTCCATTACAAATATAGAGCCATATTTTGATGAATTCTCGCCGAATTCAAGAATAGTTTGTCATTCCCATTTGTCTTGAATATATTTGCATAAATGTACAACCACATGAGAAATTGTAATAAGTTTCCGTAGCGTTAAGATATGACGTCTACATAAAATAAACTTCAAGCATATTTAGATGGTGTGCAGCAGCCAAAATGAATTAACATTCCATTCAGAGTGGCAAATTTGAGTTTAACATACAAATATAAGAGAAACCTTCAATCGATATTCACAATTCATTCTTAATCTTTATCCAAGTGTCTCTAAATGTCATATGTCGAGTAAATTATTGAGGTAAATTGATAAATATTAGTTTACTCTAATTTCTAATATTCAACTTCTGGCCAATATCTTACCATGAATAAACTTTCTTCAACTAGTCTGCTGATTCAGCCATGAAATAAGCTAAGAGTAAATTGGAAAACTTTCTCACAACTAATTGCTTACAGAGATTTGGACAAGGGGTGCACAACTAGCTATTTAACTCAATCAATTCAGTACACTTCAACATAACAAATATGTGCGATCAATCAATGGAACACGCTAATTTAGTAATACCGAATAAATCCCAGTCCCAAAGCGGGCTTTCACTTAAGCAAACACAGTGTGAAATTGGCGTGAGAAATTGCGGAAAATTCATCTGTCACATCAAACAATGCATAATATAATTCACGAGCATACGAAATTCATCCATATTTATGCACATCTTTTGCTGTGATAAAAGTCGATATCGCGAAATATTGTGTTTATCATTTCATGTGGAATATATTTAATTTTCACTTGAACTAATTTTCATCCGCGTAAATGAAGTGGCGATAATTTGAGATGGGAAATGCGCAAGTACTGAGAATTTTCCCGCCAAATTTCACCACGTGAACTGAAGTTCTGTGAGGCATTTTCCATGCGCGGGAAATGGCACGAACCATGTATCGTTGCGTGCCTAGCCACGGCAGTGCGCCACTGCTGCCGGATTTTCCAGCCGCTTTTCCTTGGTATAACAGTTTTATAACTTCTCAGTCGCTCTTCAACCGTGTTGCGGTTAAAACATAGCGCAAGTATGTGAGCTGGACAAAGTGTCTGCTCAATTTTCCGCGCTTTGTCGAGCAAATCAGGCGTGTTCCTCCGGTCCAGACTTCGCGATTAGCTTTCGTCTGTGATAGTGCCATATAAAGGAACTTATTTGGACTGTCTTTAAACTGATTTGTGAGTTGAATGTGATAAAGGAATTTTATTGTAGTGCGTGGCGACGATAGAAAAAGAGAGGGAGAACAAATTGATGGTCATAATTCGGTATTAACATTTATTTGCATTCGTTTTTGGTGGTGTTAAGGCAATATTTACACTCTGCCCGAGGGTATGGACAATAAAATTCGATAGATAGAAAATGTGTTTGTGGCAATCTATTAAAATCGGACCCCATCGGAGTGTGTCTCCTCATTTTTTCCCACCCTCCGATGACCCTTTTAGAGTAAAGCCATTGCTGAGGAGGGAAAGTGGAGAGCTTTCACTATGAAAGCCATAAATGTGATTACATTGTTTTGTGTTTGATCTATTTCATTGATTGTAAATAGAACGGAATTAATTTGGCGTTGTGAAAGGATAAAAAATTCTTTATCTTTTCTGGTGGCAAATCTTCCATGGCAGTGAAAGAGGCAAAACTTCCCATCACAAGTTTTATTGCTACATCCTCAGCCAAACAACTATATGAAAAATGTTGCTCAAGCTTGTGCATTAGATTTCATGACAAAACACATTCAAAAGCTTCACCACCCAAAAGCTCAAGAGTTCTCTCTGCTGAGCAGTTACCCCAATTTTTCATCATTGACATGAGAAAATCGAAGAAAAAATTGATGATGAGTAAAGCAAAGGTTTATCTTAGCTATATGAATTTTGAGTTATTCTCCTGGGAAATTTGTGTGATTTTGATACGTCAGACTAAGAAATTATTACAAAAAAGTCTTAAGCTTAGATAATGTGTGAAAATTTACAGAGAAAATCCATGCATGCTAAAAAATGGAAGATCGACACAGCACAGACAAAGTTAGAAGGGGTGGTTTTAGAAGAAAAATTCGTGGTATTTTGCGCCGCGGACGTGTCATGATTTCCAAAGAGTTGTTGGTATTGTCTCACCCGAGATGCCCCGGATCATTCTTCATCAATCGTGAGTCATAAATAATAGACGATATGGTGGGAAAATGCTGGTGGGATTCTTCAGAGTCGCCACGTCGCCAAATTGACCGTGAATCTTGATAGCGCAGACCAACGATAAATTGAGTGATAAAACTATCTTACTCATTTAATGGTGCAAATTGCACAATTATCTTCTTGCCGCTCTCACGCAGTCTGGCGATCTTTTCATCTTCAGCCATGTCACATTCTGCTGAGATGATGAGACAAGAAGAAGCGCCTCTCGTGCTCGTATGTGTATCATGGTATAATCATTTCACAGGCAACATGACAAGTCACGAAGAATTTTCTCGGAATGAGAATCCTTGTTTACAGAATAAAGTTAATCTGGCGCTGCATTTATCCTGAAATGGACTTTTAAGGGCTTTGACTCTGTGTTTGTGTTAGATAAATATACGTGTACATCAAAGCAAATTTTAAAGTTACATATTCAGTGATAAGTGCTTTAACATCACCGAAAATTCTGTAATATTTAGATATGCATGAGTTCCATAAATGAGCTTTCAATGGTGAACTACCTGAAAATCCACTTGCAAACATCAGCAAAACGCATGGCGCGGATGTGAGCAGATGTCATGAGATTATGGTGGGGTGTTGGCAAGATGATAAGGCTTAAAGTGCATTGGATTAGGTGTGAAAAGTCGGTGTGGGAATGCTCAAATGGTAGCTGTTCTCTGTGAAATGGCGGGAACAAGCCGCTACTCCTCCTACAATTGCCTAACATCGTGGGATTCCTATGAAAACATACCAAGGTAAAAGCCTACGCTTTCTCTTTGCCAAAATTGATTTGGATTTCACCTTAACCCCCCATATAAATTTGCCCCCGCGTGCAAGATGATTGAATGGAACCTTAAGCCGCACACGGCGAAAAAAGTCTCTTGGGAATGGCATCATGTCTCTTTCAGAAAGACTGTCTTTTTTCTCCTCTTCCTGGATGAGAAGTAAATTGTCTTTGTGGCATTTTCATGTAAATGGAAATCATCGTGAGAAAAGTTTCTTTTAGAAACTTCCGCTGAGTGGATTTACAAGTAAAAAAAAATTCACAGAGAGAATTTATCTCAGCAGCTATGATAAGATTTATACATACACACCATCATTTTTTCCGCGTGCAACAGCAACATCTTCGGAAAATGCATTTAATTAATTTTAATTTCTACAAATAAGCACATTGCGAGTGTCTTTGCATATTAGAAAGCTGTAATTTTTCCCTATCTGTTCTGATGTTTGGGAAATGATGCTGGAATTTCCTGATAGAGAAGGTAAAAGAACCATAAATTATGTATAAGCAACTTTCACATATCTCACACAATTCACAATATTCTATAATTCATGATATAAATAATTTAGCTTCTTATCCCAAAGAGAGCTTTAAAACGACTTTTGACCTGAAATTAATAAACTTAAAAGCTTAGAAAATATAATCTTTCAAGCTATTTCGTTTCGAATATTTCCGATGTAAGGTAAAAGTGTATATACTGTTTCAAACGAGATATAAAAGGCTTTAATATTTGTACTGCTAGAATAAATATTGGAAAACTCATTCATAGAACATCAAAAGATTTCAATTTGTGCACAAGATGCATCCTATTATGTTTAGATGTGATGTGTTTAAACTTCTTCAGTCCTCGATATCATTAGAATCTCTAAACATCGCGACATTTGCTCAAGGCAAATTTTATAGGTATTAAGAAGACAAATATTTTCTTGAATAAGAGAAAATATTGCTCTTTAATTAATACACATATTTGTATAGAGAGCATTTCGTTCAAATTGGCAATAGAATTTCTAATTTCATTGAGTTGGTATAATATCATAATAGCTAGAAGTGCTAGAACTAAAGTGGCCTTGCTTGTCTACCAGACTGTCTTTATTCCAGACTTGGTGCTCTTCTCATTTTAATGATTTAGGAGTGGGTAAAAGCAAATATCGACAGAGCAAATGTATAATCCATCCGAAAACTTCAATACCATAAAATCAGTGAGAAAATTACATGACTAATCAGTCTGTCCTCCAATTAGGCGCAACATTTGTATGAAAGTACAAATACTGCAAAATATTCATTAAAGATTATAGCAATATTGTTGAAATTTATTAATTTTCGCCTCAAATTCAGGGTACTTTGCGAGACTTTTGGAAAAACCAAAATATTCTGCTTGTTAATCGATGTTGTTAACTGATTGGATTAGATTTTCATGGAAATGACAAGGAGAATTATTCACAGTCGAGTTGAGTGAGCTTTTATACAAAGCATCGATGGAGTTTCAGGTCAAAATATTCCTAGTCTCGCTTCAGAGCGTGTGAATCAATTGATGGTCATAATGGTGTGAGGCTGCCTATGAGAAAGGGCAATAAAATCGCCGAAAGACACGGTATTTGAAATATTTCTCAGCAATAAATTGATAAGCGTGCGCTTTATGTGGTTTTATGAGCAATTCTGGTGTGTAAATGATTTCTAGTTCATGTGAGGACACAAAAATAATCACGAGATGAGTCTTATTGTGGTGTGAGTGGTGGTGTGCCTTTGAGTTCAAAGACAGTGGAGCTTTTCAAGAAAATCTAATAGAGGACGATGATGAAGAGAAGTTTAATTTGGTGGAAATTGTATTTTCCTCCCCCATGAAAGATGTCAATACATGGAGAAAATATTTCCCCACTTAAATGTTTTGTGAATTTCGAGGGAGATTCTATAATATGATTTTAATTCATACTGTTGCGGGGAGAAAGCATTCGAGTGTTTCGGAAAATGACTAATTTGAATTATCAATATTTCTTTTGCAGAGTTCGAGTTGAATACTACGTCAATGAAAATACATTTAAGGAAAGACTGCAACTTTATTTTATTAAGAATCAGAGATCAAGTAAGTAAAAGTACGCGCTGGCACTGCATTGGCGCTAAAGCGGAAATTCTGTAATTTCCCTTATTACCGATGTTTCTCACTTTGATTTTCCACCAAATGCGCACTATTAAAGATATGAGTGAGCGGATTTTTGCGTGCTCTTTAATGGATATGCGATGTTTGTCACGCTGGGCTGAAATATTCATTTGATTTCCCACGTGAATTTGATGATTGTTGAAAAATTACCCTTTGGTTGATTCCTGTTGCCACATAATACAGTGGGTATAAAAAAACCTATACAATGGGCTGGGCATTGTTTGTATTGTCCCAAGATCGTCCTTCTAATGCTTCAAAAATTAATTAATTAATTAATTAATTAATTATACTCTGGTATTCGCAGGAAAAAGCACTAAATGACAAATAAAAGGTAATTTTTGAGAAACATTTTGTTCTAAAATCAGGATAGAATGGAAAACCAGGAGACAGATATTTCTGATAACTCGCTTCGGAGAAGCTACGATGTTCCCTAATTTAATAATGCCACATCCATGATTTAGCGATGAAGTTTAGTGAGTTGGAAAGTGAATCTCTCACTGAATCATTTGCGAGAATTGATAATCCAATAAACGGGCACAGTTGAGTGGAAATCAAAGAAAGGCCATACTATAAAATTATGAGGTTGGGCGAGAAGTGCTCTAATTTGTCCACCGTATCTGTCAATATTGTCATTTTATGTCGTTTCAGGTCTACGTATTAGGATCGCAAATTTATTTTTTAAATTATTAACCTGTGTGCTGTATATAGTTCGAGTAATCGCCGACCTGGATCCCACATTTGCTACTTGGTGAGTTCCGCCCACATGTTTGAAGGTCAAGTTCTAGCATTTGTGTCAATTGGCGCGGAATTTCATGTGAACTCTCCGACTGAATCATTTTTCATGTTACCTCGCTTTTCCTAGAATGATGTACTGATAGGAAAGAGATAACTGAAATAATTTTCAGCAGGCAGATAGCTTTAAGATCACTCGTACTTCAATCATTTAATTCATTTTGGGTTCAAATTCATTAAAAATGGTGTACATAAAAGTATGATTCAGAACAGTTGCATCTATTTTGTTACTGTTATAGAATTCTGCACAAAACATTTTGTTATAATAATTTTTACATGATTTACGTATTGTCATCTGCACTTGTGGAGTTCAAACACTTTCTAGTTTAGTAGTCAGTTGGCATTTGTGCCGTGCTGAAGTGGATATAAAACATTAAATAGTGTGACAAGGCTTATTACATCTATTTTTCATTCAAATACACAAGGATGCAGAATTATACAGTTCTATATTTCATGAACAGGGCAAATAAAGCGTATTGCAAAGGTATCGCCCTTCGACGTTGCATATTTCATAAACCATTGTGATTTTGTTATGCGCTGAGAGCTATACGAGTGCCATACAATTAGCTAGAAGTTTGCATAGCAATTCAAATAGTCAACGAAGAGCATTTTTTCTCACTTAACCGTCATACCTGAAAACATTTCAATTCACCGTCCCTTTGTATCCCCAATCATTGTATATTCACGTGACAGAGTCGGAGGGAATTCATAATGATGCCATCGAAAGGAAAATCAATTTCTCTCATACTGACATAATAGTAAAAGTTTATCGATTAATTCGTCTGCCCCGCACCTCATGATGAAACTATTTGTAGTCACGGCTGTCCCGTGGAGAACAAGACGGAATTTCTTGCGTCAGCCGATCTCACGGAGGAGCAATTCCAGGAGAACCCCATCATCAACTGGGACGCCATCCTGTGGGTGAATCGACCAACTGAACTGTGGGCTGTGCAATTCGTACTGGCGATTGTGTCTCTGGCCGAGGCCTTGCTCCTAACATATCTGGGTTATAAGGTGAGTCCAGACTGGCTGACTTTACAAACTAAGGACTGGGATGAGCCGTAGCGAGAAGGCCACAACTTCCACCATTAATTAATAATTAATGGCGAGTGTGTTTGTGTATAATTACGTAGATAGTATTTTTATCGATCACAATTCTTTACTTCGCCTCATTCGACTATTATGCCTTCCATGTTACGTGGTAAACATTATAGAGAAGAAAATTCATTGAAAGCTGCACAAGTAAAATTAGATTTCTGAAAATTTGCCTGGAGTTTCTGAACGAGTTTCTCCATTAAAGTACTCTTATCAATTTTCCCAACTTCAATGAAGCATCAGCGAGCATATGAAATATATATATATATATATATATATATATATATATATATATATATATATGTATAGTAATTTTATTAAACTGTCATTAGTTGTATTGATAGGAAATTGAAGACTCACTTGTTGTGCATTCACATCGACATGAAGAGAGCCAATTATGAGTCATCTTCCTGAACGTATACCTTATTTTTCTGACAAGCGCTAACATGAGAGAGTATAACTAAATTTTAAGATAGATTCCTTAAGTCAATTACGACGAGTAGCATATTCTCACCTTTTCGCAAAAGTTTCATTATAAACTTTCCTTGCCATTGTAATTGAGAGTCATGATGTTCCATTAATCAGCTCTAAAATGCTAATAAGTGCCGACATTGTGGGATTTCCTGTGAGAATTGTATGCATTTGGGTGAAGGAAGTCCCTTGTTGACGTCTTTGAGCCTCAAAAAGTCCATCAATTAAACTTGTGACATTCTTTATTGCAGGGAAATATATGGCAGCAAATACTATCGTTTCACTTCATTCTCGAATTGGTCACGACAATTCCATTTGCACTCACGGTAAGACAATCATGTGATCTGGGAAATCTTTAATATTTTATAGAGCACTTTTTGTGTGTTCGTGTGTGAATGCGAGGGAGGTTAATTTTGGGGTAGTCTCTCTATTCAACACGTGATAAATTGGGTCATCACAGAAAGCAGTCCAATGACACGTGCCACACTTTTGCCTTTGCAAATAACTGATGAGGTTAAAAGGTCCAAAAGCTGACCTCTTCAGCATTTCACCTTCACCTTCACGTTGAGACTCTGAATTTTATGATGACTCTTTATTTCACCTGTAAAGATTCCAATTTAACTCACAAACATTGTGCCAAAAGGAACATATAAAAGGTGGAATGTGTGTGACAAGAGCTTTTCTTCGTGATGTAATCTGGATGGCAAAAAAGTCCAATCGGAAAAGGGGTGCAAAAGTCCAATTTAAACACACATCATTTCACCTTTTTTACAGAAGTGAACGACTGTGAATTCCTTAGCACTCAATGGAAGCTTAAAAGCTCTTCTCGTGTTATGTATAATTAATGACTCATTATTATTGAAACTTTATAGTGAATTTAATTATATTATGAACTTCCACCGTGACTGGGTATAATTGTGAAATATATTTGACATCCAGGGCGTGTGTCTCTAAATATATAACTGAGAAGAAACTTTAATATTTCTGACTTCCCCTGGTGTTGTCAATTACTTGCAAGAGTTGGTAGAGAAATCCCAAGATTCTCCTCTTTGGCAATTCACACGACCGTTGAACCACAAGATGAAATTCATTTTCCTTTTTTCTCCATTTTTCCATCATGATGCAATTGTTGGGTAGATTTTGTGGCCCCCGTTGCGAAATCTCTTCATTCCTGTGTTCCTCAATTGTTGGCTGGCGAAGAGGTCCCTCGAGAATATGTTTGTAAGTTGAAATAGAGATAGAAAAGCTGCCAGTCTCACACCTCAAATTCAATTCCTTCTCTTTGTGCTCTGTCCAGAATGATCTTCATCGAGCCATGCAGAAGTCACAATCGGCACTCTCGCAACAATTGACAATACTCAGTGCGACACTTTTGTGTCTCGTCTTCACCAGGTGAGATTATGCTATCATGCACACACTACAATACAATCATTTTCCATCCGTCCTGGGAAGATTCAGGAAATTGATTTCATGGCATTTTTCACCAGTGTTTGCGGAATTCAGCACTTCCAGCGGGCCGGACATCGGCATTTGAATCTCTTTCAGAGTACATATTATGTGGTAGTGACTTTCTCCACGGTGGGCTATGGAGATTTCGTGCCGGACATCTGGCCATCGCAGCTGTACATGGTGATAATGATATGCGTGGCGCTTATCGTGCTGCCCACTCAGGTAATTCCCGCGATATCGCCCATGAGTTGCCGGTTCAATGCGTTCTAATGCAGCTCTCTCACTTACGCGCCCTCAAGTTCGAGCAACTGGCTTTTACGTGGATGGAACGTCAAAAACTGGGTGGCAGCTATTCCTCCCATCGCGCCCAGAGTGAGAAGCACGTCGTGGTGTGCTCCACCACGCTTCACGCCGACACCATCATGGACTTCCTCAATGAATTCTACGCCCACCCGCTCCTGCAGGACTACTACGTAGTCCTGCTCAGCCCGATGGAGTTGGACACCACGATGAGGATGATCCTGCAAGTGCCTATCTGGGCGCAGAGGGTGATCTACATCCAGGGCTCCTGCCTGAAGGATGGCGATCTGGCAAGAGCGCGCATGAATGAGGCTGAGGCTTGCTTCATTCTTGCGGCGCGCAATTATGCCGATAAAACGGCGGCGGATGAGCACACAATCCTGCGATCCTGGGCAGTTAAGGACTTTGCTCCGAGTGTGCCGCAGTATGTGCAAATCTTTCGGCCGGAGCACAAACTGCATGTGAAATTTGCAGAACATGTGGTTTGCGAGGATGAGTTTAAATATGCCCTACTCGCCAACAACTGCACCTGTCCAGGAGCCAGTACTCTCGTCACGCTACTGCTACACACCTCCCGCGGGCAGTAAGTGTAATTTTGATACATTACTTTGTTCAATTCAACTATTTTACCGTCATTATAATTGTTCTGTTTCAGTTATAATCTTCATAACGTGTTGTTCATGAATTATTTCCAATTAAAGCGTAATTTTCTTGAATACAAGTTCACTTAAAATTACAGTGGTCTTCACAGCTAAGGCTTTCTCCCACTGATTTATTTTATGTCAATCAGACATCTAACATAATACTTGACCTAACACTTATAACATTTTAATCCTACATGATTTTGTATTTTACTTTGACATTCAACAATGTTTTATTGATCCATTATGTCATACATAATCCTAAAATAATTAATTGATTAGCTAATTAAATATATTGGAATGTCAATTGAATAATTTATTGATTAAATTATTACCTCACTATTAATGATTTTACGAGATTGAATTAAAAAAAATCTCATTAGTCATTCAAATCCCACTTGAAAAATGTTTCTATGCACTTATCTATTAGTCCTTGCATGTTTCACCAAATTATGTAAATGAGCCTTTTCCCACAGAGTGTCAATTGCATTTACTGTGAAATGCTTGCTCTGCATAACGAGATTCCCAGAGTTTGAAGAGGGATTCGTGGGATGAATGTGAAGTGTCACGAAGTTTGCGGTGGGATTTTTCCACTCGTTGAGAAAAGCGTGCAAATGATTGGAGGATTGTCTGATGAGTTAATGAGTCTCACCGGTGCGTGCGTGGTCTCTTCACAGGGAGGGCCAGCAGAGTCCTGAGGAGTGGCATCGACTGTATGGCAAGTGCTCGGGGAATGAGATCTACCACATCCTCCTGGGCGATAGTCGCTTCTTTGGTGAGTACGAGGGGAAGAGCTTCACCTACGCAAGCTTTCACTCGCACCGGAAGTATGGGGTGGCGCTGGTTGGTGTGCGCCCGGCGGAATTGCCCGAGTTCTACGAAGACACCATCCTCCTCAATCCTGGCCCGCGCCACATCATGAAGAAGGATGACACCTGCTACTACATGAGCATCACCAAGGAGGAGAACTCTGCCTTTGTCGTCAATCAAAATCAGAACAGTGGCTTAGAACCTACGAAAGAGGGTGAGTTCCAGACGTCATTCTTTTTTCTTCAGACTCTTTCTCGGTGACTCACTCTTCAAATCTACCAATAAGTCGTCTTTTGCAGTATAATCAAAGCATTTCTCACCATCATTCATTTGCCCACAAGTGTGTTTCGTAATTGATTTGTCTGTGTTTTCATTTTGCCACCAAGTGATCATCTAACAAATTTATTCATTAACACGAGAAGAGGAAATTCGGGAAATTATATCGGAAAAATACTGCACTGTGCTGTGCATTTTAATTTCCAAATTGAATTGGTAGGAATAACGCGTTAATTAACGTAGGGAAGCGTGCAGTGGTTTAACTCGAAAAGTTTATCGAAAAAAAAATCAATTTCACCTATTCAAAGCTACCACACTCCCCCTACAGTTAAACGAATGCAATTCAATCTCGTGTTGGTGGTTAGTATCACAAGTGCAATGCATAAGAAAATTTTCAGTGTTGCTTCTATTGATAAAATGCTCCCCTGGTTTTTCTTATTCAATACAATACACACAATAGCAGAGAAAGGAGATATGACTAAGTATAGTAATTGAATTTTCTTTTGCGATTCTCCCCACCAAACTACTCTCTTCAATATAGTAACATCTATCAACAATAACACTTCTGTGAACCCACAAATGGCCCCAGTGCCGTCTGTTTGTGTCCGTGTGCCCCACAGTCCAAGTTTAAGTTTAGACTCCGGTGCTGGTTCCCCGGTGAAAAAACTGGACATTGATGCCTCAGCACTGGCCGTGCGTGAGTGTGCCACCCGACTGCATGCCAAACCTCCTCCATTCGATGCATCCTTTGGACCGTCGCTATGTAATATTGACTTGTTTCACTCTCGACCATTTTTGCTGCATCTTCGCTCTCGTCTGACCCTTGACCAGTCCGAATCCAAGCCCCAGTAAAAACCCTTTAGAAGTTGACAAGTTGAGCCACTCAAGATCGCCTCTTTCGCTAACATATTTCGCATTGTTCTTTGCTTGTTTTATTACCTTTTATTTCACGAGGTGTACTCATTGAAAGTCATAATGAAATTGAATGCATTTAATTGAGGTTAAACAGCGGAAAAGCAAAGAAAATTAGTCCTTCTGCCCTTCTTACAAAACCCTTGAAGTCCTCGTATTGTTCCAATGAATAATCCGCCTTTGAACATTATTGTCTTTTATCATTAATTAATGAGACAATTTTGTTTTAGACCTAAAAAGATATCTTTGGAGTGTCTCTTGAGGCAAAATTTGATATAAAATTATAAATAATTTTTTCTGCCTAGCCTATAGAAAAGTCTTGCCACTCAACCAGCACTTATTGAGATAAAAGTTTGACGCAGAACGGCAAGTTCAACGGGGTTGATATGAGAGAAATAATAAATGAAATGTTTGAGAGTGTCATTTGGGAATGTTTGAAATGAAAATGCAAAAATCTCCATAAAATTGAATGACAATGGTTGGCATTAAACTGAGGGGACGTTTTTTTTACACTCTCATTCTCGAGTCACTTCATTTGAATAACTGATGCATAACTTGATGTACTTTTCGAAGAGTTTGCGAAGGAAGAAGTTCTCAATGTTCTAGGACAATTTATGGTCAAATGCACGCTGAAATGCTGATATTATTCCACTATTCAGGCCGACAAATGTCTTTGCTTTTCCCGCTTTTTCCACACAAAAACTGCATGTACTTTTCATTCCCTTCACACGCACATACCAAGCTGAAAACATTAACTTTTGTGCGCCGCACGATGAAAGATTAACTACAATTAATGCTTCTTTCTTCCTAAATAAACACTATGTCCAAACGTCACGTCGTCACATAATGAATGTTTTTAGGACGAAATAAATGGGTGAACAGTGGAAAAATTCATTAATGAGTAACAATGAGGTGGAAATGACAATTAACTTACTTTCACAAAACACTTTCCACTGCTTTTATCCCCCTTGTTTATAGTCTATATTAAAACAAATTCATTTATTGCGCTGAAAAGACCAAGCTTTCAATATATAATTTTTCACGCTATTCACAGCTCATATGCTCTCCATGTTTCAGAATCATTCAATTTATCGTGTGGCACACTAAAGCTTCTATTTACTAATGTAATTCATCAATAAGTTGTTGATAAAAATTGGAACACACAGAGGATAATCTATTCATACAATGTGACTGAAATTAATCACATAGTAATAACAAAAGTATATTTTCTGTGTGGTCTGAAAGTCATAAAATCAAAAGTATTATAGCTATTCTTACATTGTTCACAAACCTCGACATGATGTACATAGACACTTCCTCTGTCTGTCATCCAAGTAAACACAAACATTCTTCCACTCCAGCCCAAGATGCACTGAAAGACAGAGCATTTTATACATATTTTATACCTTTTCGTCCAAAAATTATCTCACTTTTAGCTTTGCATAAATTGTTACTGTTTTTCTCTCTCTATTGGCATTTTTCTCTGTGTTTTTCTCAAATTGGTATTTCCTGATGTGTCTTTTCAAAAAAAAAAACGGAAAGCATTCGATTTTTAATATTGAAATTTCATCAAAATTTAACTTTTTTCTGTATACGATTTTTGCGAGTGGTGATCCAGAAGTCTCCGGACTGCATTTGTTAAGTGCGCGGGACGGAAAAAGCGAAATTTTTTCGCACGAGGAGAGTTTGCGAGAACATGCCGGAGATATTTGGATCCCATCTTGTCGGTAGAAGTTGAGAAAATGCATTTTTGATTCTAACGAATTCTACTTGATGCAGCTGTGGCCAGCAGTGAACATAATCCGCATTCAGCAATTTCCATCTCGGAGTCCAAGCTGAATCTCAAAGAGGCTGCAACTCCATCTTCAGCGACCACAACAATGTTGGGACAATCATCGGTGATGACTACAACCACGGGCAATCACCTGGAGTTGCCACAGCAGAGCAATCCAAACCTTCTCAGCCCGGACGTGCTCAATCAGCGAAGAGGTATGACTTGTTAGATTGTCTCCACAAGTGAGTTGATTCGGTACCATGTCTGTGGTATTCACTTTGCAGGAAGTCGTCGACCGTCTATCCTTCCCGTGCCTGATATGTTCACCTCCTCTTCCTTCAGCATCAGTGGCAATGAAGACGGAGACGAGGCGGAGAGCGAAGATGAGTTGGATGACGATGTACCCTGGAGGTCGCCATCCGAGAAGATAGCGTGAGTAGCCTTTTTGTTTGGACATTTCTGCCCATACTTTTCCATTATCTCTTCTCTGATATCGTTCAACATCAATTATTATTTCTGTCTCTTGTCCGAAATGAGTGAAAAGTGACTTTTTGATGCAATGTTTTATCTTCTCTTTTAATTATGTTTTATTTATCAATTTTCACCCAACATCCCAGGACTTTTCGTTTTCTCCTTAGCACACATTATTAGATAATTTCCTTATCAATTCTCTTGCCATTTTCTATGTCTCTTCCATTTGTTCTCTTTTTCGATTGTTTTTCTTTCACAACAACCACACAAATTTGCTCAACTTTCCCTTCAAGATGATATGTTTCCCTTCTTCCATACAAGTGAGACTTTTATTTCCACCTCCCACGAAATTCTATTTGACCTGAATTTTCCACAGAGAGCCGTGAAGCACCTGTATCATTCCTTATTCATCACTCTCTCTCTCACACATGTATTCATTTTGAGTGCTTGTGATTTTTGCACCAAAATGTACTACTAAACTTTATTTTTTTCTGTAAATATCCATCCTTCCCTACATACAAACACCATATAAAACTCCCAGTTTTCTCTCTCTCATTTCAATTCGACTTTTTTTTCGCGTGAAAATTCTGTAGTTTTTCCTTCCTCTTCTTAACCACCATGGCAATGATATAGAAGTTTTCTGCTGCACCTTTTCTCGTAGTGTGGTTGAAAAGGCGCCCCAGCGAGAAGGGAAATTCACAGGAAAATCGCGAGAGATTAATTGAATTAGATTGCGCAAAGCAGGGGCCAAAATCGATGGTGTTTATTCAAAAATCACGTTGGATTCATTAACACTGTGAGCCTTTTGCGAACTCAAAGGCGCAGTCAAAGACTCTGAGAGACAACATAATTTTCTTTCATTTGCGTTTTGGACGATAAATACTTGCTTAACCTCGATTTATGCACAGTCATACAAGAATTCTTTATGAAGTAAATGTGATGTGCTTTCCTATCAGTGGATTACGTGGATAAATTGCGATTTTTGTATTTAATTTGTAGAATTGCTAGAGAAAAGTGGCACTGTTTCATTTGGTAAATCGAATTCGTAACCGAGAGGGATTATAACCATTGATTCCTCCGATTCGCTGAAACGACTGAAACCAAACGATGATTAAATTTTGAGAGAGACACACACGAGAAAACATCATTTCTCATCAATACACACCCCCTCTATTTTGAGCAAGAATATAGAAGATGTCATAGTGTCTGACTCAAGACAGAGCAAAAGAAGTCATTCGGTGTATTTTGTTCTGTGTCCCTCAACCCACAATCATGCCATATTTTTGTTCTTGGTTTATCCCTTCTTATTTTCCCACAAAAAGCATTACATGTACAACAAATTCCTTTATCTCGCTGAAGAATCACCATGATAGTTTAGGATGGGGACGCCTCTCTATCATTGAGGACTTTTTTCATGTGAATGTTTTCGTGTGAATCTGTGTCTCTCTCCCACCCTAAATTCTAGCTACGGAAGTGACGATCTTCTGTCCCAGTTACAATCTTTGTCACTCGTTTTGAGCTCGTCCGATGAATCGAACCTAAATAGTAGTTCAACAACTGATAGCAAAGAATCGATTCATACATCTCCTGCATGGCATGTCGACTATTCCCGGTAAGTGTAGTGCACACCAATTTTCTGTTGAGCAGAGGCCAATCACTTTTGGTGTCTCTATCTCTTGGCTTCCTGGTCACTTTTAGCGAGCTGTTAATCCTCGACGTTTGAAGTGAGATTATGCCTCACTACACACTCTCACCCCGTGATTTTGAGGGCAATCCCGTGAGATTTTGATCTTAACTGAGCGCAGTGAGGCACAGAGAGGCTCAGTTGCGGTGCTTTTTGAAGCAAATGTCTACAAGTTTCAATTTATTAACTCATAAAGAGTTAGTAATAATATTTGTGCTAACTGTTCTAGATTTTAAAAAAGATTGACATGCGAACGCAAAGTAAATATTTCGGAATTTTTTTTTTCATTTTCTCCACTCTTATCTATTGCATTTAGAGGTAGTTAATTTGGAGAATAACTTGATGAAATTTTCCAGTTAAAAAATCTCCATCTTTTTACGAGAATCACTCTGAAATTAATTTTTAGGAAATGATTTACATCTCAATAGAACCACTCTGTGCACTCAATTCACAGCAGACAAAGGGAACTCTGAAGTAAATCGACGAGACTGTTAAACTACCATAAATTCAAGTTTTCCACCCATAAACCATTGTGTCTGGAGAGATACAATTATTCACAGTGAGAGAGAGCTATAAAAACGCAAATCATAACCTTTTTATCAAACTTGCAGAATATTGCACTTTACGATGGTCTTGCTCATCATAACCAATTTTATTGCATTTGACAAAGTCTCACGAGAATGCACTTCAACTGTCGCACAATTCCACTGATGAGGGTGTTTTGAGTCTCTCCCCTAAAAATTTCCTCCCTTTCTCAAACATTGTCCCATTTAGATTGTATGTGATATTTACTATGCAAAACCCCAATTTGGCCTTTGATTGTATTGCACTAATTGCTTTGAGATGTGTATGAAAAAGCACAGAGAATCCGGCTTTTGCATGTTTTATTTTAGTGCACATTATTCCACCCATTAAAGCTTCCTTTGCATCCCAATTTGTCACAGTTCCATAAGTGTTCTCTTGCGTTTTATGGCATTTTATCGTAGAATTTACTTTGTGCATTTATCTAGAGGGAGATAAAGGATGAATTGTGTTTACTTCCTCAAATTCCTTATAATTCGTTCTATATTTCTTTTATTTTGGAAGTTAAATTCATTGAAAAATTGAGAGTAACTGAGCAAAAATTTGATGAGCAAATTAACAAAAAGTGGCTTTGATGAAATGGTTTTTGTGGGGAGCTTTCGTAATATGGCTGAATTCTCAAATGCAGGATCGTCAAGGGTTTTCCACCAGTGTCGCCGTTCATCGGTGTGAGTCCAACTCTGTGTTATCTGTTAAAGGAGAAGAAACCACTTTGTTGCCTCCAATTGGCTCAGGTGAGTAAAATCGTCATCTGCCTTCAGGGTATTACAAAATAAATGTGTTCACCTCCTTTAAGGTTTGTGAGCACTGTAGCTACAGAAATGCAAAGGAGTACCAGTGGCAGAATAAGACAATCATTCTGGCGGCTGATTATGCTTCAAATGGCATTTATAACTTTATCATACCACTGAGGGCGCACTTTCGATCGAAAACCTCCCTCAATCCAATCATCTTGCTCCTCGAAAGGAGACCCGACGTGGCTTTTCTAGATGCAATTTCGTATTTTCCACTGGTAAGTTCAGTTGAGTTATTGCGAACTTCACTCAGTAAGCCAATAATCACGTTGCAATTGATTGTATTGGAGTGCACTCAATTATGAATACTTAATCCGAAAATAGGTGTACTGGATGCTGGGATCAATTGATTGCCTCGATGATCTGTTGAGGGCCGGAATAAATTTGGCGGAAAATGTGGTAGTTGTCAATAAAGAGCTCTCCAATTCCGCCGAAGAGGACACTCTGGCCGACTGCAATACAATCGTGGCGGTGCAAACAATGTTCAAGTAAAGCATATTCCCACCACCAAATCATGCTCCTCTTCGAGCCTCTCTCGGGAAATTAATGTTATGTTTGTGGCTTTTCTCTTGGCTCATTTGCAGATTCTTTCCCAGCATCCGGAGCATTACGGAGCTGTCGCAAAGCTCCAATATGCGCTTCATGCAGTTCAGAGCGCACGACAAATATGCCCTCCATCTGAGTAAAATGGAAAAGGTACAATTCCATGGGCACATACATGTGGACGCTACCTCCTCCTCCGCCCTTAACACTGACGTCACGGTGCTAATAACATTAGAGAAACCATTTAATCAAGTTTTAGGCATTCTTCTCATTAGCTTCCATTAACGCAGTATGATTTGATTTCGTAGCGCGCTTTTTAAAGTCTCTTACAATTTTTTCGATTAATTTTCTTTAGTTGATACGATAGAGATAAATTAGAGAGAAAAATAATAGAATAATATCTTGTATTATAAGATAATTCTATCTAATCACTCCTTTGTTAAATTACCTTTCCAATGATTTGCCAGTTTTACTCACTCTCCTCATGTCTCTCTTTATGTTTGAGTGTGCGATTTTCAGGTTTAGGCCTTCTATTCTACACTTTATGTTAATTTTTGGTTGAGTACAAGAAAATCCCTAATTGAAAAAGTAATTTCAATGGCTTCACCGGAGATTTCACATTTTTAATTGAATTCTGAAGCACCATTGAAGAGGGTCAAATTTCTAAACTTTTGGAATCAAAAATGAATCCATATATGCTCCATTTCCACTCCCTTAAACTGGATTTAAGCTAGGTTCATAAATGTGATCTGTAAAGTTTCGCAAATTGATGATTGCTTCGACCACAAACTATTTTATGGTTTGCCAAAGCTCTATAAATTTCATATTCACTTTCACGAGAATATTTATTAGAGTTGAGATAATGCGCGATCTCGTATTTTGATTCATAACGTGAAAACTTGAAGCAGAAGATTTATCAATATCGATTTACATCTACTTTCATAAGAGCGCTGATTAAATGTTATCAAATTTTCATTTCGACTTATAGGATAAATTTTCGTAGAACACAAAAGATACTTTGCAGGGAAAATCACGTTCTTGAAAATTTAATTACATCTTACATACAATTGGCCAGTCAGATGTGATATTCCGGAAAGTCAAACTACGATTAAGTCATGCAAAGAGCTTTAGGTTGTTCAATAATAATTAATGTATAATACATATTATACCCATTTCAGACAGTTCCAGACAAAAGTGCTCTTCCTCTGGAATTTAAACACACGTAACATTTTGGAATATCCCTCTCACTCTCCCTCTCTCTCTCTCTCTTGGTGCCATTACATTATTGTTTTCCTCTTGAATAATTCATTGACCCCTCCACATTCTTGCATTGTTCAGTGAAAAAGTTACGCTGAATTTTTTGCTATTCGCATCTCAATTGAATTTTACTATGGGGATTTTCTTGCCGCTTTTATGGAGCACTTTCTAGTGTCTGTCTTTTGTGGAAGTGTATGTGGAAGAATGTGAAAGAAAAGTCTCTGAGGTGAGAGACTTTTTAGATACTAATTTTATATTTTGGCTCATCTTCTCGGTGGGTGGCTATTTTTGTGACTGTGCAGAGGGAAAAGGAGCGTGGATCTCACATATCCTACATGTTTCGTCTGCCTTTTGCCGCTGGGGCTGTCTTTAGTGCTTCAATGCTGGACACACTGTTGTACCAGGCCTTTGTTAAGGACTACGTGATCACATTCGTGCGACTTCTCCTCGGAATCGACCAAGCCCCTGGCAGCGGATTCCTAACTTCGGTGAGAGTGGCATTATTGCATTAATTGGACAGGTGTTCAAACCTCCTTCTTTGGCGGCAGATTAAAATCACAAAAGAGGAAATGTGGATTCGCACGTACGGTCGGCTGTATCAGAAGCTGTGTTCCACGACATGCGAGATTCCTATTGGGATTTATCGAACACAGGACACATCGGCGTCGGAATCTCATGTGAGTAACTCGCCAGTTGCAGATAAATGGAGACCATTTGGATCGTTTGGAATGAAAAATTGCGTGCGAATGCGACCGTCGGTGAGTCCATCTCCTTTTCCGACAAACTATAACACTAATCACACTCAAGACACTTTTATACCACCTTAACCTTCTCTTTTGTACTTCCCACCCATTTCGGGAATCGGTTTTTCTTCACATTACCTCACTAAGAAGACAATCTCTCGAATGAGACAATTTATTGTCCAAAGCATTTGACAAACATTCATCACTATGTTTCTTTTTTGTATTATTTTGTTTGTTTTATCACTGTTTTTCACAGTTCATGTTCTTCGTCGCAATTCGCTTACAAAAGAGCTTTGGAAAAAGGGTTTTTGTCTCATCGTTATTTTCTCATCTTATTTTTCCCATCAATTCTAATGAAATATAATATAAATCTATGCGATTTCTAAAGGATTCGTGTAAAAAATATAATGTATAAAAAACAAAAAAACTCATACCCAAATTCATGAAAATCAGAACCCTAAAAAATCACTGATTTGACTAAGATAACTCCTAACTTATTAAAAACTTTCAGCGTAGAAATGCATATAAAGTATTGTCAATTTGATCTCATCACTTTCTCTCTTTATACTCTCCTTTATAGAGCTTAAATATGACCTGACTTTGTTAGAAGTTCTTTTTTTACACTTGTCTTCCTTATTATTTATTATTCTACTCAATTTTTTACGATAAAAAAGTCCGCTGAACTTTCCTCTATCTTTTTTTGATTGCATTTTTGTACAAAGAAGACATATTTTCTTCTCTCCTTTTGATGAAAGACATTTTGAAGACTTTTGGAACATTTAAGTATAAATAAATGAGTTTTAAGCGAAGATTTTTGGACCCAAAGATCGCACACGCACGCAGTGAGTGAACTTTTACTCTACGTCTCTCTTCTTCTCTCTATCCATACTAGAAGATCTTTATATTCTCTCTAGATGGCCTAATCCCTTGTGGTACTTGTCTCAGTAGAAGTTAGAGCTGAAATTTGTGTAGCTTTGTCCCTGCTTTCGGTAAAGAAGTCAACAGTTGGCTTTGCATGGAAGAGCTTTTCACGAATGGCCAGAGTTATATTTAATTTTATGAATTGCCCAACATTTCATCATATTTCTTTGAGTCCCAGTGTCATTTGTCGTGACTTCTGTGAATCGTCTTTTGCCCAATTCCACGTCATAACAAGTGAATCTTTGAAAAAGAAACATAAATTTCCCTTGTTTTATTCGTTTTAACTTATCTTCTCAATGGAGAAGGAAAAATCCCAAATTAGCATGAATCTATAATTATGTTCAACAAAGTTGCAATTGGAGGGAAAATTCTGTGGCTTGTGCGATAAGGTTGATTGCCATACAATTGCCACTTCTCACAATTACTAGGAAATGCACAATTTTCCCTCCAATTTCTTCAGCTTATGCGTCAACTATGAAATCTCAGTTTTTACCTTTCATCCAACATTTATTCTCATGCGATTTTCATCACGTGAAGTTGAAGGGCGAAAACTGAGAATTACGGTTTTTATTACAATTGGCTTTCTTCTTATAACGCACTTGTTTTTCTCTCAGAAGAGATTTTTCACAAAAGAAAATTTTCTTACGAGGAACAAACTTTACTTACAATCTCAAACGCTTGACGCATGCCTAAATTAGTATGACGAGGAATCTGCAACGCCGGGCTCCTCAACGACTAAGGGCACCGCCGAAGCCGGCCTCCGCGGTGTGACATATCGCCCACCGCCGCTCCATAAGTCGACCTCCTGCCTGGGCGGCTGCTCAGATCGGCGTGGCTCAGCTGTAAGTACTTCCACTGTCTCAAAACCTCCGAATCCCTTGGATCTCGATGGGCCTCGGACGATAGGCATGGGGAGATTTGGAAGTTGTTTTGCAGAGAAAGGATGACTGTTGGTAAACTTCTATCAAAGTGGGTAAACAATGGAAGAAATAAGAGCAAATAGAAGAAAAGAATACATTTAAAAAATAAATTGTTTTACCTCTTTGATAAACACTTTTACCGACAAATTTTCTTCGACGATAAGAAACCAAAGAAAAATTCAAAATTTCTTTCTGAATAGATAATTGGCTTAATCACTAGATTTATCATTAAAACTTTCACCCTCAATTTTTCTCTAGGCTAGAGTCGATTTTTTCTCAGAATGCAATTGAAAACTCTTAACTAGATTCCCTCTAGAGATTCCATTTGGGGTAAGTAGTTGAGATATGGAGAAATACGACGATTAAGAATTTCTCCACATTAAGTAGAAAGTACATTCATTTCTTTTGACGATCTCTTTCCACGAGACAATAGAGGAATTTCTTGCTGCCTTCTTGTTTGTTGCCAGTTCTTAACCATATATATATTGCATCATTTCTTTTGAATGGCCACTCTATTCTCATGTAACATTTTACTAACTCTTTTCTTAGTCTCGAAGGGTGCGAACATAGTAGGAGTGTCGAAGGGTATTTTAGCGTTATTTTAACGTCTAGCCTCTTCTGTTGAAACGTTAAAATGACGCTAAAAATATTTTCAGATGCGTTCAGTATATTCGTACTCTAACAGCAAAACTTAGTAACTTTCCTAACCCGCACCCGGAGTTCAGTCTCAGGGATGCAGACGCGCTCCGGGAAACTTATCTGTGTTGGAATCAGTGTATTAGAGCTTTCAGAGACATTAATGTGGGAATTAATAATAAATTTTACATGCCTCTATTAGCAGAAGTGTTCTTTCTAGCCTATGAAATCTCTCTTTGCAGTACTCCCTCAACTTGGCAGACGAGGCGCGGGACAATCACGCCCAGCAGATCGAGAGGGCAGAAATAGCTAATCTTGTGCGAAGCCGGATGGAGTCACTAAACCTGCCCGGAGCTGACTATGATGACGTGAGCGAAAAGCGCAATCACCTATCCTACGTCATCATTAATCCGAGCTGTGACCTGAAGCTAGAGGAGGGCGATATAGTGTACCTGGTCAGACCGTCGCCCTTCTCCGCCCAGAAGACTTTCGAGCGCCACAATTCACGCCGCAAGTCAAACATTTCCTTTTGCTCCAATCTTGCCGCCGCCGCGGCTGCGGTGGCGGCGAGCGGCTCTCGCCGCGGCTCCGGCATCGGCCTCAATACCTTGGGCGGCGTCCAATCAATGTCCGGGTATGCTTCACCTCGTGCTCCGCCTTTAGTAACAACCAAATCCAACTCACTTTCATTACCTGACAGCCCTACAGTCGTTGGACAGCAGCGCGGACGCAGCAATTCGCTTCGGGTTTGTTCTCTGCCTCACACACACCTTTGATTCTCTAATTTCTCTATCTCTAGGCTTCAGAGCGCTACGGTTGCTCTTTGCATAAAACTTCCTCGAGTCCATATTTTTCAATTAACCTTGGCTTGATCAATCGCTTGAACGCAGTAGAATTTTTTTTGATCGTAAACTTTGGTGGCTTTCAAGTGATTAGATCACTGCAAAACTCTAAAAGAAGAATTGGCTCTAGCTGCAACAACTCCTAGAGTTAGGTTAGAGTGCTTGAGGCTCTCTCTAGGAAAGTCTCATTTCAAAATTACAACTCTCAATTATTGCTGCCAAACCCCTGTGCTTATACCCATTTTTCCATTTTCGCTCTATCGCATCTTCATTCTCTTAAAATTGTCTGCGCAGATTGACAATGATATTCTGCTGAGGCGGTCCAGCTCCTTACGCCAAGGACTGCCCAACGTGGGCATCCAGGGTAGACGGAAGTCCTCCCTGGAGGAGATCGGCATCAGCCATTTCACCACCCTCATGCAGGCCACAAACCACAGCAACCCCATCAAGATTGCCCTCAACGGTAGCATTGGGCTTGAGGTTAGTATAAAGGCAAGTGTTGTGTTTCGTCTTCTTTCTATTCTGCGCACTTACACATCACGACAATTGGGGCATCGTGTTAATCCATTACCAATTATGGTGTGTTGTCGGTGAATTCCAGTTGATTTGAGATAACTTCTGTACGATTTATTAGGCCTGATAGATAAGAGAAAGTGTTAGGTAATCAATTGGCTTATCTTTGAAAATGGACAGCGTGTTTCCTCGGAATTTCACGGAAGCAGGTTTATTTGTGACTGGTGTGAAGAAGAGATAAAATGGGTTGTTATGTCATTCGGGAGCGCAACCCACTCAGAAGCCCCGCCCACAAATCACAGAAATTCCCCAAACATATCGATCTACCACCAATTTCCATCCCCAAATTGAATGGAAGAAACCTTCAACTAAAGCTTGACAGATGAAGAATCACGCTGAGATCAGAACTCAACGATCGAAGGAAATACAGAGGGTTCAAAAATTTTCATTTCATACGGAAGATAGGAGGAGAATACTGAAGCAATTATTCAATTCTCTGACGTTCTCTGCCGATATTTGTCACTAACACTTCTTGGTGTATTTCTACTTTGAATAAGTTTGGACAATACTGAGAGGTCTTATCTTTCCAGGTCACTCCTCCGGAAGAGCCTCTGCCTGTGATCGGCGTGCCGTGCATGAGTGGCGGCGGTGTGAATCCATCAGGTCTAGGCGGGTCAGCCTTGGGTATCAACACTCTAGGCGACACAACACCGAGCCCACTGTCAGTGCCCCAATCTGAGTCCGCTTCGGCCAGTCCGCAGCATCTTCAAGGCACGATTGTATGACCTTCGCTCAATCCCTCGCACAGCTACAACATAATGTGGGGCCGCCGGCTGCGCTCTGCAGTGCAGAAGAACAAGTGGATCTAAGTTCAGGCGTAGGCCGGCGGCGACAACCCACATTGCGGTCAGTGAATCAACGCGAAAATGTAATTTGTCTAATCAATTGTAGATGACATTATTCGATAAGTGCAGATTGAGACTAATATTCAATGAATATTAGTGTAATAGAAATGTGTTTTGGGAACAATTTGTAGCGATTGTAGATGCATAATGAAAATTGATACAAAACCTTGTGAATAAAGTTGATGAGTCAGAGTTGTATAAGAAAACGTTACATTTTCCTATATATTAAAAAAAAAACTCAAATTGACAGCTCTTTTTGATTGTAAAATCGTATTTAGAGGTGAATATCCATTAGAGATATTTTTCATATCCAAAAGAAAGAAGTGGAGCAAATGGACTAAAGTGTAGTATGGTATTATTCAGAATTGAAGAAAAAAATGATCCTAATAGTGTTGAAAAATCGTTAGATTATTATGTAAATATTTGTATAAAAGACCATTCTTTGCCAATCTATTTTACCCATGAAAATTTCATTGAACTAATCCCCTTCTCAATTTCTTTAATATCAATTAAAATTACCGCATAGCGGAAGTATGATTAGATTGACTATATACCAATTTAATTGTATATTTATTCGTATAACATTACTACCAAAAGAGAGTTGTGTAAATTGAACAAAAAAGGAAATTGACACATCTATAATTCGAAGACATATTTTATCATATAAATAATTATCTTAAAAATTACAAAAAGAATCATCGACTGACCATTGAGATGAAAAAGTCAGTAACGCTTTGGTATACTGTGAACGCTTTACTAACTTACGATTTGTGACACAGACAAGATATAGTGAGATGGGTGAGCATTGATACATTGAAAAATATAGGAATTATCAAAAATTCAATTATGTAAGACATAATAGTTATGAAATGTTTAGAAATTGACTCACCTCTTATTTATCGGCTTCAAGAACTCTCTGATTTTAGTGTATAGCAATGGAGGGAAGCCTGGTATAACATAATTTGTACAGTTAAATCTTGTAGAATGCTATTTGTAGATAGGATTGGGAAGGAATACTTCGCTGGATGGGTAATAAGGATTCACTGATGAAGGTGCTACGATATTTATTTCACATTTTCACGCTATTTTCGCTGTATTGCTCAATTACTTTCCCTTAAAAATATAATCACCCTTCAGTGACAGAATATCAGCACACACGAGAGCATCACAAAAGTGAGAGGAAATAATTCACAGAGTTTCGAAAAGCACCCGCAGTTCACACCCAACTGACAATTGGGGAAGTAAATGTTAATGACATTTTGTAATGTTTGTCAAAATATGTGTTAAAAGGCCTTAGGTGACATTGTTCAGAAGGAAGTGAAACTGTAATTTAGCCATCAATGTCTCTCAAGAGAATTAAATGACACAATATGAAAAAAAAATCATTTGGAATACATGAGAAAATAAAGTGTAGTGACTATAAATTTATAGGCAAAGATCCGATGTAAATACAAAAGAAATATTTACTAAATATTCTTTATTATTTCATTAGGAGTTTGTAAAATGAAGGGTGAAAGAAAATAACTCTAATGAGCTAAAGTTTAAAGTTATGTTAATCTTCTAAATATTAGATAAATATATTATTAATTAACAAGAAAAATGCTGCTATCCATTCTCAATCCCTCATCATCAGATTCTTCATAGCGCGCGCTCCTTTACAAAATATCTAACTACAAGTCAGTCCAAGATTTTCAGTCCTCTGAGTTCATTCATTGTTTCCTCAACAAGCTTTTATGCATTTTATTGTGAAGTTCTTTTTGAAAAAAAGTGCTTTCTTTTTGCTTTTAAACCAGGACAGTTGGCACATTGCATCGTAATTTTGCTCAATATCACTAATTAAATTTTCATATTAAGTTTTCAAGGAAACCATCAATTAAATACTTTTCCAGAATTTCACTAAGTTATTATAATGTATGTTAGCAAAATATGTTATTATATTCCTTTTAATAAGTAATAAATTCTCTGGTAATATTTGTGATGAGAATTTGGCGCGAAAATGTGCTTTAATACAAAAAGGCGCATTTCTTTGTGCACAAATGCGTCTCTAATGGCAAAGGTGAAAGCTTAGGTTTATGTAGTCTTGGGACGGAGTACATTAGCAATGAATTGGCCACCGATATTGCCGCGGGGATGATAATTGCACACCACGATGACCTTCCCCTTCTGAGTTCTAGCCATGCCCACGCCCAGGTATCGAGATGAGCGCCAGATGAGTTGTGTAAAGTGTCCTGCCCTGAGAATGCCCTTTGGCTCCACGCCATAAGTATATCCTTTTCCCTCCTCATACCATGAGCGACAGACGTCTCTGGGCTTAGCGCGAGCATTGCTCTCTGATGTCCAGAGACAGTAAATGTTCTCGCCATACGAAGAATTTGGCCTGTGAGCAAATCTGTCCTGCTGAGCGAGCGTTTCTGCCCACTCTTGCGCCACCAAAGTCACCTCAGGGCCAACAATCAACTCAGGTGCTCCGTGCTTCCTCCTCAACTCATTGTGATGGTGCAGAACAGCATCCGCGAACTCTCGGAGATCTATGGTGTCCTCAAAGTGTACTGTTGGAGAGGTTTTCTCGCTCTCAATTTCCCTGATGCGTCGAAAACCTCCCACCGGAGGCACATTTTCAGCGAAACTGCCGATGAAGTTGCCCGGTGGATCGTAATTTGCCACCACAAACACCTGCCCTGATCTATTCTTTGCCTGACCCACACCCAAATCCCTGCTGTCCTGCCACACCACTTGCGTGAAGTGACCCGTCTTGAGTGTTGCCGGCTCGCGGTGGAAACCATGATGCGCCACTTCTGCGTACCAATTCTCCACAGGATCCCTGCCATTGACACTCACTCCCCCACCGCCAGAGGACCAGGCGCAGAAGATATTCTCCCCATACGGTGAGTTGTTCCTGTGCACTGGCGTTCCTCGCGCTGCGATGATCTTGGCCCACTCTTCAGCGTGCCTACAGAGTTTCTTGTTGAGTCTCAGCGGAGGAACGCTATGTCTCGCCCGGAATTCATTGTGCGCCTTTAAGCACTCCACCTGGAAGAGGCCAAAGAAGAAAATTCAATTCAACTTGATTATTTCTACCTAAATTTTAGCACCCTTATTGAGCCGGCGCCCCTTTGCATTACTTGTTTCGCACGGACCACAAATGTACAACTCAAAATTACATCGAAAATAACTGAGAATTCGCGTGATTCAGGAAGATATATTTATGTGTGGAGCCAAACAATGTGCACGCAATAAAATACCAATATTTTGGTGTGAATCGCGAGGGAGTCATTTGGAAGTGTTTTTGGCTAATCTTAAAGCGCCAGCATATTGAAGGCATTTGCGACAATTTGTATTTAATTGAGAGGGGTTTTCTTTATACCTCAAAGTCAGTGAAAACTGCTGCCATTCCTGAACGCCTCTTTGCCGTGGGCGAGGGCGTTTTGTGACGCAAGCTGAGATTCATAGTGCGACTCGTGGGCGATTTGGAGCCGGGATTGGGGCTGTTGTGACGCGATGACTTGGGTGTGGAGAGTCCAGAGTGGCCGTTTGTGATGGCTGGAGGCTCCAAAGAATTGGGCGCGTTCGGCGTTTGCGGAGTGCTTCCGCAGATTTTCATGGAACTGAGGGAATTCCTCATGGAGTCCGTGAGATCGCCCACATCGCATGTCTCCTTCAGGACAATTGTCCTATCCGGCTTGTGGCCCTTGTATGTCTGGATGGTTTCAAAGGTGACGATCTCGCATTGATTTTCCTGTGCGGCATGAGGAAGATATTAGAATAGCACGTGGATTGTTTGGGGGCAAAATTGGCCTTGAGTCACGGAAGCAACACTCGGAGAAATCGATGCCAAATGTTGCTTCCCGGCCAAGTGCGCCACCAGACACTTACACCTTGTCCTCTGTGGTTGATCAGACGCTGATCGCGTTTCCTCACCATCACCACGCGCGACAGGGAACCGCAATCATGTTGGGATGATCCCACTGGCGGCAGCCTCACTCCGTCCATCAGGGCAGATCGGGCTGGTCTGTGTTCAAAATTGGCCATAAATATCCACACGAGCAATTTGTGAGACATTAAAAAAACACATGCAGGCAAGAAAATCAAACAGACATTCTCAACGCATTCCAAATAAACAGCAATAAAACCCTTGTTTTACAGCAAAAACACTCATTCCCAATCAATATTAATCTATGAGACAAATTCTTCAAATTCATCACGCCTCCAAACGATCATGTCAATTGATCGTTACAATTTTCGCACTAATTAAAACCCCATTTGAGATCACTCCCGCGAATTCGCATCGTTCTTTAATTACCCAACAATTATTCGATGTGGCGCCTGAGAAACTCATGCAGAATTCCAAATAAACACACTTCCTTTCCAGTCACAACTTCCATCTTTTCTTGTGCCCATTTCGACGCACTTCGCGAGAGGGTCACACAGTGGAATTTCGTAGCATGAAAATCCACTTATGAATGCCGTTAAGATTTCACCCAGTTTTTCAGCTCGATATCTGAGACTGCGTGGAAAATATGACGCCCGCGAAAATGTGGAAAATTCCCATCAAACTAATTAGAGATGATCAAACAGAAGAGTTGATAAACCTCTGTGAGCATAAAACAACACCAAAACTACAGCTAAAGCCTCTAAAACGTGATAAGCATGCTGGTGTAATCTAATGTTGGAGAACAACGCAGGTTCTTATTTATAGATGACGCTTGATTTTGCAATATTTGCATCAAATGACGAAGCAATAGTTAATTAGTGTGTTTGAATAAAAATGAGGGCGATGAATACAAAGAAAACTTGTGTTTTCCCTCGTTGAAATAAATTATGCAAACATTGCAGAGTTTCTGGTCTGGGTGCTGCTTCATTCACGTTAGACACTTTTCCGAGCGATTCCCACCGAGGGGCGCACTATTAGGAATATTGCGGGGCTTAGAAGATCTGCCAGTATAAAATTTATTTAATTGTCTGTCCTCCAAATGAACTGAAGAACTTAAATAAGCCCAAATGATGAATTGGGATCAATATCAATCGGAAGATTACTTTATATTCCTTTAAATTTATACCTTTATCATAAAGTGATAAAGCAAAATCGACCGGAAAGAGCAAGAATTTAGAAATCTATCTGCCTCGGAGATAAAATACCACTTATAACACTTCAATAAACATTCAGTATCATTGGAATGAAGTAATGCAATATAACCAATATATCCTCCATTCAATGCAAACCATCAGTTCGCCTAATGACGCACCCCTTCAGTCCCTCGAGAGACTTTATCACGACAAAATTGTCCACTCTGTGCGCGTGATATTAAGTGTATTGAGTAACTTTTTCCGCAACACATTTCATGAGGTTTTTGGCTCCAATGATCACCCAATGAAAGTATCTCTATATAACAACAAAAGGATTTCAAGAGTGAATTGAAGCCAAATAAGTGTGAAATTGCGGATGGATTTCACCCGGGAATAAAATCCACCCAATTTAATGGCGTAAATGTAAAATTGTCAACATGGAAGATGAGAAGAGACATGATGAAAGTGGGGATACAAATGAGCAATTCAGGCAGTGTCTAAAAACAGAGATAATTGAATTTTCATGAATGTGGCGACTTGCAATAAATCTTGCTCCTCAGCAAAATTACCTGCACCTGGATGCCATCTTCAAGCAGCACACTTCCATCTTTTCCCTCTTCTATATTAAAGCTAATTCTAGACACAAATTCGCCACGGAGTTTGTGAGTAATGGAGAAAGAACCTCTTATCTATAGCTTTTTTGTTACTCTCCTCTCCGTGCACGATAAACGCTTGACACACACTTTGCAATTCTCAACTGTGAATTGCGAGAAAAATAAAGTGATAAGCAGACTCTCTTGGGGGATTTTGCGGCACTCAAGAAGGTTGATTAGTCGCCCATCTCTAGATTCTCTGTGTCAAGAGTCCCAGAACCTCTCATAAGATCCGCACACAGTATTGATTTATTAGCACACGACTGCAAAATGCAAGCTGTGTAGAGTGATTTGCACCTCTGACTGCAGGAATGAAACTCTCGAGGGGCAAAAGTCCAACGGCAGCTCTCAGAATCCCAAATCGATAGGCGAAGGTTGATGGGCTGGAAATACTATCACAACTTGCGTTTCACAGCACCCAAAAAAAACCAAGAGCGACCACACAAACGATTGATTTGATGTTCGGAGCACTACTGACTGACTTTCGAGTCGACACTATTAATTTTGTGGGCTCTTTTCGCATATCCCGGCGCGACTCTTCGGTGATTCTCGTGATACTCAAGACGGTGGAGCTGTTATCACTTAACTTTACTTATGGCGAGATGTGCTCACGATCCAGAACAATGCCCGCAGAACTGGGAAGTGTTCCGAGTGTCAGCAGCCTCGATTGCCCTTCCCGCAGGAATTCACGTGATGACAGAGGGTGCACAAAAGTGAGGGGAAGTGAGCGCCCAGATGACCGGCTCAGAAGTATTGATTTTACTCCACTCTGCGTAGTGACAAACCCCTCGCATTCACCCTCGCACAAAACGCGCCTTTTCTGCTCCATTCACCTGATTCTCTACCCTCAAACCGCCCAGAGATGATCGCTCTACGCTATTTTTAGACGCACTCCCGCACTGAGTAAACAATCCACACATCAAGTTTAAGGTCGTCACCTCGAGATATCTGCTCTATGTCTCAAATAATTGATTTCTTATCTACGCGATGAGTGCAATTCACCAAACAAACAGCCCCGTAGAAACCGATGTAATCATTTACATCCGTAGTAATCGTAGCAGGCAATTTGTAAATTTAATGGACAGTTTGTTTCCAAAGCATCTTTATATTTAAGTCCATATTAATTTCTATTACTATTCTTATTATTACTGAGGGATTTTAGGTACGAACGATATATGATAAAGGACGAAATTTTAGAGTGGGCGGAGCTACTTTCAGTGCAAATTATTCTACTCCGTTGCAGTTTCATGATACTATTGAAGGTGTTGTTCTTTGCTGTTTTAGCAAATTGTCGACACGCAATATTACAAGTGTAGACAACAGTTCTAACTTGAGCAATTTATTGAACAATGTTCACTCACTCCTGATACAAGGTGCGATGCCAAAACCTCGTGATAACCCCAATCATAAAGAGACCCACCCTTCGAAATTAGTGCCAAATCGGTGGGAAATTAAAACACTAAAAGAACAAACATGAGACAAATGTATTGACAACGGAAATTCTTTATTTCTCATGCGCTGATAACATTCTCAATTTGTCAAAGTGACTAGATAATTTTCAGCAGTTTTTTCTTCTTTATTATTAAGATTTCATAATTAGATTACAACGTTACACACTGACACTTTTGAGGTGTGAATAATTTCATATTTTTCTTGCTTCAACGTTTAAATATGTTTTCTTATTTAAAATTGGAATAAAATATTCACTTTAAGCGAAAATATATTCTTTTCTATTATTTTAGTTTTCTGTTTCTCTTTGTTATCAATTCAACTCTTTTTTTCCTCACTATTTACAACTGTGGACATATTGTGAACTCTTTTCTTTTGTTAAACCTTCCCTTTTATCGAGGAAAATCATCATTTTGTACCACTAGTATTTTATCTATTCAAACTGAAAACCGCATCGCGACTATCACAAGTAATAAGAAGAGATTAAAAAATATATTATGATAAAATAATTTGTTACGAAAGATGGGAAACGAGGCCAAGTTCTTCAAGAATGAAGATAAAGGAGTTAAAGAAAATAATAATATTATTGTATAAAATGGTAAATATACTCACAGAAGGAATGATTGCGTTCCTTCTCAAACAGTCTCCGAATTCCCAATTTAATTTCTAATGCTCAATTAAATGATATTTAGATAAGAAAATGTGTACCATATTTTAAATATCTGGGTGTGTTTTTGAAGCATATCGGGAGGATTTCCGCTGCGAGCACGGCGTTCCTGGGAGTCGTTGAGAGATACAGAGAGAAAATTGAAGGGAGATCCATAAAGCGGGCTTGTTCCCACTAACACAATCCACCCTCTTCGATGTCGTCCGAGTTGGGAAAACTCCTGCCGCTGTCCGAGGGATTCTGAAAGACATGAGCAAGTTGTTAGTGTCTGGCGAGGGAGATTTGGCGGCGATTTTACCTCTCCTGGCGGAGCGTTTGGGGATTTGTAAGATGCCGCGGCGTTCTCGATGACACTGGCTTTTGGGGCGGTGGACAGCCCACTGGGCAGTGGCAAATCTCTCGCCAATTTCGAGTATTCAACGTCCATGTGACGAATGAAGGGCGACATGAGCGCCTGGCGTGCCAAATCTGGATCTTCGTCATCGAAGCCTTGGAGGAGCATTTCGAGCGTCTGAATTTCTGAGGGCTCGCAGAAGTTACCCCACTCCTTAAACGCCTTCTCGGCAGCTACATAATCCGCCCTGGCCAGTTGCACCAGCACTAAAACAACGGCCAGTCGTCCGATCGCCTGGAAGGTCTCCGATTGCTGGTTCAGAATGATCTCTCGCCGGATGATGTCCGTGGCCTCGTCGTAAAACTGATACTTCACCATCAGACGCGCCAGGCGGCTGAGGTATTCGATTCCCTGTCGCGTGGAGTCCTCAGTCATCACGATATCCACGGCCTTGTTGAGCAGCCCGATTGCCATGTCAGGCATGTGACTCTCCATGAACTTCGACGATTTCTCCAGCACTGTGATTGCCGCCTCCGGAGACCCATGCTGCTGATAGAGACTCGCCGCTTCCACCACAACCTCTGGGAGATCCTTATACTTTCCCATCTCCTTCATGGGCTGCATAGCCAGTTCCAGTGCCTTGGCTGCATGGAACCACGAACGATTCAACTTGTAGTGGTGGGAACACTTCATGAAGCACTCAAAACTCTTGTCATACTGCTTTGCTATGCGATACGCCACACCTGGAAGGCACACACAGCATCCGGGAGGTGAGAAATGATCCGGAAGACGGGGGAATTACACACAAATTACCTGCTTTTTGGTACTCATCAGCAGCCACATCGTAATCGGGCTTCCACTTGAGGAACCCCGTCTTCATGCTCTTCTCCGCCTGGCGAATGTGTTCCAGGGCCTCTTCAATCTTCCTCTGATTCGCCATGGCAAAGTGCACAAATTTTTTCCAAGGTTTTTCACTCCTTTTCCGCCCTGACAGGAAAAATTTCCTTTTTCCTCTCCAGACTCTTCGGACGCCTTGCGATATATCGGAGAACAATGTCGATATTTCGAACAAGATTCGAAGCAATACGCGGCCGAGTGCGGCTGAAATTGTTGCAACAGATGTGAAATTCTTTGTGTTTTATTGGTTTATGACCGTATAATTTGTTTGTTTGATTGAAATACTCTCTCTGTTTTGAGGCATGTAGTGTATTTTCATCATTATAATAAAATTCAATGCAGGAAAGAAAGTGTGATAATTGTGTCTCGGATAAGGCGGGCGAATTTTATAGCAACAACAAACATAACCTAAAATTATTGGTCATTGTTTTGGTATTGTGAAAGTCTAGAAAATTACTGAAAAGTTTAATCAATTTCTTAAGAATGCACGAGGAAGTGTGCATCAAATACTCTAAATACACTATCAATTCAAAATTAGGTGTTATGTTACGTGAATTGTGTTTTAAGAGGAGGAATTTCATTACATCAAAATCCTATCATATTCCTTGCTTTGGTATGATTTTTGTCAATTTTTCTACACTTATTTATAACTCATTACATAATTTCTCTTTAATTTCACTTGTCTGCACAGGAATAACTTGAATTTGTATATGAGAGCTCTCCGAAGCATCTTCTATGCAAGATTTTCTCATCTTTGTCCCGAAGCAAAGTTTATGGAGTTCCCGGAATGCTGACATTACAACTCAAAGAGGTATTTCATTTCAATTAAATCCGTCTCTTTGGAAAATCTTCCCGGTAAATAGGAGACTAAATAGGAGCCCGAATTGCTTTACTAAAGAACACTTGAGGTGAATTCTTCACTCAATTGGAGGATTAAACTGCCTCTAAAGCCGGTTGAGAAACAGCAAATCGGGGTATTTAACCTTTGGATGGGATCATTATGATAATGCTTCTGCTTTTCTCGACTGGGAAGCGAAAGATCGTCAGTGTTTGTTTAAGTGTGGTACAATGAAGCCACTTTCTGTGCATTTTGTTGCTCTCCTGGCGGTTTCTGTGGCATCTGGTGTAGAGCTGGTGACCAGGAGCGGACCAGAAACTGAGAAATACCAACCAACCTGGGAGAGTCTTGACTCCAGACCTCTTCCTAGTTGGTATGATGAGGCCAAAGTTGGTATATTCATTCATTGGGGCGTGTATTCAGTGCCGAGTTTTGGTTCAGAGTGGTTTTGGATCAATTGGAAAGGTGAGTTCAATATTCTGTAGCTCTAGTGGATATTGCAAAGCTACAGCAAATCTCCTTATTGCAGAAAACAGTGAAAAGTACGTTGAGTACATGAAGAAGAATTTCAAGCCGGGATTTTCCTATCAAGACTTTGCCAGGGATTTCACAGCTGAACACTTCAATGCCTCAGAATGGGCTGACTTGTTTGCCAGAAGTGGAGCGAAATACATTGTTCTGACCAGTAAACATCACGAAGGATACACAATGTGGCCCTCGAAGTACTCTTTCAGCTGGAATGCTCAAGATGTTGGTCCTCATCGAGATCTCCTTGGGGAACTTGCGCATGCGATCAGGAGTGAGACGAAGCTGCGCTTTGGTGTGTATCATTCCCTCTACGAATGGTTCAATCCGCTATACTTGAGCGATAAAGAAAGTAACTTCACCAAGCAAGAGTTTGTCGAGCACAAAATTTTCCCAGAAATGCTGGAATTGGTGGACGAGTACCAGCCTGAAGTGCTGTGGTCGGACGGAGAGTGGGAAGCCAGTGATGACTACTGGAGATCCAGAGAGTTCCTCTCCTGGCTCTACAATGACAGTCCAGTCAGGGACAGTGTGGTGACAAACGATCGCTGGGGGAAAGACATACTATGCAAACATGGAGACTTTTTCACCTGCCAAGATCGATACAATCCGGGTGTTTTGCAGCCCCACAAGTGGGAAAATGCCATGACAATCGACAAGAAAAGTTGGGGATATCGCGTGGACGCTCGCTTAGAAGAATATCTAACCACGCAGGATCTCATCTTCGAGTTGGCTTCAACTGTGAGCTGTGGAGGAAATCTATTAGTAAATGTTGGGCCCACAAAAGAGGGTCTAATTGCACCTATCTTTGAGGAGCGATTGACAGAACTAGGAGAGTGGCTGCAATCAAATGGAGAGGCGATCTATGCAACCAAGCCTTGGCAGTATCAGAATGACACCCAAACCACTGGAGTTTGGTACACAAGTCGAGAAGATGAACACTGGCTGTATGTTTATGCAATTGTCCTCAAATATCCCAGAACCTCCAACATCACACTTTATTCTCTGGGTGGAAAATTTAATGAAAACTCAAGAATTATATTGCTGGGATACGACGTGGAGATCAAGGTGAAATATTTAGATAAACATTGGTGATATATAACGGAAATCCATTGATCTTTTGATGATATTTTCAGTGGACTGGCACTGCACAGTTTATAAACATTGAATTCCCGCCCAAAGACGAGTTGGATAGGGAAAATCTCCGCTATGCTTGGACATTCAGGATCAATTTGCCGAAATAGAAAGTGATGAATTCTATCGTCAGATTAGCTTGTTTCTGACTGGATATGCAAACTTTTATCTCCACTTTGGCATCATCTTCTACGATCATTTCTAACCAATCGTGACAGAGAATGTAACAACATCAAATTTTTCAACAATTATTCTAAAAACGTATCACCAGAACTAATTCCTCAAACACTACAAATCAGCATTTTATCCAGGTTTATAAAACTAATGTATTTAAATTGCTGTCAATATAGAATATTGTACAGAAGAATATTTTTTTTATGAAATGATAACAATTTAAATTATTTAGAATATTTAGGGTGCGATTAACTCACAAGAAATTCCAGGACTTTCTCTGGGTAAGAAACTCAAACTCTTTCATCACTGGTTTCGTTTCAATAGATTTCTCCATCGTAGAGTTGAAGAAAAAAAATACCAATTCATCTAAATACTTTTCGACACAATTCACTGTAATAATAGCAATTCAGCTTTGTAGAGTATGGTAGAGTACTTCGAGTTGCTGATGCAATATTTCTCTCATTTGCAGATGAAAGAAATGCCACGAACTTCCCTGGAAGAATGATTGAAATCGCGCGTTTTTTTCTATGTGGCGCCGCTTATCGGTGGCGGAAATTTAACACTATTCCTTGATATTTGCTGATGTATTAGGAATTAGTCACTTTATCAATACTGAAAGTGACCTCAGAGATTAGAGAAGAGGATCAATTTTACATAATATTTCTATGCACTTTGCTGTGGTTAAAATTATCGCGCGAATTTGGTTTTGAAAGATTCATGAAATTTACTCAATTGTGCACTCTTACTTGAGCAGAGTATTGATTTCTTGCGTGGGAAATGCACAACTAACGACTACTGTGATAAGGATGGGTGAAGATAGCAGCAGAAATGCAAATGACTGGCGAGGCGAAAAGTGTTTATATTGAGAGAACAAATATTCTTTGAGATTGACAGATTTCCCGACGTTTTATGTAAATTTTCTAGTGATAACGAGATATTTTATTTTTCATGCTGACTTTGGGATTGATAAGAAATTGGCGATGATGAGTTGGAAAAATTCGACATTTGCCCAGATGTTATTAAATAATTCTGAGCACAATATTTATGATCAATCTCTTAAATAGAATATTATTTACGTTATCATCTTCAAGGTTAAGAAACTCGAATGATTTTGCAATCAATCGACGATTTCTTTATTAATTAATTATCGCAGCAATTAAAATGCCCAATAATCTTTTGACACGTGAACCTGGGATTATTTAGGGGGCCTTTTAAGAGAAAAAAAAAACACACTATCATATCTGCTTTTTCTTGGATGAAATTTTAGTAAATTTCCGGAGACCCTAAAATCTGTCTCTCTGTGGTGTTTGAGTGAGAGAGACAGGCATAAACTCCACACGTTTTTATGTGTTTGTGGCGTTTGTAATATAAAATCGGCGGCCTGAATGTTTGGATCAGTGTGCAAAGGAACTCAAAGCGCTGAAGACTTATATTTTGTGGTGTAGTCAGGGAAAAAATGTGACTCTGTATTCTTGCCTAAAAGAACACCGTTGAGACCATTTTGTTGAAAGTGAAAAAGTGTAGGAAAGCCATAGAAATAATTCATATAGCTTCCAATTGCGTTTCTGGACGTCACATAATCGAATTGAATCGATTTTCACTCGTCCATTCTATAGTTTGTTCTAAGTCGCGGAAAAGTGGCTTTTTCGGCTGAATATAGTTTGAGTGTGAAATAGACTGAGAAGAGTTCAGGGAGACTTCCCTGGGTTTTTGGCGGGATCTCGTGAGAAGTGTGAGTATTTTATGCATGCTGATCTTAGAGAAATTCCTCTATTTAAATCGTGCGTCAAGCTATCTTTTCCTGTGCCACGTGGAACATTAACATATCCGAATGACTTCCACGAGACTCTCTTGACTACCATTTTCTTCCAAAAATACACACATGGTTGCTCTATAAAAGCTAGCTAAAACCAGTTGCCTTGCAAAAGTCTCTGCACCGTTCAATCATCGCAAGAACCGAAAAATTCCCATGAGATTTATCGCCTCGAGTCAAAAATTATCGAGTGTAATTTAGTAAATCAACACGGAGAGTAATTATCGAGGCATTTTACGCTGTAATTGTAATGCTTGACGATTTGAGTTGCATTTGGGACCGTTAAAGGAGTGGACAAAACACTGAGGAGAAAATGTTCTTGTGACTTGACGCACAATTTCATCCAATTTTTCATCCACTTCAGCAAATGAAATTGTGATCTTCACCCGATTTTTCAATGGTAAATGATGCGGAAAAGGGCGCTAAAATGTGCCAGCAGATATCAAAGCCTTTCGACTGGTAATTACTCAATTTCACCACGTCACAAGAGGCTCTTCTCTTATCTTTCTGTCGTATAAAAATGGATACTTTTTTTTTCACCGATGGAATTTACTTTTCAGTCGGTCTTTTCGTTTCTCAATCACGCAGTGTTTGTGTGCGTGTGGATTTTCCTGAAATGTCGAAAGAGAGAATTCGGTTTCAGAGCTTCTGGCGCATGCTCACAATTGTAATTCGATGCAAAAGTGTATAGGAGTTTGTGATCAAGGTTAGAAATTTCTTCTGAAGCACGCGTGTTGCTATGATATAAAGTCAATAAGCAGTCAATTTGTATACACACAAGTTTCATAAAAATGCTCATCAGCTGGCATTTTGGATGTTGCTAAATCTTGTGCAGTCACTAAAAGTGTCAACGAGTTATTTACTGATTATCACGATAAAACACTATTTCGATCGCTTGGCCTTTCCAAAAACATGGTCAAGTCGCGCGAGTTGTAAAAAGCAGCATGGACAGCAAATGAGAGATGAATGAAGAAAACCAAAAAATAGTAGCGGAAGAACGCAATAAACCCATTGTTTTTTGTTTATAGTACCAACGATTACGTAAATTCATATCATACTATAAACTAGAACTAGTCTGTGTATTCCCTTATCAACATCTAAGAGTTGCTTTATGATCTTCATTTAATTAGAACATTTTATTTTACTTTATGAAGAGCTAGAAGAATGTACAAATATTAGAATAGTTGACCCTTTAGGGCCGAAGGACGTTTTATAAAAAGGATTTTTTATTCACTAATTTCTATAATTCTACACTATATTGCTATGTCTTGTATTCGCGTGCTCTCTTTGTGGCTACGAAACTTCAGAAATCGTAAAGTATGTAATTTCATCTTTACTTTGCACAAAAGAACCATTGAATGAAACATATCTTCCAATTTTTTGTGGAAATTGCTACTGTTCTGCTGTAACTCTGACTCCTTAGACCGGTACTTTCAAGTGCAAGTAGTTTTGCCAGTTTTGCCCTACTTGAATCGAACAGGAAGCACTATAATTCTCTCGTTTCTCTGGGTGTTGTTGACCTCTCCAATGTGTAAGGGTAAAAACTCAACAAATGACTCACCTTTAGGCGGTTATTCCGCCTCTTCCAATTACACGTCGCATGAAAATCGATTTTTCCTACGTTTCTCATTCTCTCTTGTCGCGATGTAGGGCAAAGTGTGAATGAAATATTCCGGAGGCGCACTTTTCTGTGAGAGTCACATGGAGAATTACGCGCCATTTTTCACGTGACGATTATCCGAGTTGACGGGCGTCTGATTGAGGGGGTGGCTAAGAGCTTGGTTAGACGCAGATTAGAGGGTTTATCGCGAAACAGCGTCAAGCGTGTTGATGCCAGATGGTGGCAGAAATTGGCGCGGACGCCGTGCAGAAGTATAGAAGGCCAAAGAGTGGCTTGGATGCGATTGTTCTGAGTGGCCACCACGTGCTTGAACCCCAGACGAAAAACGAGATTCAGACGCTGAGGTCATGTATGTTGCATGACGCAACATTTGCCGGCTTTTCTTCACGCATCCACACCAACACAAGCGAAACGCTGAGGTATGAATTCTTGCCGTCTCTGCATCGATTTCTCTCTCTCTTTCTCTGTCTTTCACGCAGCTTAAATTTCACGAATGAAGTCACGAAAGGTTTGAGAATTGTTTGAGGCTGATGCAACATCAAATTCAAGTTTCTCTATGACCATAGAAGACACACCTCCTCTTGTCTTCCTTTTGTGGCTCCCAAGCACTGCGGATCTTGAACTCGCTTGCTTATAAATCTCGTGATTGTCTCGTGGCACTTTTTTTTCTACAACTGAAGTGTGATCAATCAGTGATAGTTTGTGGCAAAAAGGCGCGAAAAGAGTGGCGAAGCCGGCAAAAAAGGTTGTGTAGGTGCAATGCAAATGACCCATTTTTCTATTTCCATTTCGGCCACGCTCAGCGTGATTTCAGAAGTGAAAGAAAAAAGATTAAAATTAGATTTGTTGAATAATTTCGGTGTGTGTTGGGAGAAATCTGGCCGGATGCCCATCGAAAAGCACGTTGAGAAATGCTCGGTTTTTTCCTCTCTATTTAATAATCACTTGTTTGATCTTGACGGAGGATTTGTGCTGTACATTCGCTCTCTTTCTCCTGAATAGGTGGAATTTTTCGTTTCACCCGCACAAAAAATCAACCCAAATTATCAGGCATTTTCACTATCGACCAATTAATCAAATTGAAGCAGTGGGCAATTAACATGATACCTCAATTTTGTCACAACTTCTGATAAATGAGCTCTGGGAAAGTTTCATCTTTCATGTTACGAATATCTGTAGATTAATTTGGTAAATTAATTTAGATTGTATTCTAGTTGATGTGGCAGAATTATCTGAGCTGCAGTGAAACTTAATTAAACATTTATCCTTTCTGTTCCGTGATGTTGAAAAAATGTGCGACTTTGAAGTGTTTGAATCTGAAATCAAGCACTTCTTCACGTGCTGAACAGAAAAATTTATGTATGCTAAATAGAAATCTATGAATATAATTCGATTAGAGTTGATGCTAGGAAGTGTGAAATCTCAAGTGAGTCAAGTTTATTTGAAAGTGAGAAATAAGATATAAAGCCAGTCCAGGTTGAATTTCTTTAAAAATAGAATTAGCAACAGCGTGAATATTTAGCAAATTGTGAATTAAAACTTGAAATCTCACTTTCATCCCAAAAAATACACTGTCAGCAAATGTGAGAAAAAAGAATAATCTAGAGTTGTTTTTAGATCACCTTAAATATTCACCAGAGTGCAAAAAAATCACCAGATGTTTTCTTTGAATGGGAAGCATTTTTGGAAAAGTACCGCACAATAGATGAAAAGAAACTTTCCATCTGTTTATTAAATTTCATTGAATAACAACAATAGTGATTAGCGTCACATTGGCAATTCTTGTCGGCGTTAAAAGGTCATGTCTTTGTTCTTGTTTTTATTAAATTTTTACAAATCGACTTCATTGACCCAATCTTACAGCCTCTCGTCTAGTCATTGTTCACTGAAAGAAAAATGGACACAAGAATTGAAACTTTATTTATAATTCTATTCTGTATTATTTTCGCGTTTCAAGAATAATTCTCTCAGTGTTGGCTTAAATCAACAAATCATTAGACATGAGAAGTGATTTGCATTCGATGGTGACAGTAAGGGAGATAATTCAGAGAGGCACAATTACATAAATTAATTAGAATTCATAATATCTTGTGTCAGCAGCTCTCATATTTCTCTGAGTGCAGCGCAAAGAGTTTCTCTCGTCATTACTGCGACTCTGAGTCTCACGAGAATCGCGGAAAGAAAGAACCTTCATTGAGGGTTCATTAATCTGAATTCCTGCCGCTTCTTTGTCGTGACCGCTCGAAGTATGTTACAAATTTAATTATAGCATTTGATTTTCACTGACAAAGTGACACAGTCGCAGAATCACAGCTTCTCATACGATATTCAGTCTCGCCTCTCGGCGATCGCTTCATTGCGCCTGGCAAACATGCCGATCTGTGTGCGTGTGTTGATAAGAAGCTTGACCAAAGTGGACACGGTCTATCAGTTGGGAAGAGGAGGAGGAGAGTGTCAAATTTTTTAATCTCTCGAGAGAATATTTACGAGGGTTTTTCTTGTGCTTTGCTCTGTTGTTTGGTCTCAATTCAATCGGCCAGACAAATAAATTGGCGATCTATTGAAAAAAAAACACAGGGCAAATCAATAATGATCGATCCCAGAAGGTCATAGAAGAAATTTCATGGTCAAAAGAGTGATCTTTCTCCTCATAGCAGGTGAAAGTAACACGAAAGCGCATTCACCCGATTACCCAATCGATCTTTGGCTCTTGTCGAATTCTACTGAAAAACAATCAGCTTCAAGTTAAAATAACAATCACTCTCAATGCGATAAGACAGTGTTTTTGAGGATTATCGCTTCAAGAGTGTCTCTCATCGTAGATTCAATAATAAAATGTTTCAATGATCTGGTTGAAGAGCCTTGATCGCCTTGTGGTTGGGGAAAATCGGATTAACGTCAGCATTTTTCCCGATTTTTCCACACATGCTGATGTCATACTTAATCTCAAGTGGAAGATGCAAATATAACTGGGAGATCAGTGTTGGAATTCTAAACACTTTTGCGTCTTTCAGCAGACGATTGTGAGTGTTCTGCTCAATACAATTCGATCTCTATACATTTCAGACGACTAGAGGTGATAAATGTGTAGTCAAACTTTGGACAAATTGCTGTGGATCGTTTCAGAGAAATCTCCAGAAGCAATTTTATACCTGAGAAAGACACACCCTCACTTTCCAAGATCTCAAAGATTACATTTGCGCACTATTTTCTCAATTTGAGACGCCACAGAGTGTGCAAAGACAGTAAAAGAGAAGTCTTTATGTTGGGATGAGAGAGTGACTGTGGCGTTTGTATCTGATTTAGTGTCGATCACTGCACGTGATCCGTTGTGATAAGATGAGCTATTCTTGTATCGTGAGCAAACACGACAACGGCAGTAAATAAAAGTGGAGTAAATGGAGGAAAAATGGGCGGTCATTACAGATGCTAGACTGCGATTTGGAATGGGAGATGTTAATCGAGTTGTTGTGTTTTGGGAACTTTCCCAAAAATAGTCAGAGAAATGCATTAGAAATCAACACGAGACCCATAATTAATTTCTCCTGTTTGTCGATATTCTTGACATTTTGTGTATATGTCATGAGTTGATAAAAAAGGCGCGTGTCCCGAAAGTTCATTACCAGACATGTAAATTGAACTTGATAATGACATAGCGGCGTCGCAAAGTTGGCAACAACCCCCTGGACAGCGTCAGAGGATGTTGTTATCACGTAATATCGTCAATTTATAATTTTAAGAAAAATATTTATAAATTTTGAATGCCTGACCGGCTATAAATCGTCTGTTTTTTTGCGTGCCAACTCATAATATGCGACAGTTTATCATACAGACGCTTTAATGAGAGCACTTTTTCTTGTGCTCTCTTTTGATGGAAATATTTAAACAATTGCAAGATAAGTTTTTTCGCCAAGTAATGTCTCCAAGAGAGAATTATCACTCGTGTGGAGGCTCGTTTTCTTCCGCGATACTTGACAATCTCACCTTGCGATGATTCTGGAGGTCAGAATTCGTAAAAATGTGCCGCAGAGATTGGAAAAAAATTAATCAAGAACACATTGCTTGGGCAGTAGTGATAAGAGTCACTCGCGCGATTGGGTGTAATTAATTGAGATTGACTGACTTTTTCTGTTCTGATTCCTTGCAGTCACGACTGACAATTCTGCTGGTCAACACGGCGATAAGGAGACGCGAAGATGGTTAATGTGAGTCAAGTGTGGAAGCAGCTTTTTGCCGGCTGATCATTTAAAGTAATTTCTTCAATTGCAGGAATATGCTGGACCTCCGCCACAGGAGTTGGAGACATTTCTGCCACAGGAAGGAGCAAATGGAACAGTCAAGTGAGTAGTTTAGAATAAGTAGAGTAACGTATTGCAATCCTCGAAACATTCCTTCTAATTAATCTTTCATGATCCTCTTGTCAATAAGGGGTTGATTTACCTATGAAACTACTATTCTGGTTCATCATTTGACTTTTAGGAATGCCTGTGCGGTAACCTATTGAGGAAATTTTTGAGTTGGTCTAATTTTGACTCTGATTCACGAGTTTGTATGTAAGAAAAATGACGTTGCTTCTCTGCTGAACATACAAATTGTTGCCTTTTTATAAATAGAACATTAATGAAAAGATGTATTAATAGACAGAGTTGCAGTTTCTTGCATTGTCATGATTTATCACTCTTTGTAAGTATTGTTTGTGGATTTTCTTGAGGGGGTGTGTTTAAAAGTCCAAGTGAACAGAGAGCAATTATTTATTGTGTTATTTCTATTAATTCCTCCCGAAGAAATAAATCACTGCGTGCGTAAGTGATTTCTTTTTTTTGAAAATTTTGTTGACTAGAGTAATTTATATCGCGAAGTGTCTTGTTTGCTTGACGATGGAAAAAATTTCTCATGGGTTTGGGTGAAAAATGATCGCTTGAACTCATTTTCTGCTGATCTAGGCTAAATATACGAGTGTAGTGTCTGGGAAAATGCATAAATTCCATCGCCCTTTTGCGCTTCAGTCTGTTGGATAATATCAAGGCAAGAGGTTGAGTCTTAACCACTAATTAACTGTCCCTTGTCACACTCGCTCACTCTCTTTCTTTCACTGAGTGGAGAGGAAGTCGTAGAAAAGAAGTGAAAGTCACTATGACGTCCTTATATCCTTCTGTGTCGTTGGAAATGAGGTTATTTTTATTTAATTAAAATTGCCACACATTTTGAATCAATATTGATTTGTGTGTTTCCTTGTTGTGTGTCAACTTTGCAAGCCTTCCCAGCTCAATATTTGCTCAAAAAATCATTTATCGACAGTGAGAGTGAGAAATACACTCTTCGGTACATGGCAAAGGCAATCCTTATCGCAGAAAAACCTTCCGGAGGAGGGATTAAAAATCATCTTCACACCTATGAAATTGTTCAGTTTCACAGTGATCGCAAGATTAGCCGGAGATGCTCTTCGAGGAAGCACAGTGGGATTTTTTGCTAGCCAATAAAAGTTCTCAAGTGTCGTGAATGCATTTCCTAACTGTTTTCCGTGTTGCTTCTCTTCTAGATATAAGATAACGCCGAGGAAAGACATCGAGAACGGTGCCATCAAAGATGAATACAATCCCTTCAAGGAGAGAAATCTGGAGCATCCGACAACGTGAGTATTTCTATGATTGAATTGAATTTACTTATTGTCAATCAGTGCTGCGCTTCTGCGCGCCCTTTTCAGCATTGCGCAAAGAAGTGCCTTCTTTTTAATGAATCTGTGTCACTGTATTTGATGAATGTGTGACCCAAGCGGAGAAGCGACTCGCATTTTGTTATCATGAGTGTCGCCGAGGCGTTGGGAAACTCCGCGCGTGAAGTCACAACGCATGGCAATGCTGATGCCATGCGTTTCATAATCAGTGTCGCCCTATTTTGGTGCCCTTCGTTAACCACTACTTTAGACTGTGGCTATACTCTGTGAGTCCACAGAGGAATGCATCTTATCAAGCTAAACATACGCGCAAGAGAGTGTTCAAGAGGAACAGAATGGAATAATTTTGGTTTTTAGACACTTACCAAGGGTCACTATATATTTTTTACTTTCCTAATTTTGTTCTTCTAGTTTTTTATCTTTTGACAATTCAATTAGATTATTTTCTACGCAAATTCCATTGTTTTTGGATTAAATATTCTGCTTGTTTTTCCAATATTACTGGTCTGATAGTTATCTGATCGTTTTTACGTGTACTTTGAAAATTACTTACCTAAATTCAATACGCACTCTGACTCATAAATTCAATCATTCTAAGCGTGGTTATTAATTTCGTTCGAAAGTCTTGAACTGCAATAGCGTCAAATGTGGTGAATGACTTCGGCACACTTTCCGCAAAGTGCTTATCACAGAGCCTTACGATTGTGGCATACGTAGAATTCCCCAGAATAGCTTCCGTCGATTTATTATGTGGTTCATATTGCCGGCACGCGATTTCTTTATCTAGCATTTTTTATCGCTCATTTGCATGTTGCAAATTTTCTTTCTGATGTAATAATGCAAGCTGATTTCTGTCTACTCCGCAGGGATGGCGAGACTCTGACCCACCTGCTGAAGGCGTCGCTCGGCACGGGCATTCTGGCGATGCCGGTGGCGTTCATGTACGCCGGTCTGGCGATGGGCATCGTGTCCACGATCCTCACGGCCGTGGTTTGCACGCACTGCGCATACATTCTGATCAAGTGCGCCCACACGCTGTACAGACGGACGAGGCAGCCGCAGATGAGCTTCGCCGAGGTGGCGGAAGTGGCGTTTGCCAATGGACCGAAGTGGGGCAGAGGCTTCGCCAGGCTGGCCAAGTGGACAATCCTCATCAGCCTGTTCGTCACTTACTTCGGCACGTGCTCCGTGTACTCCGTGATTGTGGCCACGAATTTCCAGCAGGTGTTCGGCCACTGGCTGGGCATTGAGATCAACCTGCGTGTGATGATCGTCATTCTGCTGATACCGCTGATTCTGCTGGCGTGGGTGCCGAATCTGAAGTACTTGGCGCCAGTGTCGATGGTGGCAAATGTGTTCATGGCCCTGGGCCTGGGCATCACAATGTACTACCTGGTCACGGGGATTCCGGAGAACGCTCTGGAGGAGCGCGAGCTCGTAGCACCCATTTACACCATTCCGGCATTCTTCTCCATCACCATCTTCGCGATGGAGGCCATCGGCGTTGTGATGCCGTTGGAGAATCAGATGAAGAGCCCAGAGAATCTTGTGGGCATTTGCGGCGTGCTGAACAAGGGCATGAGTGGCGTGACGCTGGTGTACATGCTGGTGGGATTCATGGGCTACTTGCGCTATGGCGACGAGACAGAGGGCAGCATAACGCTCAATCTGCCCACGGAAGAGATGTGAGTAGTGGCAAGAAGTCTCAAAGGCACTTTCCTTATACTAATCGAGCTTCTTTTCCAGTCCTGCGCAGATCGTAAAAGTTCTCATCGCTCTGGCTGTCTTCTGCACGTTTGGTCTGCAATTCTATGTGTGCCTGGAGATCGGATGGGATGCTATCAAGGCCAGCTTCCCGAACAGACCCACTTTGGCCAATTACACGATGCGCACGGTGCTCGTGATGGCAGCTGTGCTGCTGGCCGTGGCTGTGCCGACAATCTCGCCCTTCATCGGTCTCATCGGCGCCTTCTGCTTCAGCGTGCTGGGCCTCCTATGCCCTGTCTTCATCGAGATGGTCACGTACTGGGACGAGGGCTTCGGCCCCTTCAACTGGATGATCTGGAAGAACATTCTTGTGTGCTTATTTGGTGTGATGGCGCTCATCTTCGGCTCCAGGAGCGCCATCCTGGACATTCTGCTCCTCTACACAGATCCAGACACGCCTGTGCTGGCCGCCAATGTCACAGTCGTCTAGAAAGCCCTTCTCTGCTGCGTTCGGCAGTGCCGAACACGTATGATTTTCTCATGAATAAAGCTACAAGTATACAATGAAATATTTTATTTCTCATCGAAAGTCTTTCTCATAAAAAGTATCCTCATCAATTAATACTAGAAAAAATTTCACTTCTCATATAATATATAGTAGCTCTCCAAAGTTATTTACACGGGATTTTACAGCATATTCTCCTTATGGTCAAGAGAAACTATTATAGAAACCGGAGGATCTTTCAGTGTCAACTCCGAAAATAGAGCAAGAACAAATCTACTCTGGACTTTTCTCACATAAGAGAGGGAAAATCCACAAAAGAAACCACTAATCTGCATATTCATCCTTTTGTACTATTTAAAATAGACGCATTTATCAATTTTTCTTCTCTTTAATCTCCTGTCTTAAGTCTAAATCATTTTTATCTGAGAAAAACTTACACAATAGTTGCACTACAGGCTAATTAAAAAGACCTTAAAAACTACCATACATCGACGTCTATATACATTTGATAAATTAAAGATTAAAAAGATTGAGGGATCAATCGTAAATCAATCATAAATTGCAGATATTCTCACAAAGAAATCATCATCTAGTATTCTCTGATTTTCTCTCTACACACCCTAAAAACATGATTCTGTGGGAAATTTACACGCTTCTCATCTTCACTCAGCTAAAATCCTCTCAATTTGTGAGTTTATTTAAATAGTTTAGAACAAATTACGCTTCATTTATCATTTCTTTTACAGCATGAATGCTTTTTTTTCATTTTTTACACGGAAATCAAAATCATTTTACATACATTATGTATTTAAAAGAGAAGAAGAGTTTTGTAAATAAACGCAAGTTAAAAACGTGAAACACCTCTTATTTCTTTACAACACGGCGGTTTAAATGCGCCTTCGTCCGATCCGCGATGACGCCGCCTACTAACTCTCTGCCGGCCGCGAAGTCACGGCATAGCGATTGATTATCGAGTATGGCGCCTTCTTCACATCATTGTCCTGCCGCAGCACCGTGGAATTGGGCGCCAGATCGTCACCGACGCCCATCAGCCAGTCTGTGCACTGCGTCTTCTGACTCTCGGCCACATTCTCGTCCAGCCACGCGTTGATGAACTTCTGGAAGCGAGTCTTCATCCTCTTCGTCACCAGCTCATGAGTCTGTTAGTCAGTTGGAGAGAACAGAGGATCAGATTTAAATTGATTCAAGCTAAGAATCTTCTACGGCGACATTTTTCTGTGGTTTTTCTTTCTAGACGTTTTCCACCCTTAAATGTCCATTCTAAGTCAACTTACCGTCTTGGCTCTGCGCAAGGCATTCCTCTTGTAGAAGACGTCATCTTTGTTCATCACCAGGACCATCTTGTAGCTGTTGAAGTTGAGCTTCATCTCTTCCTTGCTGTCCGCGAAGTACTCATCAGCGAGCGTGGGTGGAGCCGGCATCCTTTCGGGAGGTCGCTTGGCCCAGAAACCGCCGCCTGCGGCCGCCGTCACGCTCTCGTCGATGTCCATCGGCACGGGTTCCGTGCTGCCGTCCCGCGAGGACGCCACTGACGTCGTGAGCGACGCCGTAGCGCTCTCTGCGGACGTCGTGGTGAGAATCGTGGTGTCTCCGGACGTCGCGTTGGCCGTGGTCATCACAGTGGCTGAGGCCGTCGCTTGCGTAGTAGCCGTGCTACTGACCGCCACGGCGCCCAGCGAGGCCGTAGAGACACTGGCCATGGAGTGCTGGGAGTTCTTCTTGTGCGTTCTCAAGGCTCGCTGCACTTGCGTGACGTTCCTCTTGAGATACAGCGGCTTCCTTGGCAAAGCGTTCTGCAAGTTAACAAGAAAATTTCAGTATAGGATTGAGGAGGATTAAGACGAAAAGTGTAAACTAGACACAGATATCATGCAAACACATGCTGAGATTCATCATTCACTAGAAACTACACAAAAATATCCTTAAATAGCAACACAAAATCCAACATTTTGTCACATCTTTGCTTTTTGTCTTCTCAAAACAATGGCAAGGAAAAAATTCTGGAAAGAATTGTACCAGGTCAAGACAGAGATTAAAAGTACAACTAAAATGTTTTACCAAAAATAAATCAATCCAAGAATAGGATTTTTCTCTTATTCCCCTCCTCTTAAAGTTAACAATTTCATCTTTTTCACTCCCCAAATTATTTTTTTTGGCCAATTTTTGTCATTTCAATTCGAAGAATCAATAAGAGAAAATATACTAAGAAAATGTATAGAAACTATTTATCGACAGAGAAAAGTAAAATATAAGGTAAAAATAATATTTGTTTTCTTATCCAAAAAATCACATTCATCAAAATATTCTATCATTCAACGTTCCAGTGAAAAGAAAAAAAATCAAAACTGGGAAAATCTGGTTGATAAAGAAGCTCACAATTAGAATTACAAAGGACAATTTCATGTTCACAATCATTTTTCCAAGAAATATAAGAGATAATATAATAAGATGTCCAAAACTTTACTTTTCCTCGCTTCTCAGTGAAAAAAATCAGCAAAATATTTCCGTCAGGTGTGAAAAGACATTCAACACAAATCAAGGATTAATCAGGATAGCTTCTCAAGTTTACAAACATAAAATAAATTTAACATTGCAAAAACACGAGTAAATAAATATAAATGATACAGGCTTTTTCAGTTTTCTTAATCTCACTATTTATTTTACCTCAATTTGTATGTTTTTTCTCTCTCTTTTGTTGTCGAAAAAGTTCTCAAATGTTACAATAAAAAATTGACAAAATATATTATAGATATTTGATTTTTTTTTCATCCTAATTTATCTTCTCAATATATCAATTTTTCTTTCAAATTTCCTCTTTTAAATAAACTTTACACATTTATAGACGGTTTCAAAGTTCATAATTTTCAAATTTCCTTTCATATCTCACATTTTACATGATTTTTTACACTCAACTTGACTCAAAGAAGTCTCAAATAATTAAATACATTTAAAATTTTTTTCTTTTTTCAATTAAATCAGAGAAAAATCTCTTTTCGTCATATCTTCATTTTCTTTTTCTATCTTTATCTTAAATCTTAATTATTGCGTCAAAGGATTTCTTCATCAATAGTTAATTGCTTCCGTAGTAGAAACACTGAATTTACAATATGTTTTGATCATTGTCCGCTTCTTCTAATCTATCTCTTCACTAGTTTTTCTTTCTTGTCTACATAGAATTTCATTTGCTTAACATCTAAAAGACTCTTCTCTTAAAATTCCATTTTTTTTCTTAACACTGACTCTTCGCTCTTCACTTGATTTATAACTGGGAAAATCTGAGAATATGTCAACAAAGATCTCTTAATCACACTCACAATCACGCTCAATCATTTTAGACGCGTCGTTTTCTGTGGCCTTCTCGTCAATTTTGCTGATTTTTTTTTCTCTCAAATCTCAATTATTCTCTCTTTAAATGTATGTGTTAAGGTATTTTTTTCATTAATTACCCCTTTTGTTTGACCTGGTACAGAGGGAAGACGAGTGAAAAAAAGATGTTGTCATTAGTCAAAGTTTGCGCATTAGTAAAAATAATGCAGGAGAAAGTGAATCACACTAAACGCAAATAAATAAGGAGCAATTTCGCAATAAGAAATCTTTGCCAATGAATCAATCAAGAACTGTCAATTAAACCAAAAGGATGTGTGGAAAAACAACTAAAACTCGCGTGAGAGAGAAAATGAGAACAAATTGGGAATGAGGAGGAATTCTTGGCGCCAAAACTCTCGTGCGCACACATGACATGATTGTCTTTCTTCTTTTCCCTCTCAATCTCACTTCTCTCTCTCGTTCTTTCTCTCATCATATTAAATCAGGGAAAAGTTCTCAACTAAAAATGTAAATAGAGTCACACTCGTGCGCTCTCTTCACTCACCATCTCATCGTCTGGCTTCTCCGTCTTGATCTCCACACCATTGCCGGACGCGCCGCCACTGTTTGCCGCGCCACTCGCGCCGGGTGTCGCACTTCCGGACGCCCCCGGAACACCTGTTGGCCCCGCGCCCGGGTTCGCCAGACGCTCCACATAGTTGCTCCACGCCTGAGTGTTGGCCACACACTTTTCCGTGTCATCGGACTCCGTGTCGAGTAACTCTATCGTCACGCGACAATCGATTTTGTACTGCAATGTGAAATGAAGGGCAACACAAGAGTTAATAAACTGCACTTTGAAGGAAAAATCGACTAAACCTCCAATTCAACTTAACAGCAATGTAAAAAAGAGATTTGTACACCTTCTCACATCAGGGCGCCATAAAACTGACATCACCACGATGTGAAACTAAGATTTTCTAAACTAATTCTGCCTTTCCACCCAAAGACAAAAAGACAACATACACACTTGTACATTTTCACTCTCTTTGGCCATTGTTAAATCCAAAGCAGTGCGAAATCTCACTGATAAACACTAGTCTTATCTCATACGAAATTAATTTCAAGTTGAATCGAAGGGAAAATAACTAATTAACATGGATAAAAAACCAAAATTCACTCACAATGTAAACTTTGAAGCAATTCTCGTCTTGAAGACTCGCTTCAGCTCGCTTCTGATACACCATTTCTGCCGCTATTCTCTTGTTGGCTGATCTGCACAATCCTCCAGCCCCATTCTTCCTCTGCTCCTGCTGAAATAGTTCAACACACTCGAGAGCTCCGCGTTCCGTCACGCAGTGCTGCAACTGTCGGACGGCATTTGAGACCACCTGAAAGTACACACTTTGCGTGACAACGAATCCATTGATAAACTGCAGGAGAAACCACTCACTCTGTCCAGCGTAAAGGCGACATAGGCATGAATGCCAAACATCTCCCTCAGCGAGTCCTCATAGTTATTGGCCTCCATATTCCCATCCAGCACATTCTTCAACATATCCAGAAAGGTCGGATAGTAATCCTCCACTTGGATTTCACTCTTGGGCTTCAGCCTTAGCGCCGTGGCGGTGCTCTCGCGCCTATTTCCACGGTGCTTCGCCTCCTCCACGGCGAGCGTCTGCGCCCTGTCGTACATCGTCCTCAGCCTCTCACACAGGATGGCGTGCAGTCGCAGGAACAAATACCAGTTGCTATTGCCAAAGAACAGTGTGTACGCCTCCTCCTGCAACAGACCACAAACACCAATTGAATGTTGAGGTACACATTTTCTGCTGCTTCTGCACGCATTTTTGCTCATTTGAGCACATATTTCACAGTGTTTTATTCAACATGGCATATTTTTCAGGGTTTTGCAATATATTCACCCTCAATTCATGCCTTGTTTTTCAACAACAAATTCAACTTTACTCACCGTGTGCTTGGCAATGGCATGCGGTGGCAATGGTGGACTTGGTGAATCCCTATCCTGCTTCACTTCCATCTTAATCTCATCACTTGACGCCGAGGGACTCTTTATATCACTTCCTTTGGTCGTGTCACTCACACTCGTCACTGTTTTGCCACCAGCATTGCACTGAGAGTCCACCTGATTCGGTGTTCCACTCTGAGTTCTCGCTTCGCCAGTTGGCGATGGTTCACTCTTCACTGTCACTTCTGCAGCCGCACTCGTGACACTCCCGCCAGGCGCTGAGATCGGGGATTCCACTGCAGACTCCGTGGATGATGACTGCACTTTACCACGTGAGCTCGAGGGCTTCGCATCGTCGGATTGCTCCACGTCCATGTCTTTGACATCTGCGTGAAACAACAATACAATAAGATAAGCACTGAATCTCTCAAGACAGCAATATGCAGGACTCACCGTCTTCTCGTTCATCGTCACTCAGCTGTTGACGTGGCGAAAAGAACAAGTCAGGCACAAATTGACGCAGAATATGCTTGATCTTTGTCTTCTCCTGCTTCTGAATACCCGTCTGACGCTTCACATGGTGTATCAACAGATTGGCAGCATCATCCAGGATGGTCTTGTCTTTGTACGGAAGCACCAAGTGAGGACCTGTCACTGGTTCCGTTGTGCTCTCCTCATTTTGTTCATGCCGCTGCAAAAGACATCAACCATTAGGAATTCCACCAAAAACCACTCATCCAAGGAACTTACCTCATCGTAGAGCGTCTCAATTTCATTGAAGAGACTCTTTGAGCGCAGCGCTTTAATATCCGTCTGCTTAAAGTTAATGCCTTGATGATCAAGTGATTTCAAGTAGTACTTCTCATTTTGCTCTCGCCACTGCTTATTGAAGCCCTTCTGCGCCTCTCGCCACTCTTCCTCCTTCGCTTTGAGTCTCCTCAGCACCACTGGCACTGCCACAACGGGATTCTTCTTCAATCCTTGAATAATATCGCTCGCCTTCTCGCCGTAAATCCTCCTCAAAGCCCTCTGATGAATTGTCGGTGAATTCCCACCCAGACAATCATCCAGCCTGAATCTGGCCACCTCGTCCGGTGACATCCGACTCAGCTTCTTCTGCACACCCTCCAGCACTCTAATCGTGGCACTGTTCGTCTCAATCACCACGTCCAATTCAAATCGCTCATCCTCACAGCGATAGATCATCTCTTCGTACTGAGTCTTGCGAGATGTAACAAAGGTTGAGTCTTCTGCCCACGTTGGGAACGACACCCAAGTGTCATTCAGCACTTCCCTGCACAACGCCGTGCGTCCTGAACACTTCTTCACCTCGCTAGACTTGGGCAGTGCACAGTAGCTGGCGCCGAGACGTTTGCACGTCGACAGATCAATCTCCTGCGCTAGTTCACCTTGTGATCTGTCCTGACGCTGCGCTGTGGCCAAACTCACACCCTCAGAAGCTGTCGATGGTCCCAAGAATTCCTGCAAAAAGACACAGTGTTAGGAAAAGTCTACAAATTTTTCATCATTCTTCAATCTTTCATCATTAGAAAAACATCCCACAAGATATCCATATTGAAAGGATCAAAGTACCTGGAACCACCGTTGGAGATCAGGGAATTTTCCGAGGAATGGCGCCGTGAGTGTCAGTAGTTCTGATTTTGACACAATCTCCTGATTGAACAGAATCAGACATCGGAGGAAGTTCTCGTAGACTTCTGGCGATCTCAATGCTTTGCGCACCTTGTCAAAGAAAGCATAGTCATTCAGAGAGCCAAACTTCGACGCCTCCGCCAAGGTTACATCACGACAAATGGGTTTATGCCTCTTCGGATGCGACGGACCATCGCCACTCCTGTCCTGCCCTCCTCTCGGCATGTGTCCCATGTGCGGCATCTGCCCATAACTCGGGCTCCTCTTCACTCCGGCATACTTTTGTCCACCGGCAATGTGGTTGCGCTCCTTGTCACCCCGTGGGTGGAAGTCCTTATCCATGGCATGTGGAAAATCATTAGCAGCTCCTCCGGCGGCGCCCGCCATCCCGCCGGAGCCACGATCCAGACCTCGTCCGAAATTATTCGAAGAATTGTTGAAGGAAGACCTTATCGATGGTCCTCCAGCTGATGGTCCGGACATCTTCTTGTGGTCATTGTGGGCCATATTCACACCCACCTTGTTGAGATGTAAACTCGCCGAGTGACTTGTTGCGTCCGGCAGAAACTGCCCAAACTCTCTCAACAAGTCATCTTGCTTGTCAAAGAGCTTCGCCACTTGCGTGTAAACTTCCGCCTCGGTGAGTTGCTTCCCTTGTCCATCTCTCACTTTCTGCTCCTTCTGATACTGATGTAAGATCTCCAGAAATCTCTTGTACTTCTCCGGCTGATTCTGGAAGCGATTCTTTATCTTATTCACATAGCTAATGGCATGATTGAATTCTACGGGCTGGTTCTGTCCTTGTGCCGCCTGTCCACCTTCCTGTTGTTGCACAATCTGCTGATGCGCTTGCGAGATGTGATGCAAATTCTGACCACTTATCTCCTCCAGACTTGCCACACCAGAACTCGCCGTTCTCACACTTCCACCACTACCAGACAGTGTTCGTTCTCTGTCACGAGCCACAAAATTCTGCGGTGCTGCCAACACTGCGCTCGCCAGCTGAGCACCCGTCTGCTGCTGCTGCATCCCGCCAGCGGTGGAACCCACTTGACTCCCCGCGACGCTGTGCAGCGGTTGCGGACAAGGGGCGTGCGTGATGAGATTCACAGCACCCGGAATTGTGTGCACCATCGTGCCACTGCCTTGCATTATCTGCAACTTCTGCGGTGGACTTTGTTGTTGCGGCGGACAAGCCGAAGATGTGCCACACGATGGTGATGGCATAGATACAGACACCTGGTAAGAGTAGCCCTTGTCATTTGCCTGCATTTCAATTTTGTATCTGCAAATATACACAAAAAGAGGATTAGCATGAGCTTCAAATTACAAGATTATTCGCTTTCACACACTCACCCAGGCGGTAAAAATGTGTTGAATCCAACAATTAACTCAGGATGTCCCTTGAAGAGCGTCGACACCCTGTCGATCACACCAGGTGTGTCAATACTCTGCGACTTAAACTCCTTCATAATGTCCAGGAAGTCATTGTACACCTGTGGCTGGTTTCCAAACTTTGATTTCACATGATCCAGATAACTGAGCGCATCCTCCACTTTCAGACGCTGAAACTGCGTCTGTTGCTGACCACCCGGGCCAGCGGCTGAGGCTTGAGGCGTCCCGATAGTTCCACTCCCGCTAATTCCACTCGTGGACAAGCTCGCCGCCTGAACTGGTGTTCCACTCACGCCGCTCACGATGGGTGTCGGCTGACTGGCGGCAGCAGCGCCCGCTTTCTGACGCATCGAATTCACCGTACTGATCCCAGAATTGACCACATGCAGCGATCCCGTCGCCACCGTTGTCGATTGTTGGACCACAGGACTCTTAGTAACATTAGCAATGGCCATTGTTGATGTATTATAAGCTGTTTGAGAGAAAAACACGCGTTATTAAGATCCATTGCAATATACTCTCGAGTGAGTTACTTACTCGTAGAATATTGTACGTTGGGCGATTGATTGCCAAGGGCTCCACCACCCGGAGCGCCTCCATCTGTAGTGCCCGCCTTCAAGACACCCGGAGTTAATTGATAGATCGTAGATGCCGGATTGTTTTGCGTGGCGAGTATGCGATGATGTGATTGTGGGCCGCCGCGGGCCCCAAACTGAACCTCATCCACACGACGCTTCATCTTGAGATCATACTTCTCCAGTGAGTTAAACAGAGAATCTCTTCCTCCTATCGCACACCGAGAAAATAAGAAGAAAAAAAACAGACACATTTAGTTGGGGAATTAGTTCAATTTATGATTGTGATGTCACGCATCGAGAATCAGAAATAGAATCATACATGCTCTCTCTCACATTCGAATGGCCAAACAGGAGAGACTGTCGCATATCAATTGACACACCCAAGCACACACGATTCTCCAAAGCAATACAGGAAATATATTCTCATTAAATGATATCACAGTGTATTTTGATGTCCCAGCCATAGTATCAAAACTTGTAAACTTCCCAAAATCACCACCACATGGCGCAATCACACCAAAGGGACGGCAATTTGAAAAATCCCCTGCGAAACAAGTCAATATTGCCAATATTGAGGGCAGAGACACTCAGTTTCCCACCAACAGTGAAGGAGATTTGAAAATAAAGGAGGCGACCGATCGGTCACAAGTGCGCAGAAGCACACAAAACAACCAAGTCGTGCAGAAAAAAGACATTATATTCGCAAAAGGCGTCCGGTTTTCGGTTGAATCTCTCTCTACACCAACACACAACCACATATTCTCAGGTCAGAGCTGGAAAAGTGAGTTTTGTGTGTACCCCATTTGGGGGCCGCATCATCGTCAAAACACACCATATATTTCACAACACAGTGTTCTCTCGCTCTCGCACAGAAACTGTGCTTCTCTCCAAAGTGAAATTGAACGGGAGGCCCTGGCGAGGGGAAAATTGCATCTTTTTTTTCTACTCATAGTAAAAAGAACACCCTCTTCTAATGATCCTGACCTACAGTGTACATTTGACGTCATATTTCTAAGGGAAGTATAATTAGTAACTCCGAATAAAATGAGGTTCACTTAGTATAGAATCAATTTAGAATAGAATTCATCAATGTGAAAAAAATTGGCGATAGCGCACAAAATTATTTTATCAAGAAAATGTATTTCATTTCCAGTGATAAAAATGATTCAAATCTAAACATTCGTTTTCGGTATAGTAATCAAAATGCGCAATACAGTTTTTGTTTATGAATACGAAAAATTTATCAAGACTTCTACATAAAATCATGCTAAATCCACTAGTCAAGATAAACCCATTTCCGACCTCAATTCGCAAAAGAATCACCGAAAAAATTAACCTCAATTGATTTCACGTTGTGATCATTTTATTCCACACAAGAAATTCTACTTCTTCATCATCGCTTTATCCGTTGAAACCTTTCTCACATTTTCACTCTTGTGTTGGCCTCTCGTCTTCTAAAACGGAATTTCACCAATTTAATTCCAACATCTCCCCAAATAAGCGCGTCTCTCATAAGAAACCTGTTCACAAACATTGCACACTGTGTGAGAGCAGGAAAAATGACCATCTTTCCTCTACCTTTTGTATGTGTGTTGTATACTCATCTTTCCTCAATATATATTTCTTCTACCATTATGCTTCTGTTTCATGTTAAACAGTATATTTTTACGCATTTTCCCACTTTCTTCTTCATACACCAATTTATTATATCATCGGAATTGCCAACCTCTCAATTGAGAGCATCACGAAGAGTCACACACAAGCATTGAGAAAAATATCGCGGAAAATGTTGAGAAAAAAAAAAGACACGTTTTGAGAACATATACACACATTCTGAGTCATTGTAGTGAAACGCGTGAAAAGTGGGAGAGAAATGTCACTATTTTTAACTTTGACATTACCAACTAAATCGCGAAATAAACCCTCAAACTTTAACCCTCAGTCAGTGACTCACTTTTTTATATTTCACCTTTATACTTCCAAGAAGTAGTCAATTAACAGGAAATACTTGGCAATTTTTGCCTCTCTACCATTTTCGTGGTAAAACACAAACTTAGAGAGAGCGTCTAGCGGCAAAAGAGGCGTCTCTTTGTTTTCCATTTCCTTCAACAGCCAAAGAAACACATTCGCCCAGTGTTTGGGAAAAGGGGCTCAAAGTTCCATACAATCATTAAAGAAAAAAAAAACACCCATACAATTGTCACTCTTATTCCTTGCATCTATTCCCTGTGTTTTCCCTCATTCAACTTATGTAAAATAATGAATAATCAGAAATAGGGGTAGATGTCGTCCCTTGTAGAGTAAATTTGAGTATTTTAACAATATTTAACCTCACTTTTGTTTTAAAACACCTCTGCAGTAATTATTACACAATCTTGTGTCACTTTAAATAACAATTTTCACGGTTTTCACCTCTTTTCACGCAGTCCAACAGACCTTTTCCTTACAAGACGTCGTGTTTTGAAACAAACAGAGTAGCATCTGAATTTTCTGTTATCTCGCGCCCTCCCTTTCCCCACTACATCATCATCGTCATCCTATTCAAGTGTGCTCTAGAGTGTGTTGGTATAGACTCGAAAAGTTGAATAACGCATGCGCGCTCACACATCATCATGTTATAAACCTTACCAAGAAAGTCTTTTCAAATTCATATCCCATCTTTTTCTCGCTCGGGCACACCAAACATCGCTCGCGAGCAACACAGAGACTCTCCGGTTCGCGCGGGGACAAGAAAGAGCACAAAAACGCCAGGCCCCATAAAACTCGTTCCATTGGCGCGAACAAACATTCGTGATCCGCTCGTGATGCACTCGTGGCGCTGCCATCGCGGAATTATCCGAAGTGTGTGAACACAATAAAAATCAATAGAGACGACAGTGAACCGAAGTTTTGTGAAGTGAGAGAAAATTGTGAGCGCTTGCGCACTCACATCACTTCTACAGCTCAGCACAAAAATTATATTCCTTCCTCTTTTTATCCATATAACACACAATTCAACAGAAAATTATTTTTCCCATTTCATATCAAAATCCAAACTTTTCCACACACACCTTCTTTCCCACAATATTCCTCATCAATTCTCCCATGCACACGATTTTCCCTTCAGCTCTAAATTCCCTATTGTGAATTTTCTTTCAAACTCACCCACTCACTTCACGCCATACAACGCCCTGATATCTAGGAATATTTTTTCAAAGTTTCCAAATTGTGCAAAGTAGTGAAAAAAGTGCCCCAGATCATCGATGGATACCGTTTGACCTGTAAAACTACTCAAGACTGTGTTCTTTAAAAGAACTTTCCAGTGCCACGAAACAAAATATGAGCAATTATAAAAAATTGTGCATTAAATATTAATAAAAGTGATATAGAAATTACGGAAAAAATGTTGTGCAATTGATTTTCTTGACCCCTTGAGTGTCACCCTTTCTCCTCACGTCGTCATCACCCTATTTCCCCCATTTGCTATCTCTGTTCGTCTCAAAATTACTTGCGTCAGCTTCAATGCCTTTCCATAGCTCCTCTCTCTACGTCCATCTCCCTCGCTCACACCTCACTCACGTATCACCTTCATCGATCCCTCTCTCCCTCCGCACTTCCTCTTCTATACTTACGCGATCTGGGATACCTACTACTACTACCACCACTACATGTAACTTCAGAGCGTCATTTTAAATTCCATCGAAGCAACCTCGGAGTGTAACCTTTTCCCTCTCCCGAAATCTCTCCATCTCGTTCCCTCGATATCACCCTTCGACGCGACCGCATAACCAAGGAAATGCATTCAAATTACCTCGATGCTCAAAACTTGCTCTTTTTTACAAGTGATTCTTGGGAAAAGGCATAATTTCATAAAACTACTTTAATCGATAAATTGAATAAACAATTGTTGTGCCCAAAAGGTGACTTTTCGTGACATTTCACTATACGACTCACAATTCACAGTCCTATTCACATTTTCTATTCAATTGACCTACCATTGCCGCAATATGGTGAAATTTGACCAGAAAATTTGCCAGCAAATCATTTCTCGCACGTCTCTTCCGGACAATGTTTGAAAACCTTATACATTTGAGTTCACGCAGTCTTCCGTGCTTCATTACATATTTCTCATTGGTGCCAAAGAATAAGAGAAAACACCAGAAAAAATTTTCAAAGTTACGCTTCTCTTTGCCTAAATATAAATTACACATTCTATAATTACTCGGGTTCATAAACTATATTCGTCTCTTTTCCACCATCAATATATGGACATGGTAACGTCATTTTCTCTTGTGTATTTTTGCTCCGTTTAGTGTGTGGTTGAGACATAAAAAGCATCCATCGATCGACTACGCAAGCGCATTCGTTCCCACACACGCACACTCGAAAAACGGTCAGCCAATTGCAGTATCACTCACTTGCTATCTCGTTCATACGCACTTGTCAAAATCAAAACGATTTTACACCATTCGAAGCTGTCAATTTTCTATGGATTTTTAACTCTGACCAAACAAAGAATTCCCTGTCAAATTCTAATTCTAGATCTGCGCTCCTCAACTCACACTCAAAATTTATATGTTCCAACTTCCCGGACACGCTGTGATAAAGTGCGTGAAGTTGTGAGGCAGACAAACGGAATTGATTGATGAATTGCAGAAATTAATTGGCTGCTAATTAAATCAATTGAAAAAACGCAACACAAAGGCAAGGAAGAATATTTTTCTGCAATCTCTGCGTATCTGTTTTCATGGTAAGATAACAGAATGTGACAGTAAAATTACTGGATGTTTTCATATATGTAGAGGCACTGTTGAAAACCAGAAAAGTAGTCTAAAATTTTATAATTGTATTGAAATGCCGAAAAACTGTTTAATTTTAACTTTATCCCCTCGCAATACTTAGAAACATGCTCTAAATATCTTGTGCCAAACAGCTGTTTTCACAGTGAACAACACACGTTTTTCATCTTCCATTCACATTTTGCGAATTATTTTCATGTTTTATCTCAAAAGATGAATCATTTGATGTAGATAATAAAATTAATTTAAGACTTTTACTGTCATAAACTTCAATTTAATCTTATAAAGTACTTTTCAACTTAAACCTAGTCAAACTCTTTTCAATCTGATCCCAAGTTATTAAATTAAATTAAACTCGAATTAGAATGAATTTGAATGCACAGCACTTACAATACTCTGAAGGAATCCTAAAGAAACCTCCTACACAACCCTAATCTTTCCCTTATCCCTAGTTGCGGACAAATTAAGCAAATGAATTGTCATTTATTTCTTTATATATTCTTTGCAAATGCCTTTAGTCTGACCAACTTATGCAGTCTTTAATCTTCCAGACAATTGTTAACTCCTTTTTGATGGATATTCTCAGGAATAGATAATCGGAAAAAGATTGAATCTTGACTGCAAAAACGATGGGATCATTTTTAAACAGGACTCGGAACACTTTTAAAATGTTACAATTTTCAATCAGTTTTAGCGTGGAATATGTAATTTCTTGCGGTCAGAACATTATTAAATTTAGGTTAGCCTTCTTATCGCTCTCTGCACACTTGAACTGGATAATCCATAATTAACAAAATTGTAAAACTGTTACTCCATTGCAAATATATCATGTATTTTGTTCTAAAGTCTTGTTTAGTTCTTCTCTCGCCACTTCAAAACCTTTCGCTAAAAGCCGGATCTTTACACTCCCTTTTGCAAATCTTGTGACCGCAAAACACATTGTTGAGAAAATTTTTCCTAACCTCTCACGCCCCATTCAATCCCACACACTGTTTACTTGCCATCGCGACAACACGGCGTTTTCGCGATACAACTTGTCTGTGCACGAAGTCACAAGTTGATAAGATACACCGCTTTTTTCAGTATGAAATACCCAAAGTGATAGAGAGCGTTGATGAGCATCATTCTCTCTGACAGTGTATGCGTGCCAATGATGGACTTTTTCTCGCAGTGCATCCTCTCTCCCTCTCTCTCGCTGAATATTTATGCGACGTTGCGGAATAGCGAGATGACGAGAGAGGGAGAGAGTGAGAGAAATGTGGTGATTCTGAGAGAAAATTGGCGGAAAATATCTCTTTGGGAAAGAGGGGATCTCGCAGAGGGCGCACTCAGCAGAGCCACCTATGAAAACTCTCTTTCTCTCATTTGCGCTATCTCACTCTGTCCTTCCAAATGGCATGCAATCCAGAGTGAGTGCGAGCGATAAGACAATAATGAGAGCTTCACTAAAGTTTCTCACGAGAACGAGAGAGACGAGCGGATGTTTGAGAAGTTCTAACGAAAAATCTCACTTCACAGGCATTGAGTGGAATTTAATAAAATGACGCACAAGGAGAAATCAAAGAAAAACTGTGCAGAAATGCCAAGAAAAGCAATTTCCACACCGCTAGGAATCGAAAAGACGCCACTGGAGGTGTATTTCTTCAGAGAGTCCCTCTCTCACACTCTCGCGATAGAAAAGAGAGCGCGAGAGAAGCAACTTTTCCTTCGTTGAATTTTTGGGGGACATCTTTGAATCAGGGGGCATCCCTCACTTCCCCCCACAGAGACAGTCGCCGACTGAGGCCCCCGGAAAGGCACGCCAGGGGGCTTTTCAGGGTACACAAAGAGCATTTTCAACTCACCAATCGTCCGGATTTCCACTCGTAGTCACTTCAAAATGCACGCTGAAAAGTTGCTTTCCTTGTCTCTTTGACGGGGGCTCCAATTCTCTCCCCTTGCGTCACCTTCACACACTCACTTGCCTTCCTGAGAGTGGCTTCAATTCGCCTCCAAGTCCAATAAATCACGATATTCACAGTGCTTCTGCCTCACTTCAGCTCCACTCTCGCCTCCAATCTGACACATTATCCACACCTCAGCAGCGTACACGGAATCTGCAATTGGGGGACAACAAGAGAGGCCGTGATGAGACTCTTTTGGGGCACAACTGTGCAGGGATAGAGAAATGTACAAGTTGAGACACGCCACACACTCTAAAAACGCCGTCTTTCTCCGCAGCTGACCGGATCGAGACTGGCGAAGCAATATGGCGCGCGTTGTTTGGTCGAGTCCATTTTTCACTCGAGATGCCGCCTCAACAGCAAGTCAAGGCAAGGCGACTCGGAGACACACGCGCCCCCTGTTTACATGTTTACACTGCGCTTTTGTTTTTCAGCCCACTTGCAAACGTTGCAAAGCCTATTTTTCACAAAAAAAAATCATCAAATAGCCACGACGTCAAATTTTGCACTTCTAGAGTAAATTATTAGTTATTTTGAAAATTATTATTTATACAAATTAAAATGAAACAGCCGGGTGGCGCATTTGCAGTGTTGCCTGATTCACATCAACTCCCAAATCGTCAAAACTTCGGATTGAGCTAGTAAAATATTGCGCATTAATTTCTCAAGTATGAAATGTGACGTCAACCCGTAAAATGCCATATCAATATCAACAACACGGAGCCCCTGAACACCTTGAATTGGGCCGACCAAGCTCTGAGGGGAGGCTCACTGCAGTGACTTTTCCCAACTCCTGACCACCTCATCTGACCAAATGCACGTCACTTCAGTATCATGTCACTCGGAGACCCATGGAAATGGTGTATTCTTTGCAGAAACTGCCCGGGGAAAACACATTTTCCAGTGCTGAAGATAAGCCCTGGCTGACAGCGGCTTCCCCTCGGCGAACTCATTGAGCCCCGTGGACTCGCCCAAGTCTCTGTGCGCAATCTTCGGCCCGACGACGGCCGAACCGACACTTCGACGCTCGTTCGTGACATCTCCGGTGAAAATTCTTCGCACTCTTGCCGTCTCCCTCCCACCCACACAAGAGCACCAGAAGTTTTCGTGGTATTTTTTCCGCGGAGTCACAGAGGAGCGCGAGGGGGCGCTCTGAGGCTGCCGTGGGTCTTGGCGGCAAGAGGGGAAGAGCAGCGCCCCCGAAATGGAGTGTGCTGCGAACAAACGTTTGGATGTGTGACCTCGTTCTCAAACTACCTTTGATGATATGTTTTCCTGGGCTTCTTCAGCTGAAACTCCACCAGTAGACACTTGAGATGGTGTTCACAGTGAAAGATTTGCACAATTTGCGGGATTTTCCACTAAAATTGATGGGTTTTTCGCAGGACGCGACACTGAACAAAAACTCCACGAAAGCTGACTCTGTGAGGTTATGTGAGAGCGAGAGAGGCTTCGTTAAGTTGACGGCGCGCCACCTACACATACACAAAGGCATTCTGGCCAATTGGAACGTGGAAACGTGTTCCTCCAGTGGACAATATAAAAAGAAATGCTTGATTTTCCAAGGGTGCCAGTCAATTTCCAGTGTGCCAGGTGATAAAAATACCTTACCGACTATTCAGAGATGATGAAGACTGACTGTGTTGCATTCCTGCTCCTTTTGGGCGTTGTGGCAATTGCCGGACAGAAGGTTGATCCTCGGGAGGCGAAGTGCCTCAGTAAGTACAACACTTTTAAAGGCTTCCTAGTTTACAGAACTCCTTCTAACTTATTTTATTAGTCTGCAAGGCCACGCTGGTCGAGATGGACAAGGCTATAAGTAAAGTGGATCCCAGGAAGAAGGCAGAAGTGGGGAACTTCCGGATAGATGCCACTGGGGATTCAGGAGCCAAGAAGATGGTGCCTCTGGTGAAGTCTGAGATGTACTTGACGGAATTGATGGAGGAGATCTGTAAGTTATCGCGCGGTGGTGACGAAAGCCCACTGATAAAAACTCTTGATGGATTTCAGGCGAGAGCATGGATGATTACGCCAAGGCGAGATTCAAGAAAGACGGCAAGTTTACCATCCTCAAATTCATCGAAGACGGAGGCATGAATCCACTGGTAAGCGAGGTGGACTTCGTTCAGGATGGCGATCTCAACAAGAGCCTGAAGCACTACGTAAGTGAATGATAACATGCTAATAAGCGGGAAGTCAATTCATGCACTGGTGGAGGTAGATAAGGGAATTAGAAATGCCACGTTAGTGAAGCATCTTTCTTCTTCAGTGTCTCGAGGTTCTGGAGGACTACGAGGTGGATATCCTGAAGATCTACATGGCTGATGAGCCTGTCAAGGATGCCGATTACAAGGTCTGCACGCACGCCGCGCGCTATTGCGAAGATCCGGCGCCTCAGGAAGAGTACACAATGGAGGAAGATGAAGAATCCGAGCGTGAGGAACTGTGAAGAGTCCAAGAGTGTCTTTTTCTATTCAACAATAAAGGTGTGTTTTCTCAAAAATAATATTCAAGAACACCAAATTCATCATGCATTCTCTTAATTTCTTGAGAATGGATGACTTCTCATCCGTAATTTCTCGTTTAACACCCGAAAAGTAACAAATCCCTTACTCTGGTCATTTTTTAAAAGTATGTATAGATAAAATCTCTTTAATTGGCACGTAAATGCTGTATAAATGCAATAGTTTACACTTTGGCATCACAGAACTGGGCTTTCCGGCCGTTGTTCTACATTCTGAACACTCCAAATCGCGTGGCGTCGCCAGGATTGTTGAGTGCAGCACTCAAGCTTAAACCCAGAACTCGCCTTGTATCTGCCGGATCAACAATTCCGTCGTCCCAGAGCCGAGCAGTGCTGAAATAGGGAGATCCCTCGTGCTCAAAACGCTCAATGATGGGGCGCTTCAGCTTCTCAGCTTGCTCCTCTGTCCAGGACTTTCCGCTGCGCTTGTGCTGCTCCTCAGTGATCTGCGCCAGCACTCCGGCCGCCTGGGAGCCACCCATCACGGAGATCCTGGAGTTCGGCCACATGTAAAGGAAGCGTGGAGAGTAAGCTCTGCCACACATGCCATAGTTTCCAGCTCCGTAAGATCCTCCAACCAAGAGAGTGATCTTCGGCACATTGGCACATGCCACAGCCGTGACCATCTTGGCTCCATTCTTGGCAATTCCATGGGCTTCGGCGTCGCGTCCCACCATAAATCCCGTGATGTTCTGCAGGAAGATCAGCGGGATGCGTCTCTGTGCGCACAACTGGATGAAATGGGCACCTTTGAGGGCGCTCTCTGAGAACAACACACCGTTATTCCCGATCACACCCACAAGATTCCCATAAAGTCTCGCGTAGCCACACACCAGTGTCTCGCCGTACATCTTCTTGAACTCCGTGAAGCGACTTCCGTCGAAAACTCTCGCGATGACCTCACGGATATCGAAGGTCTTGGTGAGATTTGATCCCACAATTCCATAAATCTCCTTGGAATCAAACTTGGGGGGCTCAATAACACCTCCGGAGTGTTGAGAGGGACCTCCTGACACGGAAACCGTTGACGAAAGGCTCAAGTTGTCGTTGTAGGCATTCGATGAGGCGTGATTGAGATTTCCAATCACTTGCCTGGCCAGATAGAGAGCGTGCTGATCATCTGTGGCGTAGTGATCAGTCACTCCAGAGGTTTTGCAGTGCAGATCGGCTCCTCCTAAATCTTCAGCCGACACAACTTCGCCCGTTGCGGCTTTCACAAGTGGAGGACCAGCCAGGAAGATCGTTCCCTGTCTTCTCACAATGATACTCTCATCCGCCATGGCGGGCACATACGCTCCTCCAGCTGTACAACTGCCCATCACAACCGCAACTTGCGAAATCCCTAGAGCCGACATGTTCGCCTGAAAGAATTATAATTCATTAACAATTCAGCAACAATTTCTCTTCGAGAAAATACCTGATTATAGAAAATTCTTCCAAAATGCATTTTATCGGGAAAGACCTCCGCCTGACGAGGAAGATTGGCGCCTCCAGAGTCCACAAGGTACACACAAGGCAGTCTGTTCTCTTGAGCGATCTCCTGCGCCCTCAAGTGCTTCTTCACCGTCACCGGATAGTAAGTTCCTCCCTTCACAGTCGCATCGTTGGCCACAATCATGCACTCTCTGCCCTGAATCCTGCCAATTCCTGTCACAATTCCACCGCAATTCACCACTTCCTTCTCATACAACTCATGCCCGGCCAAAGTGCTGAGTTCCAGAAAGGGAGAACCTTTGTCCAGCAGCAAATCTATCCTTTGTCGCGCTAAGAGCTTCCCTTTCGACGTGTGTCTCTCAACAGCCGTATCTCCGCCTCCAGTAAGAGCAGACGCTGTGTTCTTCTTGAGCTCATCCACAAGTTGATTCATGCTGGAGAAGTTTTCCTGTGAAGAAAGCCATCAAGCCATTGAGCACTTCTCTCACAAGAAGTCATGCTTCACAGTTTACCTGATACTCAGCAGATGTGGCATTAACCGGTGTTCCTATTACATTCGCCTCCCCTATGTGGACACTGCGCGTCCCCAGCCCCGTCCAGCGGAGTCTGAGGCATCTTCCGAGCAGCCTGGAGTGGTTGATCATCACGAATCACGGAGTGTCAGCAAAGACAGCGAGAAGATTGGTGATGTAACGGCCTGGATTAGGGCACTTTTATCACAATATCTGCAATGATAGGTATGCGTACTGATTTATTCTTGTTCGCTGGATTGCGTCGAGACTCCACAGGTGGGATTGGGCGATAAAACTCACTGATAGCGCGGGAAAAATGAGGAAAACCTCCAGCCGAGTGCGCGTGGTGCGAATGTGAATTTTCTCCTCCAACGTGGGGCTTGCCAGATGGAGAGATGTGAGCCGAGTCACAATAATGCGTCTGACATAGAATTTATGAAGAAACGCGGAAAATAGTAGAAATTACTATGCCAAACTCTCTATAGAGGTATTATCTAACATGAATAATAGGAATTCTCTACCCCCAATAATGCGAAAATGCCGCGTTTACCATTTTGACCATTTTTTAGGTACTTGCCGCCAACGAAAAACACCCGGTTCAGACGCCCGATAGAATATCCACTTTAAAGAAACAAGTAAAATAAAAGAATCTTTGTCATATTTTATTTAGATAATTTCGTGTTGCAAATATTGAGAAAACTCCAGGGAAAATCCTGTAAAATCAATTTTCAGTTTTGCATGTTTTCCCACCCAAAATATCGGGCAACCCGTCCTTCGTTAAGTTCGATGCTGTGAGTTGCTGTCAGTTTCCTGAAGTTTTCGTGATTGCTGAAAATTCTTTTCTGCTCATTTTCACCAGAAATCCAGCGCAAAAATGCTCGGTCGTGCATCCACTCTGGTCAGAAGCACCCTCAGCAACTCCATCCGCTATGGGTCACATGGAGGAGTGCCTGGAGAAGTGAGAAATTCTGCCGTCATTACATAACAAACATAACCGCAACTTTAATGCCATTTTCTTTTGCTTTCCACAGAATCTTCCCTTCGGGCTCCACAATAGGTACCGTCTGACGGCTTGGTTCTGCGTGTTCTTCGGCTCTGGACTGACTCTGCCCTTCTTCGTGGTCAGACATCAGCTGCTGAAGATGTAAATGATGTTCCCAGCCGATAGTCCAGGCATAATTGATGTAATTAAATGAAGAGTATCCCAGAGTCGTTGTACAATTTTATTGTCCTCTGGCAATATCACAAATGGAATGGGAAGTGCGGAATGTATAATCAATCTGTTGATTCAGTGCTAATCTCGGACTGTCGCCGGGATTTTGCTCTGTTGGCCTTCTTCCAGTACTCCTTCAGGTAGTAGACGACTTCCTGGTGCGGTCGTCGTCGCCAGAGGACCTCTGTAATTCTGCCCAGAGTGGCTGTCGTGTCCTCCTGAGTCCACCCGAGAATCATCTGATAAATCACCTCCTTCACGCCACTGATGTGATTATCCTCCATCAGCTGATCAATCTGTCCCTGAGAGTAACCCAAATCCCTCGCCACGTTCCTCCAATCCTCGCCCAAGTGCGTGGCGATGATTTCAATGTGCTCGTGCTCAAGTTTCTCCTGACTCTTCATCATTGCATCAATCGAAGGCGTCTTCCTGTAGATGCGCTCGCCGCTTTGGCCACTTCTCTGCCTCGGAGAGATTCTTCCCGGCTCCGTAGAGATGTTATAAACGGAGCCAATATGAAGATTATTCACATTTGAAAACTGGAAGACATTGCAAGCTTGAGTGTTGTTCACCTGGGTGACATCAAGTTGATTCTTCCTCTCTCTAGATGTACTCGCCACTGGCAGAAGTGGCGACGGAGTCTCCGGAATGCTGATCTGGGACTCCTGCCTCACGATCTCCATAGAAGGCGTTGGAGGAATTGACGGAAATGAAGCTTCTGAGTTGTTTCTCTCCTCCAGTGCCGCTTCCTCAATCTCATCATCAGTGCGAGGTGCCATGGGACCAGCGTCACTCCTTAAAATACCACCAGAAGCGCTCCCGGAAGCCACCTTGGCCGATCGGGAGAAGATATTCGCAAAGATCTCACTGACTTTCGACATGACAGCGCTCTGGGAATCTTTGTCTGGTGATATTTTACGGGTGTCAGGAATTTTCATCCTCCTCTCAGGTCACTACAGCAAGACGAATACACTGAACAACTATTCAGGTAGGATTTTCCACGAATTTTCGCGGAAAAAGCGAGTTTCTGGATGCTTTTCTAAGAATTTTCTTTGTAAACACCGAGCTTGACAGATCGTCGAGAGCGCCACCTGCAAACGATCACGCATGTTTCTAATCGGGGATTTCCCATGAATCTATCTCTTAAAAATAAGAACTCACACATAAAAGTTCCCATGAAATTCATTTTTCTATATTCTAACTGTTTCTCTGTTCCCTGAGTACAGCAGACATTCCTGATTATGAAGCTGTAGCTTATTCCAGTCAACACACTTTAATTTATCTATATATTTCTACACAGCACGGGAAATTATGGCCACTATTATATTACCACATAATTTTATTGGTACAATAGTCGTGTACACGTGCGTTAAAATTAGGTGATAACATCGAAGCTTTTCTCTAATTACTTTAAATATATTCAACTCACACAGTTTTCCTGAGACTTTCGTGAAAAGAAGTTAAATATGATGTGTTTTGCGCTTCTTATGATTTTGCTTGTATCGTTTCCATATTGTATAAATTGTGCTAATATCCTAGTATTGGAAACTGTTCCATCTCCAAGTCATCATATTTGGATTAGAACCATCACAACAGCTCTGGCTGCGGCAGGACACAATGTGACATCCTTATCGCCAGATATTGAAGAGGAAACACCGGAAAATCTTCATTATTTGCATCTGGATAAGGTTTACGACGTGATATACAATCCAGAGGACGAGGATTTCATCATGTCACCAAACTTTCTGACGTGGGGAGCATTAAATTCGTATTTGCAAATGGTAATAATCCACATGTCTCCAGAATTTATATTAAAAGGATGCCTGAAATCAACAGGATTTCACCAACTTCTTGCCTATCCAGATGATTTTAAGGTGCATTACAATCCATTACAATATAAAATTTGAATTTTCAAAACTATTTTATTGCTTTTCAGTTCGATTTGGTGATATATGACTTATTTGTAATGGGAATAATGCTTCCATTCGTCCAGAAATTCAACAATCCCCCACTCATAACGTTGTCAATTGTTCCTTCAATTCAAATTATCTCACAAATTTTTGGTGGTTCACTCCAATCAGCATACGTACCACATTTGCTTAACGAAAATACAGATTTAAGCACATTTCGTGCACGAATCAACAACTTCTTAATAGCTCATCTAGATTACTTTTGGCTAGAATATTTTATTGTGCCTAGACTCAACAAACTGTTAAAAAAGGGCTTCCACAGGGATGTTGATATAAAAGAACTAAACAGACTTTCAAAAGTAGCTCTGATGAACAATCATCCCGGATTAGATAAAATTGAACAAGCCTTTCCAAATGTTATATCAGTTGGTGGACTCCAGATCCAGAGAAATAGGACTCTCAATAAGGATCTTCAGGAAGTCATGGACAATGCCAAGAGTGGAGCGATTCTCTTCTCTTTGGGAACTAATGTGAAAAGTGAAATGCTTGGAGATGCTCGACAAATAGAGATTCTGGAAGCATTCAGAGCTCTTCCTCAATACACATTTATTTGGAAATTTGAGGCTGATTCTCTACCAGTGGAAGTTCCTTCAAATGTTGTAATCAAGAAATTTGTGCCTCAAAATGATCTTTTGGCTCATCCAAACATGAAGCTTTTCATCAGCCATTGCGGCCTTCTCAGCACACAGGAATCGGTTTGGTATGGCGTTCCAATTCTTGGACTTCCGGTTTTCGGTGATAATTGGCTAATTATGAAGTTGAGTATAAAAACTGGAGTGGCAGAACAAGGCGATTTAAGGAATATCGAAAGGAATGCCTTTAAGAAATTGATTGAGAAGATGATAAATGATCCAAAATATAACGAAAATGCAAAGATTCGCTCGAAAATCTTCAGGGATCAGAAGGAAACGCCTCTGGAAAGAGCGATTTGGTGGATTGAATACGTTCTCAGACATCCCAATATGACTCATATGAGATCACAATCGATGGACTACAATATTGCTCAAAGACAATCCTGGGATGTTTTGGCATTTCTGTACACCGTCTTTCTCGTCACAGTGCTGATCCTCGTGAAGATGTGCTGCTGCGTCTGTCGGTCATGTGTCAAGGAAAAACTTAAAATTAAAAAGGATTAAAATTGTGACAGGGGGTAAACATGTGCCACCCTGAATAAACCCGGATTGCGCTAAAAGATTGTGGATTTCGTTTGGGATTGCGATTATACACTAGAAATCGCGGATTGTGCTTGAGATTGCGAAGATTGAATTCTCAGTGAACCGTGATCGCGCCACATGTTAACCCTTTGATTTGTAATATATTTTGTACTTTCAACTCTAATAAAACGATGTTCTGAACTTATATTCCACTTTTTTTCAGTCTCAGTATCTGTGTAACTCCTGAAAATGTTGTCGTCATGTTGTAATTTTTGAAGATACATACATTGTATACAAAATTATATAGCAAGTTGTCTAAATATAGCTAAATAATATATGTGAAATCTGTTTAAAAAAAAACGCGAAAAACGTGTGAAATACATAGAAATTTTTATCAGTTGTTCTGCTTATCTCTGTTTGCCATCGCTGACATCATAACATAATCGCTATCAAGGCTGCTGAATTTAATTTCACTGCATGAAATGGTATAGAAACGAAGCACTGGCAGTTATACTGAGACTCTCGACAAAACAAGTTCACCATGAAATACTTCGCGCTTTTTATGATTTTGCTTCCCTATTTTGCAAATGGTGCTAATATTCTTATATTAGAAGCCGTTGCATCTCCAAGTCATCATATTTGGATCAGAACCATAACAACAGCTCTGGCTGCAGCAGGACACAATGTGACATCTTTATCCACGGATATTGAAGAGGAAACGCCGGAAAACCTTCACTATTTGCACCTGGACAAGGTTTACGACGTAATGTACAATCCGGAGGATGCAGATTTCGGCACAGAATGGGACTTCTTTGAAATGGGAGACATTAATTCATATCTTCAAATTTACCTATTGTTCGAATTCCCAGAAGTAACATTAAAAGGATGTTTGAAATCTACAGGATTTCGTCAACTTCTGAATTATCCAGATGATTTCAAGGTATTTATTCTTAGGAGTATTAAATAATCATGATGCAAAACTCAGCTGCTTAATAATTTTCTTTATGATTTTCAGTTTGATTTAGTGATTCACGATTTCTTTGTTATGGGAATAATGCTGCCATTCGTTAAGAAATTCAATGATCCTCCAGTCATAGCGCTGACTGCATTCTTCTCAGTTGAATTTGCAGCTCCTATTTTCGGAGGAACTCTTCACAGCGGCTATCTGCCATACGTAATGAACAATAATGAGGATTTAAGTACTCTTCTTGCACGAACAAACAATTTTCTTCTCGGCCACATTGATTACTTCTTGAAAGAGTACTACGTCGCTCCCAAACTTAACAATATGTTAAGAAACGATTTTCCGGGAGATGTAGACATTCGGGAATTGAATAAGAGATCAAAACTTATATTGCTGAACAAACATCCCGGATTGGATATAATTGAACAAGCCTTTCCAAATGTTATATCAGTTGGTGGACTCCAGATCCAGAGAAATAGGACTCTCACTAAGGATCTTCAGGAAGTCATGGATAATGCCAAGAATGGAGCGATTCTCTTCTCTTTGGGAACTAATGTGAAAAGTGAAATGCTTGGAGATGCTCGACAAATAGAGATTCTGGAAGCATTCAGAGCTCTTCCTCAATACACATTTATTTGGAAATTTGAGGCTGATTCTCTACCAGTGGAAGTTCCTTCTAATGTTGTAATCAAGAAATTTGTGCCTCAAAATGATCTTTTGGCTCATCCCAACATGAAACTCTTCATCAGCCATTGCGGTCTCCTCAGCACACAGGAATCGGTTTGGTATGGAGTTCCAATTCTTGGACTTCCTGTCTTTGCTGATCAATTTAAAAATCTGGAGGTGAGTGTGAAAGCAGGACTCGCAGAAAAAGGAGATGTGAAAAATATCGAAAGGAATTCCTTTAGGAAATTAATTGAGAAGATGTTGAATGATCGGAAGTATAGAGAAAATGCAAAAAGCCTCTCAGAAATCTTCAGGGATCAGAAGGAAACGCCTCTGGAAAGAGCGATTTGGTGGATCGAGTATGTTTTGAGACATCCCAACATGACTCACATGAGATCGCCATCGATGGACTATAATATCGCTCAGCGACACTCCTGGGATGTTTTGGCATTTCTGTACACCGTCTTTCTCGTCACAGTCCTGATCTTCGTGAAGATGTGCTGCTGCGTCTGTCGGTCCTGCACTAGGAAAAAATCTAAAACCAAAAGGGATTAAATTTTTGATAATTTTTGTAGTTACATAAGTGAAATAAAACAAAGTCATGAACTTGGCTTTTCTTACGGACTCAATTTAATCTCTGTAACCTACAAAAGCAATGTCACCGTGACTGATTATTTTTAGATAACATTTTCATTATCATCGTTATATGTATACCCAAGTGTATACTGAAACATTTACTGTCTAGAGCTCTAGTGTCTGTCAGACTTGCAAAATAATCAGTGCACCATGAATATTTTTGCGTGTTTCGTAATTTTGGCGCTTCCCTTTTTTGCAAACAGTGCTAATATTCTTGTATTAGAAGCTGTTCCATCTCCAAGTCATCATATTTGGATCAGAACCATCACAACAGCTCTGGCTGCAGCAGGACACAATGTGACATCCTTATCGACAGATATTGAAGAGGAAACGCCGGAAAACCTTCACTATTTGCACTTGGATAAGGTTTACGACGTGATGTACAATCCAGAGGATGAGGACTTTGAAATGGAATTCAACTATTTCGACATGGGAAACCTTAATTCTTATTTACAATTATTTATGTTTGTCGATTTTACGGAAATTATTCTGAAGGGCAGCTTGAAATCAACAGGATTCCGTCAACTTCTAGATTATCCAGATGACTTCAAGGTAAGAAAAATTGAAGTCAAATATGATAAAATTTTCTTTCTTGATTCAAAATGCGGAATGAATTTTCTTTCAGTTCGACTTGGTTATTCATGACTTCATGGTTAGCGGAATATTGTTACCGTTTGCGAAGAAATTTAACAATCCTCCAATTATAGCACTGACGGCCTTCTTCTCAGTCGAATACAGTGCTTCAGTTGTTGGAGGAACACTAAATACTGCATATGTTCCGTATATAATTAATAACGATGGAGATTTGAACACTCTCCTTGGACGTACTAACAATTTTCTGCTCGCCTATTTGGATTATTTTATGAGAGAATACTATATTGCTCCTAAACTAAACAAAATTTTGACAAATGAGTTCTCTTGGGATGTCGATATTCGAGAATTGAACAAATTATCGAAAATAGTCATGCTAAATAAACATCCCGGATTGGATATTATAGAAGAAGCATTCCCGAACATTATATCAGTCGGTGGACTTCAGATTCAAAGAAATGACAAACTTCCCATTGACCTCCAGGAAATACTAGATTCAGCGAAGAATGGAGCAATTCTCTTCTCTTTAGGTACTAATGTAAAGAGTAAGATGTTAGGAGATGCTCGACAAATAGAGATTTTGGAAGCGTTCAGAGCACTTCCTCAATACACATTCATCTGGAAATTTGAGGCTGAATCTATGCCAGTGAAGGTTCCTTCTAACGTTATCATTAAAAAGTGGATTCCTCAAAATGATCTCTTGGCTCATCCGAACGTAAAGCTCTTCATCAGCCATTGCGGTCTTCTCAGCACACAGGAATCGGTTTGGTATGGAGTTCCAATTCTTGGACTTCCAGTCTTTGCAGACCAGTTTCAAAATCTGCAGCTAAGCATAAAAACTGGAGTGGCAGAACAAGGCGATTTAAGGAATATGGAAAGGAATGCCTTTAAGAAATTGATTGAGAAGATGATAAATGATCCAAAATATAACGAAAATGCAAAGATTCGCTCGAAAATCTTCAGGGATCAGAAGGAAACGCCTCTGGAAAGAGCGATTTGGTGGATTGAATACGTTCTCAGACATCCCAACATGACTCACATGAGATCGCCATCGATGGACTACAATATTGCTCAAAGACAATCCTGGGATGTTTTGGCATTTCTGTACACCGTCATTCTCGTCACAGTCCTGATCCTCGTGAAGATATTCTTTCTAATAATTCGACGCTGTTTGACAAAGAAACCAATCAAACCTAAGAGAGAATGAATTATGTAAAAGAAAATCTGTAAAATACATTTGAAATCCAATGCCTAACCTTGCACATTCTTATCGCTCCTTCCCCCAACGAAAACCGAATCGTCACCATGACTGATACAAAGAAAATTGTGAATGTAATTCTACGATAACGACGATATCTTTTATATATTTCACTTCACAACCGGTTTCTAGTCAGTAATACTAAATTTTTCGATACAGTCGGTTCATCATGAAGCTCCTTGCGATTCTTCTGATTTTGCTTCCGTGCTTCGTAAACTCTGCAAATATTCTAGTCTTGGAGGCTCTACCTTCTCCTAGTCATCATATATGGATCAGAACCATCACAACAGCTCTGGCTGCAGCAGGACACAATGTGACATCCTTATCGACGGACATCGAAGAGAAAACTCCAGAAAATCTTCATTACCTTCATCTGGACAAGATTTACGATGTTCTATATAACCCGGAGGACGAAGACTTTGAGATGGAGATGGACTTTTTCGAGATGGGAGAAATGAATCCTTATATTCAATTGATTATGTTTTACAGCTTTCAGGACGCCACAATTAAAGGTTGTACGAAATCTACGGGATTTCGTCAACTCCTCGCCTATCCTGATGATTTCAAGGTAAGAATCGTAGTGAAAAATGTTTGTAATTTCATATTATTAATATATATTTTACAATACTTTCCAGTTTGATTTGGTGATTCACGATTTTTTGGCTGGTGGAATAATGCTGCCGTTTGCGACGAAATTCAACAATCCTCCAATCGTAGCATTAACAGCCTTCTTCTCAGCGGAATTTACTGCTTCATTTACTGGAGGAACACTGAACACTGCATATGTTCCTTATTTAATTAACAGTGGCGCAGATTTGACTTCTTTCCTTGGACGCACCAACAATTTCATACTCACTCATCTGGATTACTTCCTGAGAGAGTATTATCTTGCTCCTCTGTCCAATCGCCTGCTGAGCCAAGAATTTCCTTGGGATGTGGACATTAGAGAATTGATGAGCCAATCGAAAATAGTGTTGCTAAACAAGCATCCCGGATTGGATGTTCTGGAACCAATCATGCCAAATGTAATTTCCGTTGGAGGACTTCAAATTCAGAGAAATGATGGTCTTCCTGAAGATCTTCAGGAAGTCATGGACAATGCCAAAAATGGAGCGATTCTCTTCTCTTTGGGAACTAATGTGAAAAGTGAAACGCTTGGAGATGCTCGACAAATAGAGATTGTGGAAGCATTCAGAGCTCTTCCTCAATACACATTCATCTGGAAATTTGAAACTGATTCTCTACCAGTGGAAGTGCCTTCAAATGTCTTGATCAGAAAATTTGTGCCACAAAGCGATCTTCTGGCTCATCCGAACATGAAACTCTTCATCAGCCATTGCGGTCTTCTCAGCACACAGGAATCGGTTTGGTATGGAGTTCCCATACTCGGACTTCCCGTGATGGTAGATCAGTTTCAGAATTTGGAACTGAGCATAAAAACAGGAGTAGCGGAAAAGGGAGATATAAAAAATATCGAAAGGAATTCCTTTAGGAAATCGATTGAGAAGATGATGAATGATCCAAAATATAGAGAAAACGCAAAAATTCGCTCAGACGTCTTCAGGGATCAGAAGGAAACGCCTCTGGAAAGAGCGATTTGGTGGATCGAGTATGTTTTGAGACATCCCAATATGACTCATATGAAATCACCATCAATGGATCTTTACCTCGTTCAGCGACAATCTTATGATGTTTTGGCATTTCTCTTTGTCATCATTCTGGTCACTTTCCATGTCTTCCTGAAAATTTCCTGCTGCATCTGTCGAAGTTGCTCCAAGAAAAAGTCTAGGAAACCCAAAAGAGATTAATGCTGATTGTAAAAAGAATTTGTATATATGAAAATATATAAGTAATCAACATTTCTGTTCCTATGTTGTGCTATATTGCTACGATAACAAATTTATCTGCCACAGCCGTCACAACATTAATCTCTCACTGAACATATGATTACATAAAAAATTGCGGCAAGGTCGAGCAAACAGCTTAGAGTCTCATCATGACTCGATAGAAAAAGTTGTCAGTAGTAGAAAAACCGTGAAGAGAGCAAGTTCACCATGAAATTATTCGTGATTTTTGTGATTTTGCTTCCGTATTTTGCAAACAGTGCTAATATTCTTGTATTAGAAGCTGTTCCATCTCCAAGTCATCATATTTGGATTAGAACCATTACAACAACTCTGGCTGCAGCAGGACACAATGTGACATCCTTATCGACAGATATTGAAGAGGAAACACCGGATAATCTTCACTATTTACACTTGAACAAGGTGTACGACGTGATGTACAATCAGTCAAATGAAGATTTTGATATGGATTGGGACTTCATTGCGATGGGCAAGATAAATCCTTTCCTGCAAATATTTCTCTTCTCTGACTTCTCCGAAATCATACTGAAAGGATCTTTCCAATCAACTGGATTTCGTCAACTCCTCGCATATCCCAGTGACTATAAGTTCGATTTAGTCATTTATGACTTCTTCGCTTTTGGTATCCTGCTTCCCTTTGCCCAAAGATTCGGTGATCCTCCAATTGTGGCACTGACCGCCTTCTACTCAGTGGAATTCAGCGCTTCTCTCGTCGGAGGAACACTAAGTCCGTCTCATGTACCTTATCTAGTCAACAGTGAAGGGGATTTGACAACGTTCTCCGGTCGCTTTAGCAACTTTCTGTTGACTCACTTAGATTATTTTGTAAAGGAATATTACATTTTTCCAAGATTAAATACTATGATGAAGCGAGAATTTCCATGGGCCAAAGATATCAGGGAACTCCATGCTCTAGCGAAAATTGTTCTTCTGAATAAGCATCATGGTCTAGACGTTATTGAGCAGGCCTTCCCGAATGTGATTTCCGTTGGAGGACTTCAGATTGCGAGGAATAAAGGACTTTCGAAGGACTTTCAGGAAATTATGGACAATTCAGAGAACGGAGTGATACTTTTCTCTTTGGGAACCAACATGAAAAGTGAAATGCTTGGAGATGCTCGACAAATAGAGATTTTGGAAGCCTTTAGAGCTCTTCCGCAATACAAAATCTTATGGAAATTTGAGACTGATTCTCTGCCAATAGAAGTACCGTCAAATGTTATTATACGAAAATGGATACCTCAAAGCGATCTTCTGGCTCATCCTAACATGAAGCTCTTTATCAGCCACTGTGGTCTTCTCAGCACACAAGAAGCAGCTTGGTATGGCGTACCAATTCTTGGACTCCCGGTTTTCGGTGATCAATGGCAGAATATAAAGTTGAGTACTGATCATGGAGTTGGCGAGCAAGGTGATCTTGCTAATATAGAGCGACAATCTTTTAAAAATCTTATTGAAAAAATGTTGACAGACCCAAAATACCAAAATAACGCCAAAATCCGTTCAGAGATGTTCCAAGATCAAAAGGAATCGCCTCTGGAGAGGGCAGTTTGGTGGATAGAGTATGTTTTGAGGCATCCTAACATGACACATATGAGATCATCTTCTATAGACCTTGGAATGATGCAAAGACAATCCTGGGACGTCCTGGCAGTTCTATTCACAGTCGTAGTAATAATAATCATATTATTCTTTAAAATTTTCTGTTGTATTTATCGCACGTGCTCTGAGAAGCGACAGAAAAAGATAAAGAAAGAGTAAATAAAAGCATGTTTAGTCTATTCATTCATTTTTATTGTAAATATTGTAAATATAATCATGATTTACTACACAAACCATATTTTTTACTCCCTCTTCTTTTTCGCAGATTCCTTCTTCGCAATCCTTCTGAAGATTAGACACACAAGTTTGCTGATACAGAACAAGAAGATAAGGAATAGCGCTGAGAAGAAGGCGAGAACATCCCAAGAATGTCTTATGAAAACTCCCTGATCCAATGATTGGGATCTCATGTGAGTTGAGTTAGGATTCCTAAGAACGAATTCTGTCCACCAAATCGCTCTCTCCAGAGGTGTCTCCTTCTGGTCCTTGAAAATCCTAGACAGAGCCTGAGCATTGTTCCAATATTTGGGATCGTCCAGGATCTTCTTCATTACTTGCTGCAGAGAATGTCGTTCAATCTGCATGATGTCCTGCTGCTCAGCAATTCCTTGCTTAGCCAGAAGTCTGATATTCTGCAAGGCAAATTTTAGTCAAGTAAATGTCTCCTTCTGTAGGATACAATCTTACGTCAAATCCATCCGCAAATATGGGAATTCCCAGCATTGGAACGCCATGCCAAAGAGCTTCTTGGACGCTCAGAAGACCGCAATGAGTGATAAACAGCTTCAAGTTGGGATGAGCTAAAATGTCATTCTGAGGAAGCCAACTTCTGACCACAACGTTACTCGGTAGACGTCCCGGAATTTTCTCAGGGTCCATCTTAAAAATTATTGTATACTCAGAAAGAGATCTGAATGCTTCCAAAATTTCAGTGAAACGCTCGCTTTTCACCATGCTGCCCATAATGTTGGTGCCCAATGAGAACAAGATTACTCCTTTCTTTGCCTCATCGAGTATAGTTTGGAGGTCCTGAAGAAAGGGAAGAACAGAAATGCAAGTAGGTTCATGTTTCTAACATTCTTCTTGTGTCATTACCTTCGGAAGAGCATTTGCTCTCTGAATTTGCATGCCTCCAACGGAGATAACGTTCGGCAGTGATTGCTCCTGAATTGAAAGGACTGGGTCTTTGTTAATCAATACTAGTTTAAGAGTTTTGTCCAATTCCCGAACATCCTTTAAATGAGGGAAATCGTGACCCATTGCTTTGTGTATCCTTGGAGTGATGTAGTACATTCGAAGGAGATAGTCCAAGAAAGTGAAAACAAAGTTATTCATACGATCTTGGAAGGTCTGTAATTCAGAAGAGTAGAAAATGTAGGGAATAAATGCTGGGGTGAAAGTTCCTCCAAGAACTGGTATTGAGAATCCAGAAGAAGAGTAGGCAGTTGCACCTATAATAGGCGTGCTGGGAAACTTTGTGGCGAACGGAAGAAGAAGTGGGCCAAGCACGAAATCGTAGATGATCAGGTCAAACTGAAAAAGCCATACATTTTGAATTATGGCTTATCTTGACAATTTTTTTGGTTCTTACCTTGAAATCATCCGGATAGTCCAGAAGCTGCTTATATCCTTTAGAAATCACACTTCCTTCAAGTGACCGCATGCTGAATGTTACAAACACTAGAGTTTTTATAAATCCATTAGCTTTTCCCAGCTCAACATAATTCATGTCATCAGAACCATCGTAAAGAACTTCATAGACTTTGTCCAAGTGCAGATAGTGAAGATTTTCAGGAGTGTCTTCCTCAATATCCGCAGAAATGGCTGTGATATTGTGCCCTTTTGACGCCAGGGCGTAAGTCAACGTTTTCATCCAAACATGATGGCTTGGAGAAGGCACAGGTTCCAGAACTAGGATATTGGCACAGTTCACCATGTACGGCAGCAAAACTAGTAAGATCTTCATGATCATTAGCGAACAACTTAAGAAATGTACTTCTTTACCTTTCCAAAACTATACTGAATGTTCGCAACATAATCCAATTCTTATGAAGAAAAATTATCTCGGCAGATAACGTATCAAGAGTCAATTGCGCTAATTCTGCTACAAGGTCAACAACGTTGTCAGTAAAAAGCTCACATATCAAGATCATAAGCATAAATTTCAATGGTATTTACTATTTATTTATATCAATATAACTGTTATACTCAGAAAACACATCTCAATCCTTCTTAGATTTTCGCGATTTTTGCTTGAAGAAACATTTATAAATGCAACAAGATATCTTCAAAGTCACGATCAAAACTGCCGATAGGATAACAAGAAAGAAGGCTTGAACATCCCAGGAGTGTCTTTGGAACAAATTGAGGTCTAATGACGGGGATCTCATATGTGTCATGTTGGGATGCCTGAGAACATATTCTACCCACCAAACTGCTCTTTCCAGCGGTGAATCTTTCTCATCTCTAAAGATATTCGAGCGAATTTGGGCGTTCTCTCGATACTTTGGATCAGTTATCATATGCTCAATTAATTTTCGGAACGAATGTCTTTCAATGTTGACCACATCTCCTTGCAATGCCACTCCTGTTTTCAAGCTTAACTTTAAGTTGTGGAACTGGTCTGCAAAGACTGGAAGTCCGAGTATGGGAACTCCAAACCAAACCGATTCCTGTGTGCTGAGAAGACCGCAATGGCTGATGAAGAGTTTCATGTTCGGATGAGCCAGAAGGTCGCTTTGTGGCACAAATTTCTTGATCAAGACATTAGAAGGAACTTCCACTGGTAGAGAATCAGTTTCAAATTTCCAGATGAATGTGTATTGAGGAAGAGCTCTGAATGCTTCCAGGATCTCTATTTGTCTTGCATTTCCCAACATTTCACTCTTCATGTTGGTTCCCAAAGAGAAGAGAATCGCTCCATTCTTGGCATTGTCCATGACTTCTTGAAATTCCTTTGAAAGTCCTTTAGTCCTCGCAATTTGAAGACCTCCAACGGAAATCACATTTGGCATTAGTGGTTCTATTATATCCAAAGCTGGGTGCTTATTTATAAGAACTATTTTAGTTCTCTCTTCTATTTTCGCAGCATCCTGTGCATTGGGAAAGTCTTCCTTCATCATACTGTTAACTTTCGGGGCGATATAATACTTTCGTATAAATTGATCAAGAAAGATTAACAAATAATTATTCGCTCTGCCTAAGAATGTTGTCAAATCGACTTCCATAAAGGGGTAAGGCACGAAGGATGGCGTTAGAACACCACCAAAGATGTGATTAGCAAACCCAGAAGAGTAGAACGCAGTGGCGGATATCAAAGGAGGATTTCCAAACTTGTCCACAAATTTTACGAGGAATGGTCCAACCACGAAGTCATTGATGATTAAGTCGAACTACAAAAAGAAAGATATAAGTAATTGCTAGAAATACTATTAGAGCCATACTGTGTCCTTACCTTATAGTTGTCTGGATAGTTAAGAAGTTGTCGATATCCTGTTGACTTCACGATACCTTGTAGACTTTGCGTGCAGTAGCTCATGAACATATGATAGGCTAGATACGGATTCATCTTCCCCATTTCAAGGAAATCAATGTCTTGAGAGTGATCTTCACTTGAATCGTCATAGATCGTTTCGTACACTTTGTCTAAGTGGAGATAGTGAAGATTTTTTGGCGGATTTGTATCAATATCAGCCGATAGTGAAGTGACATTGTGACCTTTATCAACCAAAGCGTGCATTAACGTTCTTATCCAAATATGGTGACTCGGCGAAGCCACTGTTTCCAGCACAAGAATATTGGCAGCACTTATAAAACACGGCAGAACAGAAAGAATGAGTATAAACTTCATTTTGGCAATACTTCGATGATTACACGACGGAAGTATCTCGCCGACTGACGGGTTTTCAAATGATTTGGCATTCTTATGACCCTGGACAACTCTCGACGAGGCGTTATCATGCCAAATAATAATTGTGTAATAGTATATTTTTATCAGGTGCCGGAGTTTGTTATCAGAACGTAGAATGATTGTCCAAAATTGTAATCAAAGCAAGAAATAAATGCCTATGGAGATTGCGTTTTCCTTCTGGAAAGAGAGAACAAATTGATATAAAAACGATCATCACCTTTATTGTTCAGATAGCCAGTGAGAAGAGACCTAACACGATAATCAAGTATTACGTCATAAAGCACGGATAATGTGAGTAACCAATACAAACTTACCCAATTGTCTTGTGTGTTCTTTTCAACTCAAAACACTTTGTCACCAGCTCAGTACAGAATTGTCTGTGATTGTGGAGAGATCAGTGATGCGATGAAATCCATTGAAATTTCCCTGGTGTTATTCATTAACTTCTCATTGATACTGGGAGCGAATATTCTTGTGCTCGAGGGCCTTCCATCTCCCAGTCACCATGTTCTTTTCCGGGTTGTGAATGAAGCTTTAGCGGCCAGAGGACACAATGTCACCTCAATCAGTGCGGATATTGATGAAAATGTATCTCAAAACTTAACTTACCTTCACCTTGATCGTGTCTATGAGCATTTGTACGATAGTGATGACATGAATTTTGTGGATATAGGCAAGGTTAATCCTTGGATTACATTAGGAATCCTCAATCACTACATTCTGAAGGCATTTACCGGATTGCAGAAGTCTTCAGGATATCATCAGTTATTGGCCTATCCTGATGATTTCAAAGTCGATTTGATAATTTACGACTTCATAGCCACACCTATGCTCTTAGGCTTCAAGCATAAGTTCGGCAATCCACCTTTAATAGGTTTAACAGGATATAATGCCATTTCCACGACTAGTGCTATCATAGGTTCGCCCTATCACTCGGCATTTGTACCTCATCACTGTCGTTTGGACACTGGAAATAGTTTCTTGAAACGTGTGGAGAACTATCTACTCCACTGGGCAGATCATGCATCAAGAAAGTACATAATATTGCCTAAACTATACTCAGCATTGAAGAAAGATCTGCCTAACCTTCCGCCACTAGCTCAGCTCGAGGAAACAGCACGTCTGGCTTTGATAAATTACAATCCGGTTTTTGAGCCGTCAGAACCCATGCTGCCAGGAGTGATAGGGGTAGCAGGTCTACAAATTAAGGATCCCAAACCTCTTCCTCCGGATATTGAAGAGATCGCTTCGAAGGGGGCATTTATTTTCTTCAGCTTAGGCACCAATGCTCAGCCTGAAATGCTTGGTGATGCTAGACTCAAGCATATCATAGAAACCATGAGGGAACTAAAGCAGTTCATGTTCTTCTGGAAGGCAAAGGGCAGATTGCCAATTGACACTCCACCGAATCTTGTGATGCGATCTTGGTTTCCTCAGTCAGATCTATTGGCTCATCCCAATGCGCGGCTATTCATAAGTCACTGTGGTCTGCTCAGCACTTACGAAGCGACCTGGAGAGGAGTTCCCATTCTCGCCGTGCCTATTTTTCTGGATCAGTTCATGGTGAGGGTCATACATCAATTAGATCATTTATTTCATTTAATACAATTGATCTATTTTCAGAATGCTGAAAATTCCGTGAAGGCGGGAATGGCTCTCGAGTATGACATTAGAAACGTGACGAAGAACACTTTCAAAGCGATCATTCTCGAGATGATCAGTAATCCAAAATATAAGGAAAATACTCTCGTTAGGAGTAAATTGTTCAGGGATCAGCCGGAAATGCCACTCGATCGCGCATTGTGGTGGATTGAGTATGTAATTAGGAACCCAAAGGAGAACATCTTTAAATCAGAAGCCATCCAATTAAATATCTTCCAGAAGCATGATGTTGATGTGTTGATATTTATTTTTGTTATCTTTCTGATTATTCTGTATATAAAATTAAAAATCATCGCAGCAATACTTAGAGGGATCTGTAAATCGCTTCAGAAAACTCAGAAGAACAAAAAAGACTGAGAACCTGTAATCATTGAATAAACCTTTTTATCTATATACAAGTTGTCTTCCTGATTGTTTGTGAGATTTTAGTATTTATAGAGTCACCCCAGACAGAGGAATAAAGAAAGTAAATAGAATGCAGAAATATTAAAGTCCGTAGTCACAATAGTGTATATAGATAGAGACATGACTTAACAGATTGTTTTCGTCACTTCACATTGCATACATATATACAAAATAATCATGTTTGTACACAGGGCAAATCAAAGTTCGTGATATCAGAGAAAAGATGAGTGATTTTGCTTTTTCAATACACACAATACATATAGCATAGAATACAAAAATCATAGTTACATAAGAGCCTGAAATTATCATTGAGTGGGGATATTAAGCGAATGAGTTCGCACAATTTGTTAGTAAGTTATCAACTGTATAAGGTGAGAGACGTGAAATCAAAATGCTGTGGTTAGTTGTAATCTTAGGAATCGTGCATGCTAGGGAAGTTTTAGGCGCAAATATTCTGATTCTGGAGGGTCTCGCCTCTCCCAGTCATCATGTATTTATGCGTGTGATAAATGAAGCCCTCGCGAGACAAGGTCACAATGTTACCTCGATCAGTGCGGATGTCGAAGCCAATCCCGTGGCGAATTTAACATATCTACATAACGACAAAGTGTATGAACATATTTACCAAGGATATGATCCTGATGGCAATATGAATTTGATGGAGTTTGGAAGTGGTGGAAATCTCGCTACAATCATCGAAGTGGATGAATTCTATCGCAATACTCTGACGGGAATCAAGAAATCCAAGGGTTATCAGCAACTTTTAGCCTATCCAGATGACTTCAAGTTCGATCTCATTATTTATGACTACATGGCTTTACCTGTGCTACTGGGATTTCACCATAAATTCCGGAATCCTCCCCTAATTGGGCTCACAGCCTTCAATGGGATCTCTCCTTCTGTCTTCTTCGTTGGATCTTCATTCTATCCAGCTTACATTCCCTTCTACTTTGGCAGTGGATTTCGCGACACTTTTTTCGGACGAATAGAGAACACATTCCTCAATTACTTTGACTACTTCTTCAGGAATTACTGCACCCTCCCTAAGATGCATTCAATGGTTAAGGATGACTTTCCAGGCTTGCCTCCTTTAAGTGAACTTGAACGCCAAATGCGTCTTGTTCTGATAAATTACAGTCCAGCAGTTCACGATCCCGAACCCATGCTACCCAATGTGATCCCCATCGCTGGAATGCACATGCAGCAAATAAAACCCCTGCCAAAGGACTTCCAGGAGATCCTAGACAACGCCAAAAATGGAGTGATTCTCTTCAGCTTGGGAACGAATGTAAAGAGCTGGATGTTAGGCGAAGAGAGAATTCAAAAATTCGTCAACGCATTCCGAAAGCTCCCTCAGTACACGTTTATATGGAAATTTGACAATGAAGAAGTTCCCAATGTACCTAAAAATGTAATCATTAAGAAATGGGTGCCTCAAAACGATATCTTAGATCATCCAAATGCTAAACTCTTCATGAGTCATTGCGGTTTGCTGAGTACCCTGGAATCTACATGGCACGGCGTTCCCATTCTAGGAATTCCGATTTTCCTAGATCAATTTACAGTGAGTCTAAGTTGTGACTTTTTTTTTACAATATTCTAATATTAAAAACTTTTCTGTCTAGAATGCTGAACTGCTACAGAAGTCTGGAATCTCTGAGACGATTTTCATAAAAGATGTCACGACTGAGGAAATCGCCAAAGTAATCGCGAAGATGATGACTTCATCCAATTACAGAAACAATGCGAAGATACGATCGCAGTTATTCAGGGATCAGCCCCAACCCCCGCTTGAGAGGGCGCTGTGGCATATAGATTTCATCCTCAGGAATCCGGATGTTGAGTTCCTCCGCAGTAAATCCATCCATCTGGACATCTTCACTCGCCATAATGTGGATGTGATAGTTTTTGTCGTGGTCATCTTGATGATTTTCCTCTGTGTTGTCAGGAAAATCCTGAAACTCACATGTGGACGACGCAAGTCATCAAATCCACTGAAGCAAAAAACCAATTAATGTCTATCGTGCTTCGGAACTAATATTTTTTGTAATTTGTGCAAGATGTGTAATCATAATGATCAAAATATATTACACAAAATTTGCAAAAAAAAACATTTTTACTCCCTCTTCTTTTTCGCAGATTTCTTCTTCGCAATCCTTCTGAAGATTAGACACACAAGTTTGCTGATACAGAACAAGAAGATAAGGAATAGCGCTGAGAAGAAGGCGAGAACATCCCAAGAATGTCTTATGAAAACTCCCTGATCCAATGATTGGGATCTCATGTGAGTTGAGTTAGGATTCCTAAGAACGAATTCTGTCCACCAAATCGCTCTCTCCAGAGGTGTCTCCTTCTGGTCCTTGAAAATCCTAGACAGAGCCTGAGCATTGTTCCAATATTTGGGATCGTCCAGGATCTTCTTCATTACTTGCTGCAGAGAATGTCGTTCAATCTGCATGATGTCCTGCTGCTCAGCAATTCCTTGCTTAGCCAGAAGTCTGATATTCTGCAAGGCAAATTTTAGTCAAGTAAATGTCTCCTTCTGTAGGATACAATCTTACGTCAAATCCATCCGCAAATATGGGAATTCCCAGCATTGGAACGCCATGCCAAAGAGCTTCTTGGACGCTCAGAAGACCGCAATGAGTGATAAACAGCTTCAAGTTGGGATGAGCTAAAATGTCATTCTGAGGAAGCCAACTTCTGACCACAACGTTACTCGGTAGACGTCCCGGAATTTTCTCAGGGTCCATCTTAAAAATTATTGTATACTCAGAAAGAGATCTGAATGCTTCCAAAATTTCAGTGAAACGCTCGCTTTTCACCATGCTGCCCATAATGTTGGTGCCCAATGAGAACAAGATTACTCCTTTCTTTGCCTCATCGAGTATAGTTTGGAGGTCCTGAAGAAAGGAAAGAACAGAAATGCAAGTAGGTTCATGTTTCTAACATTCTTCTTGTGTCATTACCTTCGGAAGAGCATTTGCTCTCTGAATTTGCATGCCTCCAACGGAGATAACGTTCGGCAGTGATTGCTCTTGAATTGAAAGGACTGGATCTTTGTTAATCAATACAAATTTTACACTTTTGTCCAATTCTCGAACATCCTTCATGTTAGGGAAATCATGACCAAGGACTTTGTGAGTTCTGGGAGCAATGTAGTAGATTCGAATGAGGTAGTCAAAGTAAGTGAGGACAAAATTATTCATACGATCTTGGAAGGTCTCTAATTGGGAAGGGTAGAAAAGGGAAGGTATAAATGCTGGGGTGAAAGTTCCTCCAAGAACTGGTATTGAGAATCCAGAAGAAGAGTAGGCAGTTGCACCTATAATAGGCGTGCTGGGAAACTTTGTGGCGAACGGAAGAAGAAGTGGGCCAAGTACGAAATCGTAGATGATCAGGTCAAACTAAAGAAATTGAGTGAATATTACAGCTTGTTTAAATAAATTTTTTTTTATTCCTACCTTGAAATCATCCGGATAGTCCAGAAGCTGCTTATATCCTTTAGAAATCACTATTCCCTCAAGTGATCGCTTGCTTACTGTCACAAATATTAAGCTTTGCATTACGCTGTTAGCTTTCCCAAGTTCAACGTAGTTAATATCACCAGAACCATCGTAAATAACTTCATAGACTTTATCCAAGTGTAGATAGTGAAGATTTTCAGGAGTGTCTTCCTCAATATCCGCAGAAATGGCTGTGATATTGTGCCCTTTTGACGCCAGGGCGTAAGTCAACGTTTTCATCCAAACATGATGGCTTGGAGAAGGCACACATTCAAGAACTAAGATATTAGCACAGTTCACTAAATAAGATAATTGTAGCAAAACTAGTAAGATCTTCATGATCAATAGCGAACAATGTAAGAGATCTACTTCTTTGCCTTTCTAAATTGCACTGAAGTTCGGAATATAATCTCCTTCCTTATAAAGTTTAATTATCAGATAAGATACATTTTAGGATATGATAAATTATCAGATAATTAGGCAGATAAAAGTTCAAATAACTCTCGTTCTTCTGAATTATTTTTTTTTGTATTTTATTATCAATTTCACGTGATTTCATTGTTTCGTTGTGTCTTATGCTCGTTAGATACTCCGTAAGAGTAAAGATTCCAGCCTGAAGAGAATGTGTGGAGAGTGAGCAAGAAGAAGAGTAAATGTCTGATGTGGGAGTGTTTTATAGAGTATAGATAGGATCCCCCGAAGTCCCCTTTCAGCAAAGCAGGAATATCAATTTTCCTCTCCATCCTCTTTTGCATTTCCATTCTCCTTCGGATTCTCTTCAACTGGGATGCTTTCATTTGCCTCGGTGTTTTCCTGGAAAAAGAAAATAAAATACAGTTAATTTTTAATGGTAAGATTTTTACTTCCCAACCTTGCATACTTAATAGTAATTATTAAGCAAGGATATCAAACCTTATCTAAGCTCTGAGTCTCTTCTTGAGATTGCGTCTCTTGTTCACTCGGATCTGGCGGATTTTCGGCATCATCTTGTGTGCTTTTGGGCTCCTCCTCTGTCGCATTGACCACCTCCTCGACTTTCTTTATTCCCACCAGGAATGGAGCATTCATTACACCGGGGCAAAAATCAGGTGGGAAAAGTAAAGAAATCAATTAGGATACACGCTTAGGATGTCTCAAAGCACACATCGATCCAATCGCTCATATTTAGCATCTAGATTTAGAACCTAGTGTAAGCAGCAGAATTAATACATGCTTCTGTATAAAAACTGTTATGATTAGTTTGATGGGAAAATTAGTGAGAAGATAGAGACACTATTCGGCCACATTTCCAAACCTCTTCCTCCTCTTCTTCCTCAATTTCTTCTTCCACTTCCTCCTCTTCTTCGCTGGCTTCTTCCTCCTCGTCTGCCGTGGAATCTTCAGTCTCTTTAGCTTCTTCATCTTTTGGCTTGTCCTCAATACTTTCGTCATTGTTTGGTAAAGCTTCTTTCGTCTCTGCTTCCTCATCTTCGCTTGCTTTGGTTTCATTTGCCTCCTTGGCATCGTCTTCTTCAGCTTCAGATTCCTTGTTGTTCTCTTCATTTTCATCATTTTCTTTCTTCTCGGCATCGGCCTTCTTCACTTCCTTCTTTGTTTCTTCTTGATCTCCAAAGATATCATCGATCTCCTCCTCTTCAACTTCTCCATTCTCCTTAGCCTCATTTTCTGCTCCCTTTTTGGGTTCTGCCTCGCCATTCTCTGCTGGCCTTTCCTTCTCAACATTCTGGAGGCAAATTTTTGTGAATTTTGATCATAACGCCAATGTTTGATGGGGGGTTGGATGCAGGAGATGAAAATCAATACGGAAATCTTATATGATAAATTATACTTTTATTTTTTCTAAAAAATAAATTTGATATATCAAATATTTCTTCTTACGGGTTAAATACACAGAAAATTCTCATTCTTATGCCATTGCAATTGGAACGAACAAAAATGCACGTTATTTTGGTTCGAAAATTCACTCTGTGAGCTTTCACTTTGCACAACACAACATAGAAATAAAATTCTGTTTTTGGATAATACAAAAATGCCTATTTAGGAGACAATCTCAACGATGCTTGCAGCAATATTAACAATGTTTAGAATTTGGGTTATATATTGTTACCAATTAGACTATTTTTTGATTACTTCGCATTCTGGCGATGAATTTGTCTCAGTAGAAAACTCTATCATGCAATTTTTGTTAGAGAGAAAAGCGATAGATATAAAATAGAATTACAAATAATTATCAACTATAAAATTAGATATAAAATATAGAATGATTATTTATTCAAGTATAATTGTTTTAAATGATCTTAAAGCTTATTGCATAGTACAAATTGCCATTATTTCAGCAAAATGGATTCAGCTTACAAATTACAAATCGATATAACAAATGTATAAAAATTTTGACAATGTCTTGTAATTCTTAGTGTCTTTCATTTATTATTGTACGCTTCATTCAACTGTTAAGGAGTGATAGATAAACAATGTGAAAAAGGATATACTAAGCTATAAAGGGGAATGCAAACCATCGTCAAGGCTTAATTAAGTGTGAGAAAATCAGCTCTGCGATAAATTAATCAAAAAGGGGTTCTTCAAACCTCTCTGTTTTCGGTCTCTTCGCTGTTCTCCTTGTTCTCTTCCTCCACGTGTCCGTTCTTGTCCTTTGCCGTGGACAGTTCGATCTCCGCCGTCGAGACTGCCGGCTCAACCTTCAGGAACTGCTCCAGTGTGTCCACCTCGTTGGCCAAGTCGAAGCCATCGTAGTCTCCACAGTAGTCTGCATCGTTGTAGATCTGAGGCGGAAGCGGATGCCGTGGCGATGGATCGCTGCCAGTGGCTCCAGTGCTGGTCGAATTGGTGTGCATGAACTCCTTCTCCGCCTCCTTGCCAGGCTCCGCGATGTCCACAACTTCGTACGGGATGTTTTTACTGTCGAGAATCATGAGGACGCGCTGCTGTCGCTTCTTCACCTGCAAACACCCATCAGATTAGCGGATATTCTCTTTCACACATGGCTAAACATGAGGAACCAACGCGCGAGAATCATCATTTCATGTCTCACATCTTCGCTACGGATTTGTGCTCCGCAACCAATGAATAAAATTGCCCGCGCTTGCATTGCTGATTAATTGGGCCTCGCCACACTGTGAGTGTGGGATTAAAATTGTTGGGGATTTGATGAATAAGACAAGGGGAAATGCCTAACAAAATGTAGATAAGCACTCGCCCGGCTTTGCTCAAGTGGAGCTGTGATTCTAGGAGCTAAATCGCATAGAGACGGAACTTTAAAGCCCGTACATTCTGGTTCCTTTGGTTTCCATTGCAAAGGATACCCTAACTAACCATCTCCCATGCTTAGCTACCGGATTTCGTGACGACTTATTCTGATGATGGCATAAAATATGCACAAGCTGAATTTCAACTATTTGACGCACAAGAATATTTCCCCCTTGTTTCTTATCGCCAAAACCGGCGAATACTCATATAATTACTCACATTCTATCAGTTTAGCAAAGCCGTCGCCTCTTTCAATAAAGCATTTTTATCTGTGCCTTTATTGACTATTTATTGACATTTGCGTCCTTATTTAACATAATGAAACGCCCAAAAATTGCATAAGGCCCATTTTTCTCACAAATGCGCCTCAGCTGCATTGTGCGCCGATTCTCAGCATTACCGCCTTATTTGGCACAAGACTTCATTGAAGTGGAAAATCCCCTGCAACGCGCCATCGAGTTCTTGGCCGGCCAACAAGTGGCGCCCGGTCGAGACTTCCTCTCTCAGAGCCTCTAAGCGTGATCAGCCGTGATCTTGTCCCCGAAAAGAGAGGTGAAAACACGCCGCGAGAGCCAAAATTGTTGGGGATTTTATTATTAGAACCTCTCTGCGAGAATTGGGGGTTCGTGTCACTGAGTTTGAGCGTCTCCGGAAGAGGAAGACATTTGGGTGGTGTCCCCCAAACAGTTGCTAAATCCCCGTCAATTTATTGAGGCATCTGCAAGTGGAGCAGCTGCGGGTGGCTCTTTGGCTCGCGAGGGACGCCCGGGGCGTGATTTAGATGGCGAAAAGTATGGGAAATATGCGGTTTTTTCACTGCGAAAAGTGCCAACAAAGATGGTGGCCTATCCCAAGTGTTGCATCCACTTTTAATTACATGTACTTTACCTCCTTATTGCCGGACATGCCGCTTATGTACACCTTCACCACCATTTTTGCCGATCTACCCTTATGACACAACGAAACTAATAAGCTATTTCTCTATAAATTCACGGAAAAATCGCACCAGAAAAGTCTTGTACGTCAAATCGCTTCTTGTTTCGAGACAACTTATATGGCAAATAATGTTTTGTGTGTCAAACTTATAACGAGAAAGAGAGAGAAAGAATTGTGATATATCACACTAAACGTCTTCCGACAGTCTTTGTGTGAAATTCTTTCTCTCTTTATGCACTACAGATGGCCAGAAAGGCGACTAAAGAGTACTATTTGTTTGCTATGTGAACAGCATTTAGAGAAAAAATAGTTTTTTTGCCCAATTGAATCTCCCCATTGACATTATAAGCCCGATAAAAACAAGAGCTACTCGTCTCTTTCTGCCTGTTCTTTTACATCTGTCAGTGGCGTCATCTACTGATCTCTTATAAACATTTCGTATCGAGAATACAGGCTAAATATATAAGAGAATGCTAGTGCTGCCCATTTGGCATATCATGGCGCTGTTGTCACGGAGCGTATGGCGTTGAAAAATCGCGGGAAAACAACCTCGCCCACCCCCAAAAATTCAGATAGTATCTCCTTGGGATTGGCAATTATTGTGACTTTTCCCATTAAACCCCATCAATGTTAAGCCACCGCAAGTACTACACCTTGAAAATCCACCCAATTAAACTCTTTTAGTCCCTCCCATTTGAAAGTTACACTAATCTCCCAGCAATCCCTCACAATAGCCGCGAAATTAAAACTATACACTCACCCCGTCCCGAAATGGGGATTCCTCTTAATTATTCCTTGATTTTCTAGTTTCCACCCGGCATTTATTGCCTTCTCGGCATTCTAAGCGGCCACTCTTAGAAGGAAATTGATGTGGGGTTGAGGATTTGAATCCCATTTTCATTCTCCGTGGAACCGCGTGTGTGGCCAGACAATAAAATTCTATTTGTATATAAATGCGAACAGGGATTTTATGTCAGCTTCGAGAGTCTTTTCATCACACATTCACTCGTTCTCTCTCGCTCTCTCTCCGCCTCTTGGGCAGCTATCTTATGTTTTTGGGGAAGAAGATACCACAATGTTATACATAATGGCACACAGAGATTCACTGGTTGATTGAAGAGGGGTGGAAATCACCAGAACTTAGAATATTTGCTGGGTAACACAAAGAAGCAGAAACCATTTAAAACAAGTGTATAAGCAGTGGAAAAAGAAATAAACTTCTTTAGGTGAATTTCATGCAGAAAAATTCATTTTTAATGGTGAAAACATAGCATTTTTCACATAACTTGTTCTTTTACTAAAGTGCAATGCGTCAAAACATTAAAATACATTAAGGAACTTCTAATTAATGTGATGTATTTTGTGATTGAAAAAACTGGGGCTTTTTTCCCAGGATTTTTTATTTAAAATTAACAAACATGAAGTACATAAAATCAATTATAAACTAAATAATAATTTAGAATTGGAAAATAGTTTGTTGTACAGTTGTTTTGATATTTATATTGAAATGAGAAAGCTGTAAATAAAGCTTCCAATATGTTAGGAATTTTTTGTCTGGGAAATAATCAGTGAGTTTATAGGATGTGGAAATCAATAAGTTTACACTCGTTGCCAAAAAACAGAAAGATGACCGATTTAAATTCGAAGAAACAACATTTATCGACCTTAGTTTTAGCTTCCAAACTTGTTATTTGCCTTCGAAAACCTCTGCCTGGATAATAAGACTTGGCAAAGATTTTGCTCTCCCCTTTATTTTGCAGTCTCAAGAATAAACACTTATAAATCACTCGCCTCTTGATGTCATGCTTTTTTGGAAAAATCATTTGTTGACGAAGAAATATACAAACAATTTCTCTTGTTCAATGGCAAAACTAATCAATATGTGGAATTTTTCTAAATTTCCCACTGAACACTTTTCGCGCCTTTTGCCTAGTGGACAAGACTGGAGGCTTCACATTATTTACTTGCTGTATTTTGTACTGTGGGCGTTTGATGGTTGGAAACATCCAAGAAAAAACCGCATAAAACATTTATACAGACGCGCGGTTAGTTGTTAAAATGTTGTGTGTTGAAAATGTTTACGGGGGGGAAAATTCAAAGGAAAATATTTACGGAGCGGGTGAAATCGCTTTTGATCTGTAAGCGCTTGTCCTCCATATAAATGAGCCCTTTTTGCCCAATCGCCGAGCCTCATTTCCCTTCCTCAAGACATGGCTTTTGAGCATGGGTCATCAGGCTTTTGGCGGCTGTTCAGCTCAGTGGGGATTTTCGCGCACTAAATCGCATGCCTCGTTGAGAATGACTGGAAAAAGGGCATTCAACACTTCGTTGCTTTATTAACCGTGCAACAGATGAAAAATAAATAAATTCCGGGAAAAAATTATACAACCATTTCGGATAGGTTGATGGATGAATGAGTGTGGCGAGGCAAAAGGCAAAATAGCAATGGTAAAGCAGTGGGAAGAACACATTTGAACAAACATTATTTGTTTATTTAATATAACCCGAAATTAACTTTATTGCTTTTCTTTGATACATCCATTTCTTCGTGTGTGTTGTTTGCCAAATGAAAAGGAGTCGCACTCATTCACCGATTTCTCTGTCTTCCACGGGGCGAACAATTGTTGAAATGGTTGCTTTTTTGCCGATTAAGTCTAGCCACGATCAATGATTCGTCCAGATTGTTTCTGGAAGATGAAAAGAGTAATTTGATGTTCAGAAGCGTCAAAAGGGAAATCGCAGTGCCTCTCAAAATTTTCTCAGCGCCCCACACATCATGAATAGAGACTCCAACATCGTTAAGACTATTAATTCTGTTTACATACAGCGTCTTGAATTGATCGAAGTCAAGGAGGATTTCACATGCGATATTGCCGAGAGTTTTCTTTAATCTTTTCGACTCTACTGGAAGAGGCTAAAATTAGTCACTCTCCTCATATTAAAGCACAGCATCTTTTGCAAGGAGCAATGCATCCTCACGAACATTGTGGGCCATTCATCATCGAGATTAAAATGCTCTTCGCATCCTCGCTGGCAGAAAATGGAAACAATAAATAGAAAACAAGGCTGAATAATTATGAATTAGTGCCGAGATGTCGGATTAGACGACTCAATGCAGATGCATTGCGTTCGAATTTTGATCTAATTTATTCCTCAAAACAATAACAACACTCTTGTTGTCTTTTCCACTGAATTCCTGTCTTCAATCCCCTCCTTCAACTTCTCTCTGCCACTTTCTCTCGCTTTTCACTGTTTATCCGTTTCAAGTGTCTCTCCTCTTCGAGCGTGTCAAACAATCATAATTGAGTTAGCATCGCATTTAGATGAAAAGACATAGTTTCTACTTTTCCTTGGCAATTTTTCCTCTTTTCTCTGCCCCTGAAACTCGCGAAAAATCGACGTTATACAAATTGTGTCTCCACCCCCTTTGAGAATTCATATTGATGTCATTTTTGCATTTGTCGCTGATGGCGTGAGAAATGATTGTGTGTGCTTCTCATCCCCATGAATATCATGAGATTTCCCACTGACGCACATAAGAGGCGAGAAATCCTTTTTTTGCTGGAAATTCAGGGACATTTTTCAGGTGAAAAATATGGCCTGAGAAAAGTGCCGAGGAAGATAATCCTCTTCAGGCAGCGAGAATGGAAGTTATTGTGTGTATTTCTCATATTTGCACACGACATGGAGCACTTAGAGCCACACTCCTCCTCCACAGCATCCTTCCGCGTGCTCCACACGCTAAATGCCTCCCGAAAGTTTGGGGATGGGTTTGTACCTTGAAATTTGAGGAGTCTCCCGCCAGGGTTATTGATTGTTGTTGAGGAATTACGCGGCAGGAAATAAATGGATGTTTATTTTTCTACAAGTTGAAGTGGAGACGCACATATTGCAAGAATCATCCCCAAAGTGTTGAAGGATGAGAACATTCAGAGGCAATCATACATTTGAATCCAAATTTTGTTCGTTTTTAGAAGGAATAGTCAGTGATTGCGAATATAGAGAATATTTGGCTCGACATTTTCCTAACATTTTAGTTTAGAGAAAGAAAAACTTTATAATCTTTATGCTGATGGTTTTTCGATTAAATGCTTTTACAGTCATAATTTCGAGTTAAGTAGAAGAAATGTCAATAAATTCCAACTTATCGTTACTCATAATTATTTATCATCTCTTAATCATTTCAGTTCTCTTTGAAATTGATCCTCTCTCTGACCACTTGTATCGAGCTATACTTTTAAGGCGGGAACCACGCTTGATGAAATGTTTACAGTTTGAGAAAACGCAATTCTAGCCAATCCCTCGGATTTCACATGGATTTTTCACACACAGAGCGTGGAAAATGTTCTCCGCCTTCTCAAAAGCGTGTGTCTGTGTGTGTGTATTTGAATTAAATATTGATGATTTCTCAAATCAATTAAATTGCGCTTCTTTGATGGGAATATTCTATGGATGAGAAGCATACAGCTGAGTTGCTCCTTACTCAAAGATACTGGAATGGGGTGACGATGTTTGAGTGGATAGAAAATATATTGGGAAGAAATTTGTCCCACAAGAGCCTTTTATGTCATTTTTACATCCCGGAAATTTTACGATGCCATAAGCGCGCATTAAAAGAAACCAGAAAGAATTTAATAAACAGTTGAGGAGAGAGTGAGAGTCTGGGGTGATTATCGAGGGAATATTCCTTGTGATTTGGCGGTGAGAGAAAAAAAAATTGTCAGAAGAGAGAAATCAAAGCGCAATTAAATGACTTGTTATGTTTACAAAACACACCACGATCTTATGGCATCGTAAAATCGCGTGTGATCTTCTTCTCTCTGTGGCGGCCTCTAAATGGCATTCTTCCTCTGGCCCAATTGTATACCCATTTCTGGGATGGGTGGAGCTGAATCAGGAATTTTCCTTCCTCCCAAGACACTTGGCCAGAGCGAGATGGCGAGAGGATAGAGTGCAAATACAGGGAAATTTTTTCGGGACAAAAATCTCTGCATAAACATCTTCTCGTGGCTTTCCCCCCTTATTTTATTATCCACCGCCTTGCGGTTGTTTCTGTTTCTGTTCAGCGAAAAACAAATAGATCACTTTGCTGCTGTTTAAGATCTTCTTGGTCGTTTAGTGATCTGTCAGACACACTGTGGTTTTGTGGTGAACGCATCTCCGTTTTGCTTTCTTGATCGGCAGAACCGACGGCTGAAGTGAAAGTGAATATGTTTCCCGCTTATGGGACTTTGGAGCAATTTTCTCCGTACTACAGATGTCTTCATGAGGGCACATATTTGTCCTTTCCTGAGGCTTTGTGGCCCTTGCCATTGTCTCTGGTAAAGGCCAACAATCGCCCTGAGAAGCCACCTTTTTCCTATATTGCCCTCATTGCAATGGCCATCAGCAGTTCACCTAATCAGAGGCTCACTCTCAGTGGAATTTACAAGTTCATCATGGACAAGTGAGTACATATATCAATGTCAATTTGGTGCTAAAATTCAGAGAATTCTTTTCATCGTAAAGGTTTCCTTACTATCGGGACAATAAGCAAGGATGGCAGAATTCCATTCGTCACAATCTCTCACTTAATGATGTGAGTATTCTTCCTCTAAAACCCAAGATTCTCTCAAGAATAACCAAGATTTTATCTCAGTGCTTTGTCAAAGTACCTCGGGACAAGAGCACGGTGGATGAGGATGGTTCTTCAGCTGGCAAAGGAAGCTACTGGATGCTGGATCCTTCGGCAGCAGATATGTTCGAACAGGGAAACTATCGCAGGAGACGCACAAGAAGACAGAGACACTCAAAGCTGCTCTTCCAAGATCCCTACACAAGTCTTCTGCACATGAATTCGAGGCACTCAAGTGAGCACGACTTCTTGGCCAATCTGGCAAAAGCACAGTCTGCAGATAGTGCTACAATTCATCAGAACTACTTGGCACATTTTAGCGAGAACCTCAGTTCTTTGTTCGGTGGGTTTCCGCGTAATTTGCTAGATCTCACAACGGATGCCAGAAACAGTTCATCGCCAAAATCTAATCTCTTCACCATAGAGAATCTCATCAAGAAGTGATGTAAGTTGGTTTTTTTTTCAATAAAAATCTCGGTAATTTGCAGTGATTGCCGTGAAATGTGAACGTGACTTGCATTGTGAGTGGACAAAAAGCATTCCTCCCCCTTCAGAAATATTCGCTATATTTGCCTATTGTGTGGAAATTGTTGCAAACGTGACAAAATAGCCATTGGGCAAATTGTCCATGAAAGAGGAAGCTCAATGGCTTTTCATTGCATTCTGAAATATCTTCATTCGATGCGGGTGCGAAGTGACAAATCGTGGGGCAAAAGCCAGTTCAGTGGATCTTCTGGGTGATGTTGGAAAAGTGACCAGAAGGGTTGGAACGCTCACTCACTGTCCATTGTCGATTTTGTGGCCGGAATGGTAGATTCGAAGTGCTGGTATTCGAGTTAAATCACACAATTTTCATGCAAACACCCGAACATATTCACCAATTCATGTCCTCAAATGTAAGGGCACCTCTTTGAACCAACCATCCAAAGAGTCATTCAGCGATTTTTGCCTATAGATTGGCTTCGAGTCGCGAATTTTCCGTCTTCTTGATAACGTGTTGTGCTCATTACAATTCCGGTGATTTGGGGGATGAGATGCTCCCACTGAATGTGGACCAGGATTTGGAAGGCTCCCATTGTGAGATGCACAGCGCGCGTGCCCACTCGACGACATGCGAAACATATTAGCTCCGAAAATGAAAACATAATTTGAAACACTTTCACTTTATGGCTGTGCCACAGTGAAAAAAGCAACACCACCCTCTTGAGAGGCCACCCGCAAGAAAAAAGGCAAAGCCCAGGGAAAGAGGGGACCTTTTCTGCAAGACCACTTGCCAATTTTTTCTCTCTTGGAGCGTTGATAAATTTTATTAAGACACTTGGAGTAAAAATTTACATATAAATGTCGTTCCTACACACACTCTTGACTCTCATGGCTACGCACTGGCGACGAATGGTGAAATAGGGTGTATTTTGGCGACTAGAGAGACACTGTGTGAGGTATCCTTTTTCAAATATTCAAATCCATTCTCGAAAATCCTTCCACTTAAGGCGAACACATCATGCCCAGGGAGAAAGAAATGGTTTGTGCTGGAATTGGCCCAAAAAGTGTATTAGACCACCTCGAGTTTATACACTCCCTGTGCTTTTCTTTCAACAGTTGTGTGGCTTTTCGCTATTTGGATTTATATTTGTGAGTTTTTTTCAGGACTTGTAAGTCCTCTTTTGTTTCGGCAGATTTAAACTTGAGTCCCTCTCTAAAACTTGAGTGAGAGATCTTTGGCATGCCACTTCCATGCTGACTGCGAAGGGGCTGATTAATGGCTTGTTTTCCATCACTGGCACAGCTTCTTCCCCTCTCGCAAACATATGCGAGGGAGGCTGTGGGTGGGTATGTAGCATAGCGTGTAAAATTGTATCATTATTCCTCGCGAGGATGAGGGTGAAAAATTGATAAATCGACTTGGCGGAAAGTTTTCCGCACACACACACACACATTCACTTTTATTGGGCAAATTTTCAATTGAGCGCCCTCCGAATCACCGCAAATTTCCCAAGCTATTTTCTCACACACGCACCCAAAAATATATGTATATATTGATTGCAATACTTTTCAGGAGAGAATCGATATACGAAATTCATGGTTTCAACCCTTTGCCAAGAGGTGTTGTCTTGGCGAACAATTTCTTGCATTCTCACTGAGAGATTCTCATGTAACTGTTTTTTATGACGCTATGGTGTCCCTATTTTCCGCCTTAGACCCATTTAGATTTAAGGGGTGTGAGAGAATACCTTTTCTCGGCGTCTGCTGCTCAAGATCACCTACTTGAGTGCTGCATCTTCCGCCCACGGAGATGCCAGAATCCACGAGAGAGTCGAGTGGGGCCACCCACGGTTCCTTCATCCACTACTTGCGATTGCAGTCTTCTTCACGTTACAGTTCATGGTCACAATTGTAGGAATAGAACATGAACGACGAGAAACATGTTCCAGAATGAAACTGCCAAAGAAAACTGTGCTTTTTACCACACATATTCATATTGTATCAAAATATTCTTATTACTTCTCCATATTCTCAAATTGAATTCGACTTTTGTGACCAGTCACTGTCTCAGATATAAAGAAGCTTCCCTTTTCTCACCCTCGACTTTCCGCACAGTCGTTGGTGTATAACGAATTTAAAATATTGAAGAAGGCAAAACGAAGTAGTATTGTGTTAATAATAAATTAAAAAGTTTACCCGACAATTGGTACAATATAAGTTAGGAATGGTGTGAAGAGAGGGTGCTTCGCTTTCTCTGGGTTGCTCGGGTGCCTAAGATGAAAATCGGGTGGAAGGATATAATAGAAGAAATTTTAATGCATTTAATATTTATGAATGCGAGAAGGAAGAGCGCCCAGGAAGTGATTATTGTTAGGAATGCCCAGAGGAAGTGAATTTTCCAGTAATTGAAGCAAATGGGTCACAGTAATCAAATCAGACGAGGGGGAAATGAAATTACCCCATTGGTCTCTCCTCATGCCATCATCCTCGATACATGATTGATTTGCTGTGTTTTTGTCAGCGCGGGTCCCCGTGGAAAAAAGTTCAATTGTAATTATGTGGGTGAAATTTTCAATCTTCTCCTCGGGGGAGCTTTTGAGCTTTGTTCAGGCTGTGAGGGTGGCTGAGGATGAAAAGGAGTGTAGATGAGACTTTCCGAAGAGGTTTGACACTTTTTTAAAAGTTTTTGTCCCGCCACAAACTTTTGTATGTGATGATCTTCTTAAAGTTTTTCCTTGTCGTCTTAATCCTTCTTCTCGAGTTCTCTCCGCCCTGGGCTCTTCCTGTAAACACACGGCGGAGAGGAGATGGGCTGAGGAAGACATGAGATGAGCATGTGAGAAAGGTACTATGCTGAAAGGCGAAATAACCCTGGTAGAACATTCATACAAATACACTTTCTTAGGAGGAGTGAAAGTGTCACACATCTTTTGTAAGGGATTTTCTCATCCTCGGGCATTGAGACAGAGACGCACACCCTCAATGCAAGGGACCCTCTTTTGCCATCAGGTTCTTAAATGCCCCATCCGTTTGGAAATTAGCATTTCTGAAGGATCTCCCCGGTGAGAGTGAAAGGGAGTGAAAACGCCACAAATAAATCGTATGTGGGTTCATGAGGGTCATGCTTAAATATTTGATATGTCAAGGGCCTTGCCTCACTCTCCGTCAAACTGAAAAACAGTCACCTTAAACCATCCCCATAAACTCCGCCACCTACACACACATACACACACTTTCCCTGTGAAAGGTGAAACGATAGAACTCCCAGCCCATTAAAATGTACGCTTCAAAGACCCACGAATTGTATATACGATTGATTTCTTTGGAAAATTGCTAAAAGGACGACTTCTCTAAGAAATTTCCATGAAGTTCACACAGCGAAATAAGAAGAATGAAGGGACTATCCGAGTCCGATGATCAAAGGTATGGATTTTCTCATAATTTTTCAACCTTCCTTCAATGGTCAGTTGCTCTGCTGAATAAAATAATTGATCCCCGCAATCTTTCCCCGCGCTCCGTTTAATCCCATCAGTGACTTTCTCGTCTAAAGTTTGTAATGCGCTTCGTGAGGAAGAGGTTATTTTTTGCCTCTTTGACTGATGAGATTCTGAAATGCTCCATCGATGCATTGATTAATCAATGAGCTTTTTCTCATTCCCGCGGAAGGAGAGTGTGGCTTTTTTTTTGTGCTCCTCGGGAAGATCAAATACATGTCGCGTCTTCTGAGTCATCCATTTTCCCGCCAAAGAACTTTCTTAGACAGTCTCTGTCTCACACCCTTTCGCTAGTTTAAGCAAGAAGGATGACATTGATTTTACTGAAAGTTTCTTAAACCTATTTTGCAGTTGAATTGAGTAAATACGGCTCCTGATATAGAATTCTTTAAGCAAATAAGTATACATTTCATTTGGAAAATTTTTTTCTATAGCCTAATTTCGTTGCCTAAATCCCTCTTGCTTGGCATCCCCTCGCGTTATCATGCAATTGCGTGAGAAAAATGCGTGCCAGAGTGTGCGAAGAAATGACGAGGGGCTCTTGCTAATCTCTGTCGATTTGCTGATGAGGAGCTCAAATTCAGCCCCACGAAAATGGTCCTCGAGACACTCTTGAAGAAATGGAAAGTGTCAGGAGCTGCCACATTCGCAGAAGAACAACTTTTCCCGTTTTCCCGCAGCGCAGGGGGAAGGGGGGGGGATGGGGTGTGAGGAAAAAGCCGGGAATTTCCCTTGGAATGCTCACATAGAGGAGCCCAGTGAGAATGTTTGTGACAGTGATTGATTATATCGACATAAACCCGCACTCAGGAGCTTTTCACCACCATTCTCTTCCATGCAGCACAACAAAAAGTGATAACCGCGTTTTTCATTTGCCTTTCCTTTTTTCTGGAGGTCTTTCACAGCCTCTGCATTGCAAATCCATCCCGAGAGGACTCTTTGTGGAATATGTGAAATAGGAAATAGCCTTGGATTATAAAATGCCTTTCCATGGGTTTTCCCAAGATTTCTCGACAAGAGCAACTTGTTCGATATAATCCACTAACTGCAGAAATCATTAATACTGAAAGCGACGTCCAAGACTTTTCTTCTCTTTCACAAACTGTATCAGACACACTCACCGAAGGTATTGAACGACCAGACAAAAAGGTAGAAGCAAATAAGATAATTTCATTGTGAAAGTTGGACACAATTCTTTGACTCACAGAAATTCAATAACATTGACCAATATCACAATTGATTGGAAAGTGGAATGAGTGACACAAGGAAGTATCCTTAGAAGAAGTAAACTCATTCCTCAAAGTCCAATTTCTTCTCGCTCTCTTTCTCTTTTCCTTGCGCCATAGTGAAACTATGTGTGTTACCCAGCAAAAGTTTGCAACTTCACCTTAAAGCTTCTCGCCTCATCTTCGTCTCTGCATTGAGAGGGAATATCAAGGCGAATGTGGAAATTGCAAACTGTTGCAATTTACCATCGTCTCACACTTTCCAAAGAGGTGCTCAAGTATAATAATTATTCGAAAAGTCTTGTAGTAAAGGCTCCCAAAGCGTGTCATTATAGTTTCTGATTAACAACAAAGATATGCACATATAATGCGGAAAAGAGTAATTCTCAGAAGCTCCGCCCATTCCAAGGCCCCGCCCAATTCGTTCTCTGTCACATAAATATTTTGTGTGATAATATTCACGGAGCGTGGAAAAATCAGTGGCACGCTTCCAGGCTCTTGTTATGGTGATCCTCTCATTAAAAGTGTGATTTTCTCGTGTGAATGTTATTCGCCGACACGATGGCTGGGCTTCTGACTGAGCACAAAAGGAAAGGGTATAGTGGGAAGGCTTTGGTGTCTTAAGCACACTGGAAACTTTTCCACACGGAATATCCATAGAGCTCTTTCACAAATACATGTGTTAATAGCACTCTTGAGCTCCGTTTGGGCTTTTTCAGGCGCGGGACGAGAACGAGGAAGTCATGTGTCTATTCACAATGGCTCTGTGAAAATGGAGGTTGGTGTGCAAATGAGACGCTATATTAATATATTTGCATTTCCATATCCACACATCAGTGCTCTGGCTATGGCGGGGAAGTAAAAAGCCGTCTTTAGACTTCCATTTGTGTAGTTCGTTTAAACATATAAAGCCGTCGTCGTCACATTAGATTTATTTTCAGGAGGAGACACATTCTCTGGTCTCCGCGCAGTGTGGAATAGAGAAACCCACCCACACTCCAGGGTGGCCACCCTCTGGAGAGCACCCTGTTGAATTGTTGCTCGGTCTCTTGGCTTCCTTGGCTCTCGAGAAATGTCGCTCCCGGCACTATTTTCGGGCTGGTGAATTGATTTTGTTTTGGCATGAAATTGAAGTAAACAAAACACACTTTACCACCATTTGCATACACTAATTGTTTTTGTACTTCCACCCAAACTATTGCTTGCTTTCCATATAGCTTCTAGTCAGGTTCAACTTGCCTTCTCAGCTTTTCAACGTCTCTCGGAATTGCGAGATTCACCCTAACTTGAGTGCTCTCTGGAGTGAGCAAAACGAGGATTTTCGAGGAGGTTGATTTAACAAGGTAAAAGCTTTTTTCATTTCAGTTAAGAGACGATATTTTGTGAACATAGTTAAGGAAATTGAGATTTTATGTATTGGAATTCACAAGTTGGCATTTATTTTTTATTATATTCAAATTGAGATATAAAAATAACAGGGAATCACAGTTAGTCGTCCTATTATTCAGACAAAAGATAGATTTTCATCCAGGATTTTCAATTTATTAAACTTCTCTTAATTTATTACATTTTTACTGTCATTAAAAGTTTCCACATTTAATTTTTAAGCTTGAATTTGAAATAGAGATTTTTGGAGTATTTAATAGATTTCTAAATATACGTGAACTGTTAATAAAGGTTGAAAGTTGCCCTGTTGTGCTCTCATTGATGTTCTTCACGTATTAATTTCCTGAGACTTTTTTCGTAGCGCTGAAGCTCAGAATTTTCTTAAATCTCTGAAGCCACCTTTGCGTCGAGTTTTCTGGTGCGAGAGTTGAATGATCCTTGGCGAGATCACCTCATCCTCCGGTCTGCAGCTCCTCGGGCAATTATCTCGTTGTCGATGGTGGGGAAGAATGGGGGCGTTTGGAGTGCCCGAGGGTTGGCAATTGATGGTCTGGGCTGGTGTGAAGTGGAAGCGACCGCAGGCAATATTTCCTAACGAGCAACTCACTCTGCGAACAATTGGCAATCAATATCAGGAGTGGGTGGAGGCGCATGGAGTCCTGAATCGCATGTGATTACACGCGCCAAAGCAGGAAAAGTATTGTGTTTCACCGCACATTTGGAGCAATTTGTCGGAATGGATTCATTTTGTGTGTTCAGTTGGGGTTTGAGGGTGGCCTTTTTTGCCCAACGCCAAACGAAAAACTCACCCAATTGAAGCGTTCATTTGGACACAAATTCACTCTTTCGCTCCACTTTCTGCTCTCGAAATTAATTTCAAACTTAGTTTTTTTTTACTCGTCTCTTTTGGGAGAACGATTCAGGGGATTTTCGCCGGAAAATCTTGTATGGGGTTGGAAGTGAAAGCTCAGCGAAGGACAGTTTTTACTCGCACGGGGCCAAGGAGAAAAGCTTCGTCGACACTTCCTGGGGAGCGAAAAGCGTGTTCGTCGTGGGTTCCTCCCCACCAAAAAAGCAAAGCCTATAAAATGATATATACGTTTTTATTCATGTGAAAAAGGAATAATTTATTTGAAAAATATATATCACACTTGACAAATGAATCCCACCAACATATTTATAGAGCGGTGATAAATGGTTTTATTTAACAAGGACCAAGTATATAATACGCATTTTTCCTTCTCCAGTATTTTCTCTCTTTTTTCTCACCACCCCTCCAACCCATCCTCGGTGTTGGTCGGTAATGTTATTAGACGCGAAGGGTGGTGGCTTGAGTATCGCCTACGCCCCAAACCACGCGGTTGAGTACAAACCCAAGTGCAAAACTCATGTGGAAAGAGATAATAAATTGAGTTAATATTTCTGAGTTTGGTGGAATGGTTGCGATATAAGACACTTTTCCACCCATCCGCCAAAGTTTTGCAAAACGGAAAAGACATGGCATAAAAAGCTTTGGGGGTGTTGGAAAATTTTCTATATGTTTATGCAGTTCCGGTATTTTATCTTTGACACTCGATGCGAAAGAGCGAGCGGAAGCCATTGAAATACGAAAGGGAAGTGGGATTTTTTCTTCAACAATGGGATAACAACAATTTATAATACAGTGGGAAATATCTTTCAGTGTGAATCCCTTTATTTGCCGATGGAGATTTTCAACAATAGTGCCTCCGAGAAGACATGAGATTTAGATTTACGAAATTGATGACGGTGTGTCAAGAGCTTGTGGTGAAAAAATGATCCACACTTCAATTAAAGTTATTACAAATCATGACCAATTAATAATCATAGCTTTAAGATAGTATTTAATCGTATTTGAGTCAATTCCTCTTTCTGCTGTGATCCTATGGATTGCCGAATAGGATAAGGCAATCGCTTAATCTCTAGATCTATTCACGCTGATGAGTGTATTCTTGCTGAAGGGCTAATCTATCGAAAGGACAGTGTCTCTATTGAGATGATTTGTAAAAGTTGAAAAATCTAGCTACGCTTTCATGCTTTTCAGTCATTCTCAGAAACCACGCCCACTAACATTCTCCGCCCAGATATTCCGCAACAAAGTTTTTTGCCCTCATTCTAGAACAATTGCATTGACTTGTTTGAATTATTTTATCACCGAATTACTGTAGTGCATTCTACTCATCCGAGAAGTTCAACTTTTTGGTTTCCTATCTAAAAGTTTATTGTAATAGAATTGCATTTTGGCACTCCATTCCGGCTATTCTATCGAATTCTCGAGATGTGTTTTGAAAGGTATGGAACTTTGCGGATTTTTTGCAGTGTAGACTAACGAGTTTGTCCTTGGCATACCCAAAGGATCAGTGGCTGATGACACAACCCAAGTGGATCTACTGGCATCCACGCCAGAGTGCTTCAACCCCCACTCAATTCCATCTACAATATCTGTCCTGAATATAGCGTGTCTTCTCTCTCTCGGCAAAATGGGGGTGAATTGAGTGAGATCGTGGTGCGTGAATAAATTCGACGGAGCATTTTGGGGGGTATTTATCAAATGTAGGGGAAGTAATTTCCATGCATATCTCGCCAAGGGGATGTAATGAAGAGATTTAGTGTATATGGCTGGATTTCACTCTTGAATTTTCTGCGCGTGAATCTCTCGCCTCGGAAAATGATGTCCCTGAACTGGAGTGGTGTGGGTGGCCGTGGATAAATATCCCCATCGGGGGTAAGAGGCACGTCTGAATGTACTAATTGAGCATCGCATCAACAAATAACATTTCACCGCAGTTTGTGAGCCCGAAAGCGTGTGCAAAGTGAATACCTAATGCGAAAATCATTTAAATCTATTTAAGGTATGGCTTTCGCGATGGCAAAACCACCGATTTCGGTACCAATCTCTGCAACCCTCTCCTAACTTCGTCAATTACACACGTGAGGGATGAGCCTATGTACGCAATCTTGGGATTGTTAAACTGCCTGAGCCACAAATTAATCCGTGTAATTGATCTCTCCTTGGCTTGTTACCCAATCAATCCTCCTCATTAGCTATGCTTTGAGCGTTTGATTTCTCTTTGTTTTGAACGCGCTTCTTGCTGTGTTTACGCCCAGATGACTCTGTATGCGGGTCGTTCTGATTGGCTGCACGGATTTTGTTTATCTGTCATTTTCACTTAACCCAAAGACAGTGTTTGTTGTGATCCTCAATTTTATTTTTTTTAGTCATTTCTTATCAGTGAAAGTGTGTCATTACCCTCAATAGTAACTAAAAATGAGTGCAGTTGAGTTGCTGAAGAAGGCTGTGGAGTTTGACGAGGCTGGACGACACATGGAGGCTATGAAACTCTACGAAGAGGGAGCAGAAGGTTTAGCCACAATCGCAAAAAGTGAGATTCATTGATAACACCGATGATAACTCAATAGTTCACTAAAACACAAATAAAATACATGCAATTTTTCTAGATGAAAGCAATGCTGCTGCAAAGACACACTATGAAACTAAAGTGCGAGAGTATCGCGATCGAGCGAAAATCCTTAAGGAGAAATATGTTAGAATGTCTTCCAAGGGTGAAATTAAGGACAAGATTCATATTGTGGAGGATTCTATGGGTCACAGTTACCAAAGTCTCTTCGGCAAGTACTTAAATGATGTTGTCGAAGAGATTACTGTTGAAGAACCCTATTTAAGGGAGCATTTTCAAGTGAGTTAATGGGTTTGGATTTTTCTGCTTGCCATGTGGTATATTGTATAGTTTCTTTGCAGCTCACAAACCTTGTGATGTTTTGCGAATTAGCAGTAACAAGTTGTCGCAATCTTAAGTTTATCAACGTAACAACTTGTCCGACAGAAGGAGTTGATCAAATTGATGCATTCAAGCAATTGAAAGACAGTCTAAAGCGCACGCGAGGCATTAATTTGAGCGTTGAATTTTCGAAAACCACCCACGATAGGCAGATAATGTATGTTTTAGGTGTATAAATATATAGTATACTTTACTAATTACTTTGTTTCTACAGACTCAGCAATGGGTACATAATCAAAATAGGACGAGGGCTGAATTACTTCAAGAGGGCAGAAAAATACTCCCTCGGAATCTACAATTTTGACTTTCGTGAGTGTCGAGAGACTAATGTGGACATTTTCTTTTGTCCGGAGAATATAAAGTAATTAGAATATTTAACAATTAGGCGACTGAATTAATTTTAAATGTGAATTGCCAATTTGCCAACATTTTTTTTTTATTTGCGCCAAAGCTCGAGAGAGAAGTTAAAGTAAACCCCATTCGCAATTAATAATTGAAATTTTGTAATTGCGGCACGAGACTCTCTTTTTTGAGGGAATTTGGCAAACCAATCAACCGTTCAAATTATGTATCCTTTAGCGCCTGTTTAAACAATCTGGCCGCCCGGCACGCCAGTGAATTTTCACGCGCGAGGGGCCAGTAATCCATTTTTAATTTGATCAAATGACAGTACGCTAATGCCGCGGATTTACTCCAGCGCCCGCCCACAAAATTCAAATAACATTCTAATTAAATAAACGCTCAGCCATATGGCATTATTGGTTTAAATGCTGCTCCGCGAGTTGAAATTGGCGCTTTTTGCAAATACCATGGTCCCATAATGTGTACATAATACATACGTAATTGCCGTGTATGATGACTCACACCGCGTCTGATCAATGGGGCTTCATCAATCGACTGGCCAGCTCTAAACCTAACCGCAGAGTACACCTTCAATGGTTAATTGCACCGCAGAGAGTTAACAAGCTCTTTTCGATTATTTTCTATGCAGACAAAGTGCTATGATTCGGGGGCTTTAATTAGAATATTTGACATATATTTTCTCCCAGGTCGTTTCTGTATAAACCATATTTTTAATTTCTTTTAATGCGATTGTACAGTTACCAGAATTTTCAGTCACTACCAATAAATGTATTTTTTAAAAGAACAGAAAACATTGTTCTGATCAGCTTTCGAAATTGGGAATTTGAACTGCAGAAAAATGAATCCATCAAAGTATTTTTTTTAATCTGAAATACTTTAAAATGCCTTTTAATTACGTCTCTTGCTTCAATATCAGGGGTATGTAATTATTCGAGTTCGCAATTTGAGTACAGAGAGGAGCAATGACATGAAATTCCAGCTCCTAAAATTATATACCTTGAAAGGCCGAAAACCGATATTTTTTTCATTCCGATTTATGTAGGTTTAGTCGTAAAAATACTACATCGGCCATTAAGGATGCCCATTGGCACCCAATGAAAACTGGCGTAAACGATACAATTTAATTTAATGCATGCATGGCTATAGAGAGAGAATATAAATATGATAAAATCCCATGAACTTAAACTGATTGAATCACAAAAACCAATTTTGTGTGGTCGAGAATTGAATATATCGCATGGAATTGGCTTGTATTATTTGTTACCTATCGTCATTTTTAATCAGTGTTTGCATATAGAATTATCTCAATTTCTCTTGCTGCCGGGCGGAATATTTAATTGTGGTTTGTGTTTGGTAAATGAATGGATGTTTGGTGTCCCTCTACCCTTTGTACACGCACTGTGCGCGTTTGTTTTCCGATCGGGGGAGGGAAATGCTAAAGCCCCGACTCTTAAATCGTGTAAAATTCACATAGCCATCACCAATCCAATGGAACACTTTGTCATAACATTTCCACCTTTTCCATCCATTTCACCATCAACAATTGTTTTGTATGCACAAGTGGGAGACAAATGTAAATAAGCACGACAATTGTGTAAACGAGTAAATTTAATAATACCCTGACGAGACAAGGTGATTTCATCCCCTCGACTAGGCGTCTATTTAGACTCACTCTACATTTTTCGCTTTTCGCCATATGCCGTAGTGGAGATGTTATGTGCGTAGAGAACTTCTCGGCCATTTGAGCACACTACCTGGATAAGACGCTCCTGAAGATCTTTGTCACTGATTCCAGGCACCGAAATCGTCTTACTTGCAATCTCTCGAGGATGTAATGGTATTTTTCCAGGCTGGTTGCTCGGCTCATGGATGAAAATGGTGCCATAATGACATCCAATATGTATGTATATGGGTGGATGAGGTTCAATAACAGTGGCAGTTCTTCTTCATCCTGCGACATCAGCAATATTCGAAATCATCGGCATAGTTGTCTCAAACCATGAGAAATACCCTGAGAGTGTGTTTTCCACTGTTTGTGCCAGCATTTGGTGCAAATATGTGTGTATAGGCTCTTCCTCCCTCCCCAGAAAACATTGAACAAGATTTATACCCATGAAAGAAATGCCTCTTGCTCCCCTTTTGCTTGTTCAACGGAGGAAAATTTCAGAGTGTGCAATAATTTTCATGAATGTCGACATACAAAATGCCCATATATTTAGGGGTGGATGGGAGACACAATGTCCTACAAATGTACACCACATTCTCATCCCTGAAAACTTGCCGTCAGCCTCATTTTCCTCGCATACACGCTTTGTTCCAACTCTGGCGAGAGTCTTTTATGATCATCTGTGCCATTGGCAGCTCTGGGTGGATTCGGGATGCCTTCCCATATATTCAAGTTGTTGTCCCTGGCAAGATGCTCCACGGTCGCCGAGGCGAGAAAGAGGCCCAGGTCCCAAGTTTTGGGGCCCTGACACCTGTCATACAAATCGATTGGACGAAAATTATGTGCTCCCACCAGGATTACCTCTGACCCCGACAATTTATCACGCTGGCATGGGGCAAATGGTCAAGAGGGGCATCGGACCATCGAGCCTATTAATTTCCTGTAGAACACGTGAATATATTACCCAGAGATTGATGCACTTTCGCTACGATGACGCGCACCTTGTTAAGTATTGCAAATTGCAGAGGTTTTCTATGTGTAAAGAATTCAGATAAAGAGCAGCTGGTGGCTTTTGAACTGTATATTCAGCATCAGTTCATTTACTGATGAAAGTAACTCACTTCTTATTTTCAAGGCGGTTATCAGAATTGCCTAGCCAAGTGCGCAGCTTCTGTCGAATAGCGTCCCTCTGACGACGAGAAAGCAATCTGCATTATGTTCCCGAGACATTATTACCTTGTAAATATATCAGAGAAGAGAATCGACGGAAGTGGATTTTATTGTTATGACTGCGGGCCAAGGGGATGTTTTCCCAACTTGTGGAACAGGCACATTGAAAAATATCCCGATAATTGCCTCGCCACCTAATTATTCGCTCCCGGCTCAGGGGCGAGACGATAAACTTTATATTGTGTGTCTCGTTAAAGCCATCGATCAATTCAATAAAAATTTTATTTTATCTCGCGCACACGAGAACCGCCCCGAAAAAAAACGGCAGTCTCCCCCATTCTTATGGGGTGGCGACAGCAAAAATAAACAGCTTCTCGTACAATAAACGTCTCTTTTGCTCGTGGGGTGGAATACACACACACACACACTTGTGTCGCGTGGAAAATGACCGAAACGATAAAACATCCCTTTTGGTGCTCAGTCCGGAGCTTGCTGACCGATCAAATCTTCAGTCAGGATGGCGATTCTCCATGCCTAATATTTCGGTGAAAATCTGTGGAGGTCACCAGTAATAAAGGAGAATCCTTTTCCATCGCTTTCCCTCTTCTGGCACCCTCTCTGCTCAAGGGTTGGGCATGGCAGTTAAAAACTTATATGTCGGATCATTCGCCGAGGGAAAAAATAAGGCACAAGAGGCGAGTATTTTATGTCACTCACATCTTTGTCCCCAATTTTCCTCACTTCCAACCCTCTCCACAGGATGATGTAGATATTTTACAACCCCTTTCGCACTTGCTAGGGTGGGAGGTTAACTAACTTTTTTCACCCAGGGTGACTCTCTTGAATCAATTTTCAATCTCACCAAATGACGGTTTTCAAATTATCTTATTATGCTTATTATCGTGTGTGTGTGGGTGGCAATAATTTATCGGATTGACCCAGGTTTGGACGTTTCAAGACGTAAATGGCATGGAGAGAAATCTCAGAGGATTCCAACGACAATCCTCGGGCGATTGAGTGAATTGAGTTGGCGAAAAAGGTTCCAATCGAGAGTGTTCAAAATAGCCACATTAGCACCCCCTTTCCCTTAACTTTGAGGATCGCCGACCGAATGCAATATATCAATAAAATCCACACAGTCGACCCTCGGGTGTTTGCTCGCCACTCGGAAAATGCCTTGTGCATCTTAAGAAGTCCCTGTGAAAACACTTTGAGTCTATTTTCTTTAAATTTCTCGCCTTCATTTCGCTCCATTGATTTACACACGAAGAGGAGAACGAGTGAGCCTTCATGTATATTTATCGATGGACGTGCATAAGTAGAGTGAGAATTGGTCCTCGGGGATGGATTTCGGCTTCAATCCGCTCTGCAATTGAGGTGTGAGGACTTCTCCAAATTCATTTCAAGTGTTTAGTTCTCAGACTGTGAAAATAGCAAACGTACAGAGTGAAAAGTTCCTCACTAAAAGCTCTAATAAATTATATACTGTTGATTTTGATAGTTGGAAATAATATGGGTATTTTGAGAAATTGATTGATTATTTTCATTTAGTTTCCAGAATTGGCATCTCGTCAGCAAGTTCTGTAATGAGCTTTTCCATTCAATTTGTGGACTTTGTATGCATTTGAGCAAATTGCAGCTTTTGCCCTCCCGAAAAATGCAGAGGGAAGGAAGAGCAACTTAATATACTTCTTATACTCTCGCATTTTCAGGAAATTCCCTTCAGAGCCCCTATAATGCAATGTACATTTACTTCTTCCTCCCTCACTCTCTCCTCCTTTCTCTCTCTCACTCTTTCTCGCCCTCACCCCGAAAAGGCAATCAAGAATGCGCTCCCAACCCTCATTTCTTGGTTTTCCTGGTTGCCCCGAAAAAAAAGAAACGACATAGAGAGAAGCTAAGGAAGTTGTATGGCGCACGGTGAAAATTTTATTTCTGCAAGTCACGTGATTCAGTGTAACAAAGTGCAAATTTGTATTCAGAAAACAAACCGCATTTTGATGCCTTCCCATGGGGCGCGCCAGAGAAACTTGGGTGAATCCTTCGAGGAACATGTTTGGCCAAATTCCTCGCCAGACGCCGAGAATGTGCCGTGGAATTTACCCAGGGATACTTGAGGAAAAGTTTTGCAGTTAATCCCACGTCCCTTTTAAATAACCGTCGAAGACGAAAATTGCAGAATTATCATTCAACATACTAAGCATTTCTGCAAAGTGTTCTTATATTCAATTCGCTAACTTGAGAATATGGTGGAAAATTCACCGTCAAGTCATTCGACAAAAGCGCGAAACGATCGAGAAAGAGAGCAAATGTAATTGGAAGTAAATCATAAGCATAGAGGGACGAGAGGGAGATGTATGAAATGAGGAAAAACTTTCCTCCGAGGTAATTTCACGCCTTTCAAATTACCATATCTTCGCAGAGCAGCGCGATGAAGAATGGAAGGGAAGTGTCTTAAGCCGAACTAGTGGACAAGGAAAAATCTCCATAGAATTCCAGATAATTTTTCACTTGCTGAAACCGTGACTGCACGTCGTGAAATTATACTGAAGCTGTGATTTTTCTTTCCCGACAATTTGCTGCGCTGCATCAAACCTGATACGAATACCAAACCGAATCCCATATCACTTTTGAGGAATTTAGCGGGAAAACAACTCTAATCTGCCACCTCAATCGCCACCCACACCTATTCACCCATTGTCCGACACTTGAGTTGTATATTGGGAGAGAAAGACCATTTCATCCTCTTGGACTTCAATATCCTCCTGAGCAGACCTTGATCGGAGTTGAATATGATAGATAAGGGACCGTAAGGGTTTCTCATATCGGAATAGGTGAAACATTAAAGTCACTATTATTTGTTTGATTTTGCGCGCAATATTTTTGGAAACCAAAATACCAAATCACAGATAAATATCTAATCAAAAAACCTCCGGTCAAAAATCTTGGAAACACTTAAATCGAAATCTCAGGTGTCTGAAAATGAAACGTTTTGTACAACTTTGTAATAATCTGTGCTGTTCAATGCAGTGCTATTCTTCCATACGACAATGTGTCGAAATATTCTGGGTACATTGTCAGTATGTTGTCATTCTCTTCCCGCACGGCGTTTAATGAATCTTTATTATCATCTATAAATGCGGCAACTCAAGCACTCCACGAGTGTGTGCGGTGGTAAAGGCATACAAACTTAATACTGAGCGTCCTCAATAGCTCAGCCAGAGCCATTGAGCGTCTCCTTCGTCAAGCCCACCCCACATCTCGCCCTCTGGCAGCCCCTGAACATTTGTCAACCCGTATAATCAACCTGCTGACTAGAATGTGCGTGTGTAACAAAGTAGCTCCGGGGCAATAATGTCTCCCGGTGTAAGAGGTGGAGAGAAAAAAATCACAGCCCTAGAGGAGACTCTCTGTCCTGGCCGAGAAGAGGGCGGCGAGGAGCAAGGACACAAAGGCGCACTTGAGCAGCATGTTGCGAAAAAGGGTGTCGAGGCAGAGTCTCGCCTCCCACCCCCGAGCCCCAAGTCGAACTTAATTTATACGACCCCCTAAAATGCTACCGGGGAGAAGCAATAAATTCTTAATTCACACTGCGATTTATTTTTTCTTCGCAGGCAACCTCTTTCCCCTTTCTATAGAGAATTCCTTTTCTCTCCGTGACAATTTGGCAGAGAAGGTGAGGGGGCGATTGGAGGGATATCTGAGTATTTTCTCTTCAATGGAGAATTATGCACTTTCATTCGTGATTGCCTCACACTCATTAACGTGTTGCAGGCAATCATTCACC